CAGAATGAATACCTCCACAGAGAAAGAAAGCAGCTTAGTGGTTGCCAGGGTTTGGGGCCAGGAGGGGAGAACAGAGAATAACCACTTAATGGATATGGAATTTCCTACTGGGGTGATGGAAATGTCTTGGAACTAGACAGAGGTGACAGCTGTACAACTGAATGAATGCTCTCAATGACACTGAATTGCACACTTTACAATGGTTGTTAATTTTGTTATCTATTACCTCAATTTAAAAAAAGAAAAAAGTATATACTTTTGTATTATCTTCTTTCATAAATAATATAGTCAAATGTACTACAAAGTATTATTGCATCTATAGACACAAAAATAATGTAATTCTTTTCTAATTAAGAGAGAAACATCAAAGGTCTAAATTTGAATTCTAGATTATTTTTTTCTAAGGCTTTTTCTGTCTGAGGTTTCTTGGACAGATCAGGTCATTAATTTAACACAGGGGTTCTCAAACTTGACCATGCTCTGGATGGACTGTCACACTGGCTGGGCGCCACCCCCAGAGTTTCTGATCCAAGAGGTCTGGGGTGGAGCCTTAGCGTTGGCATTTCTTGCAAGTTCCAAGGTGATGCTGACACTCAGGTCCTGGACCCACAGTTAAGACAACTACAGCTTGAATGTAAACTTGAAGACACTACCAGGGACCTGGTTCCTGGAGTAGGAAAGCAGTCATTCCTGAAAGCACTTGACAGCAAAAGAAAGCTTCTGATATACAGCCATCTTAGGTAGTAAATTGTTTGGACATGCCAGGTGCTTTATGAGGCTAATGTCACAAACTAGCTTGCATTTTATCTAGAAAAAATGACCTTAGGGACTTGTCTCACAAACATGCCAGAACAGTCTGTCAAGAACTTACAGGGCAAACCAAGTGACTTAAACCTACTCCTAACTTATTTCTCATACATATAAGACACTACACAAGATATATACTTGGTAATCTGTTTTATAATCTCATTAATTTACCATCCTGGAATGAATATATATATATATATATATATATATATATATATATATATATGTAAATAAATAATATCAGAGAGGACGGGAGAGGGAAAGATAGAGACATCAATGATGAGAGAGAATCACTGATCGGCTGCCTCCTGCATGCCTCCTACTGGGGATTGAGCCCGAAATCTGGGCATGTGTCCTGACCGGGAATCGAGACATGATCTCCTGGTTCATAGGTTGGTGCTCAAATACTGAGCCACATCTGCCAGGCCATCCTGGATTTTCTGAGCAAACTCCTCATCTGCTCAGGGTGAACAGCACACAGATAGATAGCAAGTACAAAAGCTAAACAAAGAGTCTATAAACTACAGAAGACAGAAAAGTTAACTGTTTATAGACAGTGAACACGGAGGTTTTCCAGTATCATGGAATTCAACTTTGGATCAAAGCTACTGTTAACTGAAACCTCAATTCCTTGTTTATCAGAACCTAGAAAAAGTTTTATGCTCTTCAACTACTTAATTACATCCCTATTGCAGTAAATATGATGTTGGGCATGTAAACAGTCTACTTCCTCACAACTAACACTTATTAAAAAACAAAGAACAGGAAATTCAGACATTTTAAGTAATTGCTCTTCTTAACATTCTAAAAGGTGGCCAGCTATGTATGCAAGCTAAGTCATTCATCTATTTTCATCTCTGAGCCACAGGAAAACTTTGCCATCTACTATCTATTGCATTTGGCCCCATGTCTAATGTAAACCACTGTCTCCTTTGGCAGCTTATTTGAAAACTGAGCTGTGGACTATACCAGAGGCTAATATGGGAGATAGATAGGGCAAATAATTTCAAAACAACAGCAGAGTAACAAATCTAAAGCTATTAATCAAAAGCCTGCTAAAGAGCAATTGCCATCTTTCAATGCATTCAAGATATTAGGTATATTTGATTTCAAAATCATCTTTTTGGGCATAAGAAGGAGCTTATTAATATCATAGTTCAAATCCTTGGAATTGTAAGTGGAAAGAAAACAAATTAGAACTTTGACCATTTAATTTTGATCCCTGTACCCTCCCTACTTCCTAACACCCTCTCCAAAAAAGAAAAACCTTCCAACTATTCCAACAGTATGGGGAAGTTAAGCTAATTTTAGAGATCTGATGGAACCATTCTGCAAGGGGCTCTGCGCTCCAAGTTATCTACAGTGGGGTTTCTACACCTTCAAAAATATGGCTAAGCTTCATAGACGTTAGAGTCTAACACAAATCTCATGTACACATTTACATGTAAATTGGTTGTAAAGATCTATAAATAAGAGTATAACTGATTGATAGTCTGAAGATTACAGTAAAAAAAACACACATTCTCTCCCCCAGTTACAACATCATGCATGCCCACTGCCTTCAGATTTTCTGGGAAAATTTATTTGAATCTAATGAGTGAACTTCATAGCTGTACTGCGTAATGACATTTGTCCTAGCATCTTGACCATCAAATTTATCAATTAAGAGTTTTAACAGAAGCACCTTGATAGTTAACTTAGTCCCTGAGCCTGCACATAAAATTTTGTAACCACATTATAAATAGCAAAAAAAAAGTGACTTAGTGTTGCAGTGGCATATTACATAGCAATGAAAATAAAAAATGCAGTCAGTTCAGCTCCAACACTTATTCCAAATGCAAATATTTGTTCCAACACCACTTATATAGTAAAGAGCAATTTGAGCACATAACTGTCCTATGCACAATTTCAGTAGTGAGAGATGCTAGATGAACATAGAAAACTGTACCCAGCTGACCCAAGCTGCTTAGGAACAGACAAAACACACTCATGCACACACCTCAAACAGCTACTTCAGCTTCCTGTGTGTTATGGGATACATCCAATCACACTTAGTGCTATGACTTTACATTCAATTCTAGATAACCCTTCCTCCAGCACATCACACTAACCGATGAACTGCGGCCTTCCAACAACCACTTCTATAAGCAACCTGAGCTCTTTTACAAGGTAAAGTATTAAATCTATTCTAGCATTTATATACTTTCTAACCACTAACATGTGTAAATCTGGGATACCATTTTGATTTTTCAATGTGTCCCTTACATCTTTGAGTGATATGCTCCAGCCCCATTTTTTTCTTGCGCACTCCGAGGTTTCTACTGCATGATTTTGCGTAGAGCATGGGTGATACTAGGAATGCACCTGTCGTGTTATAATAGAACTAATTGTGCTCCATGCATCAACATGGTGAATCTCAATGTTGACTTTCAAAGAGTAAGGGTGACAGTGAAAGATTTAGGTTAAATGTGTTTTTGCTCCTCAGGATTTGTTTGTCTGGGCCCAGGGATGGAGAATTCAAACATATACCCTGTGTATACAAGAATCAGATTTATACTAGTCCTTTTTTGTTACATATGAATGCTAGAAACCAAATTATTTGTTTAAAGAATATATAGTGTGTGATACTGCTAAATTAATCCCTTTTTTAAAAAAATATATATTTTATTGATTTCTTACAGAGAGGAAGGGAGAGGGACAGAGAGTCAGAAACATCGATGAGAGAGAAACATCGATCAGCCGCCTCCTGCACACACCCCCACTGGGGATGTGCCCGCAACCAAGGAACATGCCCTTGACCGGAATCAAACCTGGGACCTTTCAGTCCGCAGGCCAACGCTCTATCCACTGAGCCAGACCAGTTAGGGCTAAATTAATCCCTTTAAAAAAAAACTAGAAACACTTAAAATATTTTTTAAAATATATTTTTATTGATTTCAGAGAGGATGAGAGAAGGAGAGAGAAAGAGAAACATCAATGATTAGAGAGAATCACTGATTGGCTGCCTCCTGCATGCCCCACACTGGGGATCAAGCCTGCAACCCAGACATGTGCCCTGACAGGAATCGAACCATGACCTCCTGGTTCATAGGTCGACACTCAACCACTGAGCAACACTGGCCAGGCCCCATATTTTTAATAATAAATAATACGTAGTAAAACCATAAAGATAAGGTTGAGAATTAGAAACACAAAATCACTGAGAGGATGGAAGGGAGGATACAAATAGGACTGGGCAAAGGTCTATTTTGTCAACTGAGTATTCTTTATACCTGTTGTTCTTCAAAACATGGTCTGGGGAATGCCAGCCTCTTTCAAAGTGTCTGAGATGTCAAAGAGGCCAAAGCTATTTTCTTGACAAGACTGAGACATGATTTGCCTTTTGCAATCTCATTCTTGCAAGAGCATACAGAAGTTTCCCAGTGATACATGACGTGATTATGGAAACAGAATAAATGCAACAGCTATGAGAACCCAGCTTTCTTGTATTAAACCAGACATAAAGAGATTTGCAAAAATGTACAATGCCACTCTCGTCAGTAACACTTTTGGTTTGGGAAAAATTCTTTTCATAATTCTGTTATTGATCTTAACATGTAATTAATTAACTACTGTTATTTTTAAATAAGTATTTTAAATTTATCAATTCTAATTTCTAATATAGTAAATACAGATAGATATGACCCAGAAAAACAAAAGCTCTTTGAGGGTCTTAAATAACTTATTTTTTTATTTTTTTATTTATTGATTTTAGAGAGAGAAGGAGGGGGAAGGAATAGAAGAATGGGGGAGGAGGGAGGTAGGAAGGAGAGGAGGAGGGAGAGGAAAGGGATAAGGAGACAGAGAGAGACAGACAGACATCAATTTGTTCCACTTATCTATGAATTCATTGGTTGATTCTTGTATGTACCCTGACCTGGGATCAAACCCACAACCTTGGTGCACTTTGGGACAACACTCTAATCACGTGAGCTACCCAGTCAGGACTTCCAATAACTTTAAAATATAAAAGAGTCTTGAGGCCAAAAGTTTGACAATTATTTTAAACCCATACACACACACACACAGCCTTTTTGTATGTATGAAATATTTTTATACTAATAAAGGTAAAAACTCATAGTGTATTGAACCATAAAAAACAAAACAAAAAAACCTTTTCATCACCAGTATACCTATGTATAGATATGACTTACCGATACTCAGTATGTGAAACACAATCATAAAGTTCCTGGGCAGTGAATTTGACACTTTTATTTACCTGAAAAGAATCAAGATATAGTTATTAAAAATGCATATTAATTTAATATTAAACAAGTAGTAAGAACACAGAGTGGCCCACATTCTGAGAAAACAGAATGTCAAGTTTCTAGTTCTTGCGTAGGAAGGACAGAAGACTGAGAATCAGAAGCTCAATGACCATAATGCTAACACTGAACTATATGTAAAAATATTAGTCCTATTGTTTCAACCTAATCTGTTCATAGGACTGGTAGTGAGATGGCCTTGAGGTTAATAAAAAAATCTCAACAAACAATTGCTTTGTAGATCAAATGGGGAAAAAATGTACTCCATGAAACCAATTCATGCTTCAGTTAGCCTGACCTCTTAAAATATTTGTGATTTTCAATATTTATTTTCTAGGAAAAGTAAATAACTTATAAAAAAATAAAATTTAAAATACTAAAAACTTAAAGGGCTGAAGTGGATTTGGAGTAGACTATATAAGCAGAAACAGCCACATCTTGTTTATATCCTAAACATTAGAAATAATTCAAGCTGAGAGAAAAAGGCAAGTATTCAACTCTAACAACATTTGAATACTATGCTGACACTTTCAAAAATTATTACTGAATAACCTTCACTTTCATTTAAATATGAAGGTTATAAACTATATGGGAACATCTATCTGTTTAGGAAAAAGTGTGATTTACAGACATTTTCTAAAGAAATGCATTTTTCAGACTATGGAGGTCTAAATAGGTAAACTAATGTGTTTAAGTTCATAAATACGTATTATAATCCAGACATAACATACAATACTAAAAGTCCTTTATCATACACAAGCTAGTGGTGTCACCTGTAGTACGCACAAAAGCAATTCTGTATTTCTTGAGGTTTCGCTACTGATTTAGATTATATTTTACTATGTGTAGGGAAGAATCTAGAAATTTGTAGAGGAAAACTCCCTTTACCAGATAACTCAACAAACAGCACAATACCTAAATTTTAAGAACTTCTGAATTAGTGAAAGGGAAACTTAAATGAGACTATCTCCTATTCAATTTATTTATATTAGCTGGTATGCATTCATTAATACTACTTAAAAGACTCATATCATGAGTGTCTTCTATAGATTTAAGGGTATTGCTTATTTGTAAAAGTTCCATCAGCTTCTTCAGTATTTTCATAAAAAATTCACATTTGTGTAGAAAATGTTTCATTCACTCAAAGTTAAAAATACATAGTTTTTAAATATAACACTTTAAATGTATATAATCCCAAAATTTTACTTAAAATTTGTCATTTAATTATATATAATATTTAATATATTTATAATAAATGTATTAAATTGGTATATAATTTATCATAATTAACTTCTTAGGTACTTTACAATTTTTAAAAGTATCTTCTAAAAATGTCCTAAAATATGTACTTAAACTATCAAACAGTCCAATTTCTCCTTCTTTACATGTTCTTCTCTGGTCTCAGGGCCTTCACTATTTTCACTATTACTCCAACATACCAGGACCTATAATATATCCAAACTTAGGCAAGCAAATGTCAACAATATTTCAGGTGTCTGATCAGAGAATGAAGGGAATCATGTATTGTCCATCAATTATTGAGAAAAATCAGCTGAGATTTTTGAACCTTGTATAATATGAATAAAAAATAGTTCCTTAAGCCTTCAGTGTATTTTTAGAAAAATGAGTATCTACATGACGCTTTAGTTTTAAAAGTTATCATCCACAGACATTTGGACACTTATCCCAGAATACAGCTAGGGTACAAGGGTTCCAGGTCATAGGTGACTTACAAAAAAAAGACAGATAATTTACTACTAAAAAGGAAAACTGAAATACAAATTCATCACCTATATCACAGATTCTAGCCTGAAATATCTTGTTTCATCATAGTCATTAATTTTGATTCAAGACATTTTTGATCATTCACATTGGGACATTTTAAATTACACTGTTAAATATCATTTTTATGCTCAAGTGTACAATTTTAATCCCCAGGGAACAAATAGTTAAAAGATGCCTTTGTCAGTGAACCTTATTAGAATTATGACATATTGTGGAATTAGTGTTATTAAATTCTTGTACTATTTACAATGAATGCCAAATATTGACATGGCTATATTATTAATTTAAAAAAATTCAAGAACAAAGGGCAAAGATTACGTATAAAAGCCAAACATCTTAAAACTTTAGATGGTCCTATCACTGTTTATAAGACAAATGTCTCCAATGCAGTAATTGATATAGGAAAGGAAGTTCTGCTAAAAGAAATTATTTTAAAAATCTGGAAATCAATTCCACATATTCTTTTAACTAATGTTAGGTATTTTCTCCCAATACCTCAGCAACAGAAAGCACTAAGCATGTCCCATAATTTTCCAGGGTGTGATTTTAAAATTATCATATTATTTCCACAAATATACTTTCATAGTTAGAATTAATGACTCAATTTGAAATTTTGAAATTATCATGAAATAATAATATGAATCATGTCAAATGAAGAAATCATCCTAATCACATAGTATGGTTATGCAGTATTAGGCTGACTGTTTAAAAAATTAAAGACACATGCACTTGGAAAGCAAACATATACGGGAACATGTGCAAAGAGCGTTAGACTAACAGAAACTGAAGATCAACAGAATTCTCCCCCTGGATCAGCAAGGATGCGTGAGAGGGCCGGCTGGCCCCCATTGGCCCTGACAGTCGGCCAGGCCAAGGGACCCCACCTGTGCACGAATTCATGCACTGGGCCTCTAGTATTATTATAGGGTTCTACTGTATGTTTTTACTTAAAGAATAAAAAAACAAATTATGTCACCAGAAACCTTCTGTGGCACTCAACAATTTAAAGTAAATATCAATTAAATAGCATACCATTACATTTTAGAACTCTATCATGTTAATTTATATTAAAATTTGTTTATGGTGGAAATGTGATAAACATTTTAAAGTATTGTTCATACCTCATGTTTGATTAGGAAGTTATAGAGGGTCTCAATATCTTGATAATTACTGTTGGGGGCCAAAATCCTAAAAAATAAAATATAATAAAAACAGAGGAAGGGGAATGAATGGTTAAAAAAAAAATACAATACCTGAACTTTTCCTCAAAACATATCCATACTACAAGAGATAACTTGTTGTATAATAATCTTATTAGAATGTTTACAACCTTTTCTAGTTTTTATCAGTTAAAAATTATAAAACCATGAGCTTAATTCAACAGAGGACTTATTAAAATATTTTTGCATATTTACATTGGTATTTGTATTATCAATTAATCAATAACCAGAAGTATTTTGTGAAATAATAGTTCACAGGTATAGATTTCTCAAAAGGTACATAGAAATGTGAAGTGCATTTGTACTCCCTATCATTTAAAGCTGCAGATAAAGCTTAAAGATCTCCCAGAGAAATTTTCAACCTATCCAACAGACAACTAATTAAACTGCCAGACACATATACTAATAAAATATTTTGTGTTTTTATTTTTATTAATCCTCACCTGAAGATATTTTTCTATAGATTTTTAAAGAGAGTGGAAGGGAGGAGGAGAGAGAGAAACAGCAATGTTGGAGAAAGACACATCGATTGGTTGCCACCTGCATGCACCTCGACTGCCCTTGACCAGAATCGAACCCTTCAGTTCATGGGCCGCCACTCTATCCGCTAAGCCAAACTGGTTGGGCAGATTTTGTGACTAAATTCAAATAAAACTGTTTGAACTATCAGCATAGCATTATATGAAAATGCATTAGTAATCAGACCAATGCTAATACTGAATCATAAAAATAACAAAAAATTATAAATATATAAATAACATAAAAACACAAAATAAATGGAAACAAGGAAAAGATAAAGACAGAATAACTTATTTCTCCTTCTAGCAGTAAAGTATTAATTCTCATTTTCTTATACTATGTATTTTTTAATTCTTTCAATATTAATTTTTTTTCTTAAAAAAAAAAAGGAAAGCAGTCCTTTCATTATGGTATAGTGGTTAGTAGCATGCCTGCCTGGGTCTGTTGAGCTGTGTGAACTTGGGTGAGTTCTGTGTGAGCTATTTTCCTTATCTGTTAAAAGATATGGATAACATTCCATACTTCATAGGGTTATTGTGAGAATTAAATGAACTACTATAGGGAAAGCCTTTATAACAGTGTCTGGTATTCAGCAAACACTATATATCAATTATAACAGTAATAACAACTATTATCATCATCTAATAGTTTCAAGCTACAGAATAAGTGCATAAAGATCTAACTAATGAAAAATCAAGCCACCTCAACTAATTCTTAAATTCTGAGTGCCTTAATTACAACATCTCTTTGAGATCTGGCTCCCAGCATACGTGGTCAGTTTGGCTTAAATAAAGTAGTATAAAAAGTCAAAAAGAAAAAATATTGTCTCTAGGTCCTTTTACCTTTGCCAATGCTTGATATTGTCAGAGTTATTGTTGATATTGTTGGAGTTAACTGACCTAATAACCTTATTATATCTTTAATCTACTTGGCCTTTTTTTAGACTGTTGAAGAGCTTCCATAAATTTTTCAGGACACAGTTGAGTTTTTAAAGAGGCTATACTCCCTTGGAGGAGAAATATACAGAATATCTCTAAGAATATACAAAAATCTAAATAAGAATACCATTTCATAGAAACTTTTTCTCTCAAGTAATTTTAAAATACAAATAATCTCCTAACTGAAAAAAAAAAGACAGAGGATAATTATAATACATTGGGGGGGTCCATAAATAATTTGCTTTAAAAAAAATGAAAACAAAGCTATTTAATAAGTTAAACCAATCTTTTAGAAAGATGATAGAAATAGTGTGTTTTAACCATGTAACTAGTGTAAACAAACTATCAGCAAAGTAGAATAATTTACACTTAGTCATTTTTATAGCTTTGGAAATATCTAAAAACAGGGTAAGAAAATGAGATGAAATGAGATGTTTTTATTAGAAGCCTTATAAATTCCAAGCTGATAAGCACAATAGAAAGTACTAGTGAATAAAATTAACATTTTTCTGTCCTGAAATGCTTTACAAAAAACTGGTTTTGGGAAAATCAGTTATTTATCTATCACAACAAGCCATATCCAAAGTAAGAAATAAAAGAATTACGTCATCCTAGTTTTCCAATTAGCAAATAATTGGAGAAATTTTAAGCTCCCAATCTGGCTTTATATTTTAAACAGTTTAACTGAGGTACAGCTTACATACCATAATATTCACTAATTTTAATACATTTACCAAACTGTACAGCAATCACCACAATCCAATTTTTGAACATTTTCTTCACCCACAAAAGATCCCTCTTGCCTATTTATAGTCATTATCTTTTCTCACCTTCAACCCCAGCTGTAGGCAACCACTAATCTATTTTCTGTCTCTACAGAGTTGCATTTTTGGACTACACTGCTTTCTTCGTCTATAACAATGGTTCCCAACCTTCTTAATGCTGCGACCCTTTAATACAGTTCCTCATGTTGTGGTGACCCCCAACCATAAAATTATTTTCATTGCTACTTCATAACTGTAATGTTGCTACTGTTATGAATCATAATGTAAATATCTGATATGCAGTCTGTATTTTCATTGTTACTAATTGAACATAATTAAAGCACAGTGATTAATCACAAAAACAATATGTAATTATAGATGTGTTTTCCGATGGTCTTAGGCGACCCCTGTGAAAGGGTCGTTCGATCCCCAAAGGGGTCGCGACCCACAGGTTGAGAACCGCTGGTCTATAAGATCTTTCCTCTCACCATCACAAAAGCATAGTTGTACTATAAATAACAGCATACAGAGTCTAGATGAGGCAAACTCTACTGGAAAACGTCTGACCCTCACAATGTATGTGGTAAGTGAAAAAGCTCAAAATGCCCAGATCAGAATAAGACTCCTTTATTCTCTCATTCAACCAATATTTGAGACCTACTATGAGTCAAGAACTATTCCAGGCCCTTAGAAACAACAGTGAACAAAAACCAAAGACTCAGAGTAGACCAAAGCATCATAGTTCTAAAAAGCCCAGGAAAGAAAAAATCCTGACCCAGCACAGGAAGATAATGAAGGAAGAATATCGCATTCTTCTCTATTTGAGTCTTTTCTTCCCACTTTTTAATTGCTACTTTTAACAAACTAGTTTACAAGTTATTTCTGTGATGAAATGCCAGAATTTGAAGTTTGTAAGAAAGAAGTTATTTTCTCCAAATGTAAACACTTGATTACTTGATAAACAGCACAGAATTATATTCAAATGAAGAAAGGTTTATTAGTATGTCAACATCATTCATATATATTACTGTTACAATCAAAATAAATCAATACATATTATTTCTTAGAAATAAAATATATATAAAAGGATTGGCTACAAAACTTGTTATCCTCAAAGAATGTTTTGAGGTAAACTGGGCCACAAACAGACTAGACAACCTTTATTAAAATACACTCAATTTAGGGCTGAACTTCAACTTCATCATGTCCTATGAACGTTGAGTTTGTGAGAATGGAATTTGGCCTGATATTTTAAAAAGTTGCCAACTTTTACTAACTAGAAGTACAGCTTATTGTAAATACATAAAAAATAAAATGGGGAGAAATGGTTTATGGATTTTTATGCCTTACTAATTCCCCACACAAAATTCTTGAGAGGTCAGCCTTTCTCACTGTTTTTTTTTTATACCAGTATGAAGACAAAAGACTCTTTGAATGAAATTACCCTTTGATGGCAACTTTGAAAAAGAATAACAAAATGAAAGAATTAGCCCTTAGAGGAAATAAAATACTTTTCAGTAAATGGCTATTTTTTCTTTATAAATATATCTACACTTGTCCTTTCACGAAAAATTCATAACAATCAAAAAGTATTTATTATATGCATACTATTTTTCAGATGTATAGTATTCTACAAGCTACAGAATATAAAACAAAATTAAAAGACACGGTTGCCTACCTTCAAGTTGTTTATTATCACTGAAATTCCACTTTAGAATTTTGGAATCAGAATTGGGAAATAGGTATCCGAAGTAGGATTTAATCTGAAGCTCACAAACGACTTACAAACCAAGCCTGATCTGAATGTACTTTGGTTTCTTTTGTAACAGCATCAACAATAACACATAATGTCTTATTGAACACTTACTCAAAGTCTGACACTCCTTTTAACCCCTGAATTAGTAATGTGACTTTGATCAAGTTACCTACTTTTCTGCACCTCAGCTTCTCACCAGTGAAATGAGGAGAAATCTAGCTTTATGTCATGTAAAAAAATAATGACCTGTAATGTTGAAGATAAAGGGAAAAAAATAACAAAAAAGGACACAAAAAAGCTCATCTAGCAATACTAACATACTTACTACAAAATAAACTTGGAGGCAAAAAGTACTATTAGCAGTAAAGAGAACCAATTCACCAGGAAGATATACCATAACATCAAAATCTATAAAGCAGATGCTGACTGCATTACAAAGAAATTGCAAAGCTCACAAACACAACTGGAAATTTTAGCATCAATCACAGAACTGGTCAAGTATCAGCAAGCATTTGATCTAATGGACACAGAGGAAGAAAACAGAAAGGAACCAGGTGATACCAGTTAAAACAGTGAGTTTCGTTTAAGCAGAGTATGAGCTGAAAATTCACAACTGAACCAAGAAGAGAGGTAAGATGGAAAGTACAGTAATATTCAAAGAGATCGGAGTAGATGAGATCACAAATGGAGGGCATACAGTGACGTGGTGGTGATAGAATACATCTAAGGATAAGCCTAGAAAACTCATTGCCAAAGCATTAAGTGTAACCAAAGTTCCTGAAGTAACAATTACATTTCTCTTATGTTACAAGTTTAAGTACTATTCAATATTTACCTTTAACAGGTATGGCAGGAAAACATGGTTCTAAGGTAAAAAATAATAACAGCATTACTGTAGAGCAGCGGTTCTCAACCTGTGGGTCGCAACCCCTTTGGGGGGTCGAACGACCCTTTCACAGGGGTCGCCTAAGACCATCGGAAAACACATATTGTTTTGTGATTAATCACTATGCTTTAATTATGTTCAATTTGTAACAATGAAATTGGGGGTCACCACAACATGAACAACTGTATTAAAGGGTCGCGGCATTAGGAAGGTTGAGAACCACTGCTGTAGAGCTTTTTGTTGAGACCTCAGGAAGACCTAAGAAGGTGCCTTGTAGAATTTTTCAGAAACACCGAAGGCCCTTTAAGGGGCTTAAGAGCATGCCTCACAAATCTGTCTGTTAAACAAGACTTCCAAAAATGTTAAGGGCATTGCCCATACCAGTTTCACAGGGAACCCAAGGAGGGGAAGGGTTTATTCCAAAGAAATACATTTCAAGGAAAGTTGTGGTTGTGGTTTTTGTCTAATGAAGTGAACCCCGATAAGATTCATAGAAAACAGTTTTTAGTTGGCACGTTCTGGTAAAAGTACCATCACTGGAACGAAACAGGACAGAGACAATATGAAATGGAAAGGGGTCTTTGGACTCTTCCTACCTTTTACGGGAAAGAACAGGCTGAGAATGCTCCTCCGCTGCAGTTTGCTTTTTTTACGGTAAAAGTCAAGGCCAAAATTAAGAACCCAGCGAGCAGTCAAGAGCAGCTGTAAGTCATTCCCAGGCAGCAGGACTGAGCCCTAATCAAGGGCCTGACCTGGATTTTAGATTTACTCCAGACCCCTGTGCCTCTTATTTTCCCCCTTTGTAATGTGAAGGTGCACAGTAGTTATCTTACGTCTGTCTTGATCTTATGTGTTGGGAACTGGGCAGGGTTCCTTGTATTAATTAGGCCCAGAGCTTAACTATGTAAAGGAAGAAGAGTCATTACAGCTTAATTTCATGGAACACACTGAAAAATGCCCCTAATTCTACACACAAAATATTTTACAGGATCACATCCCTTCTCTTGCTTACAACTATTTCCAAGCAATCTGGAGGAACTGTTGACTTAAAAATAATTATAGTAATCATGAATTGTGCTCTATAGAATAGAGCAGCAGTCACCAACTGGTAGTCCGCAGACCACTGGTGCTCCATGAGGTCCGAAAGGTTGGCAACCGGCGGTATAGAGAACACAAAAACACAGAAAGTTTCAAAATGCATTTAAAAAAAAAACACCTCTTCTTTTTGCTCCTCCAGTCCTTCCAACAGCACTGAAATTAAGTATGTAAAGTGTAGCCCTAGCCAGTTTGGCTCAGTGGATAGAGCATTGGCCAGCAGACTGAGGGTCCCGGGTTTGATTCTGGCCAAGGGCACATGCCCGGGTTGCAGGCTCGACCCCAGTAGGGGCATACAGGAGGCAGCCCATCAATGATTCTCTCGCATCACTGATGTTTCTATCTCTCTCTCCCTCTCCCATCCTCTCTGAAATCAATGAATATATATTTTTAAAAGTATGTAAAGTGTATATTAAATTTTATAAATACCTAGAGTGGTTTCTTGGCTCTACATATTCTAACAGAGAAACACCAATAGACAGCATGATCTAGGACTGACAGCACTGTTCTGAGTTGGACTTAATCTTTTATATTACTGAAAAACAGTCTTGAGGACACTGATTGCATCACTTCTCACTAGGAGCAGATGATTGGCCTGCCACGGTGTTAAAAGTTCTTTAGAGGCACAAATAGATAAGACTAATCCTAAAGTCTAGGTCAGCCGTGGGCAAGCTACGGCCCGCGGGCCGGAAATGAATAAAACTAAAAAAAAAAAAGACCGTACCCTTTTATGTAATGATGTTTACTTTGAATTTATATTAGTTCACACAAACACTCCATCCATGCTTTTGTTCCAGCCCTCCGGTCCAGTTTAAGAACCCATTGTGGCCCTCAAGTCAAAAAGTTTGCCCACCCCTGGTCTAGGTTCTACTCTGTATCCTTTGTACAACGACTCTGTAGGATGGAATTGGAACTGATCATCTAGTTTTATCCAACATATTTACTACATACTTACTGTTTCAGTTAAATTATTATAATAGCCCTTATTTAGCACCTTTAATTGATTTCCCCCGTTTCATTTATTTTACTGATGCTTAACCCCACTGATTTACTCAGTTATTTATCCAATCTGCTTCACTAAAAATGTAGTGTTTGCTGGCTTTAGCATTTCTTAACATAAGACTTAATAGCAGGGAATTTACAGTATTGAGTTAATAAAATATTCTCTCCAATGCAAACATCACATTCTCTGAAGCAGCTAAATCATCAGTGAATCTAAAAAGCTGCTGTGATTATAGGATTCCTTTCCCCAGAAATCATGTATGATTATACCAATATATGTTTTGTTCCCATGTTAAGATTGGGTAAGAAAATTCGTTTTTTAGAAGCTTAATAAGCAAAAGATATGTAAATGACACACTAAAAGGAGCAAACTTCTTATTAATAGTGCCCTCTACTGGTAGCTCAAGAGGTTCTGATTTACTTACTCTAGGATACTGGATTTAAGTGTGGTCCCCGACCACCCGCACAAATCCCCTGAAAAGCTTGTTAAGAATACAACTTCCATCTTTTACAAAATATCTACAGATATTGTGATTTCCATAATTCTGGGGTAATATCTATAACTCTGCACTTTTAACAAGTTCCCTGGCTCCATGTTAGAATCACCTGGGGAGTTTGTAAAAATGCTTATCCTCAGGTTTCACTGTAGAACTAGGGTCAATACTCTTTCCATGTAGACAGAAGTGTTCTTAGGTCAGTACTACCTCAATCTGTTCTTTCGTAAACTTATGCCTAGATCCGCTGGGTACTCATAACTGCAAACCTACTTTCCCCTCCCTATTGGATACTATATTAGTTTATAAAACTTGCTGGAAGACTCTCAGCAAGTCTGAAAAAGCTGATATGCCTAAAAGAAAGAGAAAGGTAATAAATTAAAAAAGATATTAAATAAAACTTTAAAATTAATTCATATTTACCTCTGAATTCCTTCAAGAATATTCTTCACAGCTGCCATTAACTTTTGAAGATATATAAATGCTTCTTCAAATGATGGTATTTTTGAGGAAGTCAGAGCTGAATTTGGGCCCAATCTTTGAAACACATCTGTGCTGAAATAGAGAAAAAGAAAAGATACTCATATGTACACCTGCATGTTTACAGGAATCCAAGTATTTCCATTTCTAATGCATAAAATATTTATAACTCATCTCTCATAATGCTGCTCTATATAAACTGTTTTCTTCTAGGAGTTTTATAATTCTAGTTCTTATATTTAGGTCATCTACCCATTTTGAGTTAATTTCTTTATGTAGTATAAAGTCCAACTTCATTCTTTTGCATGTAGCTATTGAGTTGTCCCAGCACTATTATTAAAGATACCATTCTTTTCTTATTGAATGGCTTTGGCATCCTGATTGAAATCAACCAACCATAGATGTATGCATTTACTTCCGTACTTTCAAGTCTATTCTATTAACTTATGTGTCTAATTTATGCCAGTAGCACACTGTTTTGAATACTGTAGTTTTGTAGTAAGTTTTGAAATCAGGAAGTATGAGTCCTCCAAATTTCTTGTTAAAACTTCCATTCCATGAACAATGGATTCTTCCATTTACACAGATCTTTTTTTTTTTTTTTTAATTTTTTTTTAATATATTTTATGATTTATTACAGAGAGGAAGGGAGAGAGATAGAGAGCCAGAAACTTCAATGAGAGAGAAACATCAATCAGCTGCCTCCTGCACATCTCCTACTGGAGATGTGCCTGCAACCCAGGTACATGCCCTTGACGGGAATCGAACCCCGGACCCTTCAGTCCGCAGGCCGCTGCTCTATCCACTGAGCCAAACCGGTTTCGGCTACACAGATCTTCTTTAATGTCTTTCAAAAAATGTTTTGTAGTTTTCAGTGTAAAAATTTTGCACCTTCTTGGTTAAATTGATTCCTAAGTATTTTATTCTTCTTGATGATAATGTAAGTAGAATTGTTTCTTTATTTCCTTTTTGGATTGTTCATTGCTAGTGTATAGAAATACAACTGGTTTTGTGTATTTATTACTTTAAAAATAAAAACCATAAACTTATTTAGGACACATCTTTAAAAAATTTTTATACATTTAAAGCCTAGACATCATATAAAATATGAAAAATTCAGTAAAAGGAAGGAAATATGTAGTACCCATAGTCCACCAACTAGAGATAAGCATTATTAATATCCATGAGATCTTCATCATTAATAGTACCTAATACTTACCCAAATTCCTCATAAACAGAAAAGATGCAAAAACCTGAGCTGGTGTGCTATAAGTTCATAACTGATTACTGAATCACGAGAGCACAGGGCAAGGAGATGCAGGTACCAAGTGCGTAGGTACTCTAGTTGTTTCGGAAGAATGACTGTGCATGGGGTCTACCGGAACTTCAAATGAGCACCTCTACGCGAAAGCGTCGAGCATAAATATGCTGAAAACTCTCCAGTGACTCAGGTACACAATCAGGCCTGAGAATCACTGAAGTAGACTCTAATAACTACACTGATAAAGCAAGATCAGCACTTTTCACTTATATTATCCAGAAATTACCCAGAACTCTTGAGGGAATTCTGATGTACACCCCTATTTAAGCATCACTGTTTTTAAGGTACCAATTTGACAAAAGACCCTCAATAAGGTAATCTAGTTAATTAAACTCACAATTCAGACTCTAACGGTTCAATGAATATCGGTAATGATGGCCAACCCTAAAATTCAACACTTCTTAGACATTTCGTACCTGTTCTCATATATTGTAATCCAAACACTCTCTAAGATAGACCAGATTTCTTGATGCCTGTTGGGTGGGGAAAGACGAGCGCCCGAGAAAATGGTGATTTCTTGGTTGTCAGACTTCATTGGAGAAGTATCTTCTTGCTTGTTACCCGCTGTATTTTCTGAAGGATTTTGATTACGTTTTACCTTGACCTAGAGAAATAAGTATTACATAAAATGCAGCTAGTCCTTCATTAGTGAGAGAAAAAGAAGGCCAGTTGTGCTTCCAAATGTTCTAGCTTTCTGGAAAGTGCTGCCTATTCTCTGTCTTTTGATTCCATACAGAATAATCCCAGAAAAGTATCAGAACAAAAAAAAAAATTCCCTTTTTCATTTATATCAAACAATATTTCCAAACTTTCTTAGCTAGCATGCTAGTATCAATTTAATACTGTTTGAACTCTTCTGCACATATGGTATTGAAATAGAGAAAGGACACCTAGGATGCAATGATAAATTGGTATATGCAAGCCTCTAAGTTCCTAATAATCCATTAAGAAGAATGAGATTCGCCGAAACCGGTTTGGCTCAGTGGATAGAGCGTCAGCCTGCGGACTGAGAGGTCCTGGGTTCGATTCCGGTCAAGGGCATGTACCTGGGTTGCGGGCACATCCCCGTGGGGGATGTGCAGGAGGCAGCTGATCGATGTTTCTCTCTCATCGATGTTTCTAACTCTCTCTATCTCTCTCCCTTCCTCTCTATGAAAAATCAATAAAATATATATATAAAAAAAAAGAAGAATGAGATTCAAAGTGCTATAAAAAAAAATCCGGATAGAATATAAGCCTTAATCCTGTGGGCAATTGTGAACCACTGAAGGTTTCTCAAGAAATGATATATTCAGAATAGCACTCTAAGACAAACTGGAACAGAAGAAAGTCGAGGCAAGAAACTGATTAGGCCCTGGCCAGTGTGGCTAGTTGGATGGGAATCATCTGGAGCACCAAGAGGTTGCTGGTTCAATTCCAGGTCAGGGCCTGGGTTGTGGGCTTAATCCCCGTTGATGGTGTGCAAGAGGCAGCCTGTCGATGTGATGCTCTCACATCGATGTTTCTTTCTTCTCCCTTCCTCTCTCTCTAAAAAGCAATGTATTCTTTAAAAAAGAAAGAATACAAGAAACTAGTTAGAAGGCTACTGAAATAATCCAGGAAAGGAATGCTGAGAACTTGAATTAGATAGGAAAATGCAGAATAAAAAGGAAAAAAGAGTATACAAGAAATATTTTTAAAAACTTGCCAAAGACTACATTCAAGAATTCTAAGATTTTTTTTAACCTAGATGCCCAGAAAAATAATGGTACTAATAAGAGAAATTTAGGATGTCTATAAAGTCTAGACATGTGTTTTAAATAGTTCAAACCTCTTTGAGCACAAGTCAATATTTTTAAATACTCAGTGTGCAACATATAATGGGCATACCATTATCTGATAAATGACAATAAATTTTAACATCACGCTTTCATGGTACTTCTCATCTTTACATTTCCATTGATGGAAGGACCTTGACTTGATATTCATTATTATTTTTATCTCAATCAATCCTAAGTTTTGACTCTCAATAAACTTAAATCACAAACTGCAAAGCCCATGGGTATCTTGAACTTTCCATGTTGTTCACTATATTTGTTTCACTGAAGATGTGGTTCAGGGCTCAGTTCTGTGAGGAGAAAGAATAACATATATTTCCCTACACAATTCAAGTACAATACTCAAGCTGCAATCCACTAACTTTCCAGATCTATTCTTTCCTATTGTTAATTCTAAAAGCCATAAACAAAGACAACTACCTATGTTTTGGTTATCTTAAACCAAAAGATCATTTTGCCCCTTAAGTTGATTCCTTCTTCCAGAATTATCACATATTTCCTATTAGTTCATTTAAAAGATGCTCTTGTCGGCCTGCGGACTGAAGGGTCCCGGGTTCAATGCTGGTCAAGGGCACATGCCTGGGTTGCAGGCTTGATCCCAGCAACTGATCAATGATTCTCCCTCATCACTGATGTTTCTCTCTCTCTCCTTCTCCCTTCCTCTCTGAAATCAATAAAAATATATTTTAAAAGATGCTTCTTTTACTCCATGAGATACTCTCTTAAGCAAGTTAGTTCTTCCCTCACCAACTATGACTAAGTTTAGTATCATCTAATCTTTTCTTTACTTCATAGTTACTGGGACCTATGTGACTGTGAAAAATCACTGGGAAAAATCTGGCCAATTCAATAACTCAAGAGAAAAAAGAGAATCAATAATTTTAGCTAGTAATTGTGGTTCTGAGTTCTTTGAGATACTTCTGGACTATAAAACTCCCAGAATTTTCCAGATTTAAAATTAGAAGACTGTAGAAATAGATTATTACCAAGGCCAAAACTTACACAGTCAATTTAAAAGGGGTAAAACACACCAGGGCTAGGGTGACAGCATAAGAATAATGTGAAAAGCCCAAACCGGTTTGGCTCAGTGGATAGAGCGTCGGCCTGCGGACTGAAAGGTCCCAGCTTTGATTCTGATCAAGGGCATGTACCTTGGTTGCGGGCACATCCCTAGTAGGAGATGTGCAGGAGGCAGCTGATTGATGTTTCTCTCTCATCAATGTTTCTAACTCTCTCTCTCTCTCTTCCTTCCTCTCTGTAAAAAATCAATAAAATATATTTAAAAAAAAAAGAATAATGTGAAAATACTTGTTAGAAATTTGATAGGTGAATGGGTGAAAACTGAATAAGATAAACAGGTTAGATAATTATATTACTTCAATATTAATTTCCTGATTAATTATACTAGTTACATAAGGTATGCTTATTCTTTAGAATATACATATGTATATAAGTATATATGTGTATGTGTGTGTGTGTATATATATATAAGTATTTAGGAGTAAAGGGGATTCACATCTTCAATGTACTTTCAAAGAGTTCAGAAAAAAAATGTGAAAGATAAGGTAGTAAGAACACAGGGAAAACAATAAAGCAAATGTGATAAAATGTTAGCATTGAAAAATCTGGGTAAAAGATATAAATGGGAATTCTATGTACTACTCTTGCAATTTTTTGTGTAAATTTGAAATTATTTCAGAATAAAAAGTAAAACAAGAACAACATTTTTGAACACCACTCCCAGAAATTTGAGTCAGTGAGATTTGAGAGAGGCTTGGCACCTGCATGTTTAAAAAAAAAATCCAAAGTATTCTGATGCATGTTGTGGTCCATGGTCTACAGCACTGGGAAATGAGTATTCAAACAACAGTGCATAGCTTTCTTCTATCCAATAAATAAAATAATTAAAATCCCCAACAACTGCTATGATACTACTTCCATATAACAATGTGTTTTATAACGTGTAATAAGAACTGTTTACTCAACATTCAATTCACTTACTATTTTTAAAAAAATATATATTTTATTGATTTTTCACAGAGAGGAAGGGAGAGGGATAGAGAGTTAGAAACATCGATGAGAGAGAAACATCGATCAGCTGCCTCCTGCACACTCCCCACTGGGGATGCACCCGCAACCAAGGTACATGCCCTTGACAGGAATCGAACCTGGGACCCTTGAGTCTGCAGGCTGACGCTCTATCCACTGAGCCAAACCGGTCAGGGCTTCACTTACTATTTTACTTAATGCCTTCAGTATGTTAGAATAAATGAAAATTAAAATAGCCTTTACCTACTGTTGTCTGCTAAATACATTAAAATGTATGTGATTAGCTACTCTAAACGGCATTCCAAAGGCGTCTTACCTCTGTAAATGTTTGGAGAAGTTTGTTTACTTGAGCAAAGGCCTGTGGAAGAACACCATCATAATCTGACCTTGTACTGAAAGCATGTAATAGGCTTTGAGAATCCTGGAGTAGGAATTTCACTGTTGTAAAATCTACTGCACTGTTAGCTGGGAAAACAAAATTAAGAAGAAATAAATATGTAAGAATGACTATACAAGTCAAAAAATGTTTTTGGAAAACCAACCTAATATTAATTATGAGATTTAAGAAGAGTACACATTTACATCTACAAGTCACTCCTAATTTATCTCTCTGGTGTAAAAAGCAGCAATTAAACAGACTTAGTTACAAAGTTCTTGGAGGTGATTCTGCTATTCTGCATTTAGATTCTAGGAGTTCCCACAACATAGTCAATTCAAAGACATGCTATTCAGAAAAGAGAGCCAGTCATCACACAAATAAGTTAAACTACAGAGTTTTCGAAACTGAGACTGTTTCACATACAAATTACTATGGAGGCATCAGAAGAGTCCCACTCTGGTAGCAAGCACATAAGTTATATGTGGTACCTCTCATAATCAACTCAGTTATTATATAGTGATTTACCTTCAAATTCCATTACATAAAATGTAATACTAGATTTATTGAAAATAACCTGCTTTCTCTCTGTGTATGACATTTAGCAAAACATAAATAATTTTGGTAACAGTACGCTTGGGGCAAGAGAAGCTAGCAATTTTTCCCCCCTGTAAATTAGGAAAGTGAGTTCATCTAATAGTACCAGTAATTTAAAGATATAACTTTCTCTCAAGGAATTAAAATTACATTAAAATCTCAAACCAATTAGAAGAGATGGTGGCAATAATTTCAAAGATTTAAAAAGTTATGAATAATGAGATTAAGTAACTTTCTGTTGTCACCAAAACTCAAAATAAAAAGAATTTTTCCATTATTAAGATAAAATGCTACTAACAAATTCTTTTTCAAATTCTTTTCTTTAATTCTTTATTGTTTAAAGTATTACGTGTCTCCTTTTTACCCCATTGATCTCTCCCCAGCTGTTCCCACCCCTCATACTAACAATTTTCCAAGGCATTCAAAATAACCATTTTACAATGTGTTTTATTTAATGTTCAGTTTCAGCGACTGTTATATTCAGAAACACCAGCACTGGCACTATGAGTTAAAAAAAATAAAGAATTCCCCTGTATCATTTATAGAGCAAGTGTTTGTTTGTAAAATACTGAAAGGTCAAATGAAAATTAAAGATAAATTTTAATAATTACAGAATATTCAGAAATTCTAATCTAATGTGATGGTAACAGCCAAGCTTCTAGCTTTCCTTTTACCAAACAAATAGTATATTTCCTTACAAAACACTTTCAATTATTTTTAAAGTCAATGACTAGTTTAAATTCCTGTGGGAAAAGAGAGATGGGAGAAATGCTACACACAGGACAGAATGGAGATTCCATGAACCTAGGAAACTCCTGAGGAGGAGAAACTGGGCACAACTTTTTCTAAGGGTGCTTCTCCACTCTAGTCTATGTTCATTAGGGCTTATATCCTTGAATTAATCACTTTATTTCTGTCTTAAAAAATTCTTTATGAAGATTATGAGCAAAAGAGAAATAACAGTGATAAAGTCAGTACTTAGACACAACATAAAAAGAAATCTATGTGATTGAAATAGTTTAATGCTTATGTAAGAACAATAATTATTTAAGACAAAGTTAATATGGATAATAAGTCAGAAAAAGCTACTAGTCATTTTCCACACAATTTTCTATGCATTGATCTACGGATTCCTGTTTGGTATACTGAAGTTAAATATATATGTACTACAGGTCCAGTGCACAAAATTCGTGCACAGGAGTGTGTATCTGTCAGCCCAGCCGGCACCCTCTCCAATCTGGGACCCCTCGAGGAATGTCCGACTGACCATTTAGGCCACTGGGATCGGGCCTAAACGGGCAGTCGGACATCCCTTTCACAATCCAGGACTCCCAAATGCTCGCCTGCCTGCCTGATTGCCCCTAACCACTTCTGCTTTCCAGCCTAATCACCCCCTAACCACTCCCCTGCCAGCCTGATTGACGCCTAACTGCTCCCCTGCCGGCCCAGTCCCACCAGCTGCCCTCCTCTGCTGGCCCAATTGCCCCTAACAGCCCTCCCCTGCCGGCCTGGTCACCCCCAACTGCCCTCCCCTGCTAGCCGTCTTGTGGTGGCCATCTTGTGTCCACATGGGGGCAGCTATCTTTGACCACATGGGGGCGGCCATCTTGTGTTGGAGTGATGGTCAATTTGCATATTACTCTTTTATTAGATGGGATATTCAATAGTGAGGATACAATTAAAGATAGTAAACAAAATCTGCTATTCTCTTACTCAAAATTATCTTAGCGCAGAAGGTACTTTTAACATTCTATTTAATACGAGAAGCCCAGTGCATGAATTTTCATGCACTTGGGGGGATGGTCCCTCAGCCCAGCCCGCGCCCTCTCCCAGTCTAGGAGCCCTCGGGGGATGTCCACCTGCTGGCTTAGGCCTGCTCCCCGGGGGATCAGGCCTAAGCTGGCAGTCAGACATCCCTCTGGCAGCCCGGGAGCCATTGGGCGATGTCCAACTGTGGCTTAAGCTTGTGGCTGAGAGGAGCTCCCCTTGTGGGAGTGCACTGACCACCAGGGGCAGCTCCTGCGTTGAGCATCTGCCCCCTGGTGATCAGTGTGCATCATAGTGACCAGTCATTCTACTGTTAGGGTCAATTTGCATATTACCCTTTTATTATATAGGATTCTTCACAAGTCAGTAAACATTAGGCAGCAGATTCTTCTAGAGCAGTGGTTCTCAACTTCTGGCCCTTTAAATACAGTTCCTCATGTTGTGACCCAACCATAAAATTATTTTTGTTGCTACTTCATAACTGTAATGTTGCTACTGTTATGAATTGTAATGTAAATATCTGATATGCAGGATGGTCTTAGGCAACCCCTGTGAAAGGGTCGTTCGACCGCCAAAGGGGTCGGAACCCACAGGTTGAGAACCGCTGTTCTAGAGCAAGGATCAATAAATAATGCACTTAAGAATTCTAAAAATGATGTTTTAGCAAAAGAAACAGTTACCATGTCTTCACTTCTTTCCCTATTGCCAATGAGAGCTGCTGCCTACTACCTCTAAGCTGCATGCAAGAGCAAAACACTGCCCACCCCTGGAAAAAACAGACAAATGGAGGCTAGTAACTCAATACCCCATATTTCTGAAATTAAATCTTGTTCAAGATCACACCTGGTTTATGGACTCTCTCTTTTGATAGAACCAACTAAATTATGCCACTAGTAAAAGATATAAAAAAATATTTTGCTATATATGTATCTTGTAAAACTGCTTTGAAGTCATGTCCAGCAAATTGTGCCATGTCCCTTATATAATAACTAGAGGCCTGGTGCACAAAAATTTGTGCACTCGGGGGGGAGAGGGGGTTTCTCAGCCTGGCCTGTGCCCTCTCGCAGTCTGGGACCCCTCAGGAGAAAACAACCTGCTGGCTTAGGCCCGCTCCCGGGTGGCAGAGAGCAGGCCCAATCCCTAGGTGCAGCCCTTGGACAGGCTCAGAGCAGGGCTGATTGGGGAGTTGGGGCGCCTTCCCCTGTCATGCACAGAGCAGGGCGGATCGGGAGGTTACGATGCCACCCCTAGTCACGCTCAGGGTAGGGCCGATTGGGGGGTTGGGGCACCACTCCCTGTCACACTCAAGGCAGGGTCGATAGGGAGGTTGCGGCGCCACCCCGTCACGCACAGAGCAGGGCTGATCAGGAGGTTGGGGCGCTGCCCCCTATCACGCACCGAGCAGGGCCCATCAGGGGGGTTGGGGCCCTGTACCCTGTCACACACAGAGCAGGGCCGATCAGGGGGTTGGGGAGCTCCCCCGTCACTCACAGAGCAGGACTGATAGGGGAGTTGGGGCACCGCCCCGTCACACACAGAGCAGGGCAGATCAGGGGGTTGGGGCGCTGCCACTGTCACACTCAGGGCAGGGCCAATGGGGGGTGGGGGGGTTGGGGCGCCGCGCCCTGTCACACACAGAGCCGCAGGGCCATCGGGAATTGGGGAGCTCCCCCGTCACGCACAGAGCAGGGCTGATCAGGGGGTTGAGGAGCTCCCCCGTCACGAACACAGCATGGCGGATAGGGAGGTTGTGGCCCCGCCCCCTGTCACACACAGAGCCGCAGGGCGATCAGGGGGTTTGGTCGCTGCCCCCTGTCACGCTGATCCCGGTGCTGGGAGGCCTCGCTGCTCCGCTGATCCTGGTGCTGGGAGGCATATTACCCTTTTACTATATAGGCTAGAGGCCCGGTGCATGGGTGGGGGCCGGCTGGTTTGCCCTGAAGGGTGTCCTGGATCAGGGTGGGGGTTCCGCTTGGGTGCCTGGCCAGCCTGGATGAGGGGATGATGGCTGTTTGCATCTGGTCACACCCCCTTCAGGGTGGGGGTCCCGCTTGGGTGCCTAGCCAGCCTGGGTGAGGGGATGATGCCTGTTTGCATCTGGTCACACCCCCTTTAGGGTGGGGGTCCCCACTGGGGTGCCTGGCCAGCCTGGGTGAGGGGCTGAGGGCCGTTTTCAAGCTGGTGGGTGACTGAAGCTCCCAACCTGTCCTTTTTTCCTTTTTTTTTTTTTATTCTGGGCCAGCTTTAGCTCTGAGGCTTGGCTCCAGCTATGAGACCTCCGCTGCTGAAAGCAGGTTTCTGGCCTTTGTTTACCTTCTGTGTTTGAAACAATGTTGCGATCCTGCTGGCTGAAGCCCAGGGTTTTGTTTAGCTTCTATATTTGTTACAATGTTGCTTGGAGTGCAGCTGAGAGGCCAGCAAGGCAGGCCGGGAAGCTTGGCTTCCTCTGTCACTGAAGCAAGCAAGCCTCCCTGTTCGCGTCAGCTGCCTGGCTGCCGGTCGCCATCTTGGCTAGCAGTTAATTTGCATATCGCCCTGATTAGCCAATGGGAAGGGTAGCGGTCGTACGCCAATTACCATGTTTCTCTTTTATTAGATAGGATACCCCTAATAAATAACTTTTATAGTTAAACACAATGCCTGAAAAGTGTCTTTCTTTAAAAATGGTAACTGTGAAAAATAGGTATTCATGCAAAATCTACCTTGTATAAGCTATAAGGAGCTGATAGGCACTTCAAATCCCCTGGGTTTTTACTTTGCTTTTTAAAGGTATAACACAACAAATCTAGCTGTTTGACTTTGGACAAATCATTTACCCTCTCAGGACTAGTTTCCTTGACCGCAAAACATGGGCTTTAATAGCATCAGATCAGTGCTTTTCACATCTTTTTATTCTTATCAGAGAAACATTTTTTTCATATCCTACATGGCATCTCCATATATAAACAGATAAAAGAAAGCTACTTCACTAAAGCTGGGGTTGAAGGCCAAAGCCTCACCACTTGCCATACTCCCATCAACCTCTCCACCTTTAATTGGGAAAGCAATTTGTGGCAGCTCCATGCATCCAGCTGCCACAAATTCCCTTTAGATATGAGAAGTATAAGCAATTAAGAATTGACGAAATTTTTATTAACTTATCTTCACATTCCACGTACTATATCTGCTAGTCCCACTTTAACACTGCTGAAAACAAAAGATTCATACCTTTACAGAGACTGTCGTATAAGCTCTCAACGGTTAAAAGCAAGTTATTTTCCATAATTAATCCAAAGACAGCCAACCAATGTTTTTTAAAGCATTGTATTAAATGCATTAGAGTCCACGGTGGTTTCAAGTACAGCATCTAAAAAGTATTTAGAAAAAATCAGCATATACTGATTTATTTATTATTCCTATTATTTAAAAAAGTACAGTTTACCCTTGAACAACACAGGTTAGAACTGTGCAGGTCCAGTTTATGTGCAGTTTTTTCAATAAATACGTACAGTACTGTAAATGTATTTTCTCTTCTTCATGATTTTCTTACTATTTTCTTTTCTTCAACTTACTTTATTGCAAGAATACAGTATATAATACATGTGACATACAAATTACTTGTTAGTTGACTATTTATGTTCTCAGTAAGGCTTCTGGTCAACAGTAGGCTATTAGTAGTTAAGTTTTTAGGGAGTCAAAAGTTACATGTGGATTTTCAACTGCATGAGTGGTCATAACTTCAAAACCCCAAGTTGTTCAAGGGTCAACTGTACCTATTCAGGAATACCAATATATATTTCTGAGAAAAATATAATTAGTTGAATTCCTTTTAAACTAAAAGATGTGTTATTCAAAGCCAAGCATAATCTTAAAATGATTCCATTACAAGTTCCTTTGTAAAACTGATATCAATATTAATCCTTATAGTTTCAGAAACTACGTGTGCAAAAAGAAAACATAGGTTTAATGAGAAGCATAATTTTAATTAGCAAAGGTCAACAATCTACTTTTTAAAATGGTCATTTCTGAGGAATCCAATCTAATTAGTTTCATGTAACTGGTGAAAAAATTCTTATAGGAAAAAGTTGTCAATTATAATTGACACCTGCTATACTCTGACAAAGATGTTTATAAAGAAGATTGATCATTTAGTACTACAAAATGTCAGCATGTCCTTCATATAAAATTACTGTCTTAGATTCTATTATGAAATATCCACTTTAAGTAAACCGTTCTAGAATGTTATCATTCTTCTGAATTTTGATAATATAATCAAGAGCAAACACGTTATAAGCAAATACTAGTATCAGTATCTCACCGAATACCTGGAAAAGACACAATCTACAATTGATGGGGACTAATGTTTCTCCTAGCTATAAATGTGAACAGCAAACAAGCATTAAACTAAAAAAGCCACCATTGCCAAATGTGGTGTTTTACTGATTGGAGAAAAGATGTAAATCTAAAGAAAATTCAAAATATCTTGCTAATATGATCAAATTTATACCGATTCTCATATTTATGTGACATAAGCCAAAATATACCTTTCTTTTTCTGAATACATCTTACTTAGGGGAATTCCCTATACAAGACATTTTGACTCAAACTAACATGAGAGAAGTTTTTCTGAATACAATTGAAGCTCTATGGGGGCAAAGCGTCTGACACAGTAGATGCACAATAAATATTTGTTCACTAAAAAAATGACTAATATAATATACTAGTAGTCCCAATCTTTTGGAAATTTCTATCATTTAATTTTCAAAATGTTATTTCAAAAACTTCAAGAGCCCTAACTGGTTTGGCTCAGTGGATAGAGCGTCGGCCTGCGGACTGAAGGGTCCCAGGTTCTATTCTGGTCAAGGGCATGTACCTTGGTTGTGGGCACATCCCCAGTAGGAGGTGTGCAGGAAGGAGGCAGCTGATCGATGTTTCTCTCTCATCGATGTTTCTAACTCTCTATCCCTCTCCTTCCTCTCTGAAAAGTCAATAAAATATATATTAAAAAACAACTTCAAGAAAAAATATAATGTGATATACATTATTACTATAAAGCTTACCAAGAACTATTTCTTAAAATAAGGTAACCAATCTAGCAATAAAAAAGAACTTTTCAACTAATAGAGTAGAAATAATTACCTCCATCCAGAGGTTTCCAAAAGCAATTTTCATTTCTGTTTCTAATATTGAAGATAAGGCTGTTCCAAGAGATTTTTCAAGATCAGCTACTATGCCTTCAAGCAGAATGAGCAGTCCAGAATTTACAGATTCTTCCTCATTACTCTTTCCCAAAGGTGTTTGCTCTTTAAAACAATTATAAGCTTTTTTTTAGGACACTAACAGTAAATATTTTACATATGTAGTTAGTATTTGGCCATAATAAGCATTTTATGTATATAATTAGTATTTTAATTACCTATAAAAGAAACTAATAGTTTTTTAAAAATATATTTTTACTGATTTCAGAGAGGAAGAGAGAGAGAGAGAAATATCAATGATGAGCCCTGGCCGGTTTGACTCAGTGGATAGAACGTTGGCCTGCGGACCAAAGGGTCCTGGGTGTGATTCCAGTCAAGGGCACGTACTTCAGTAGCAGGCTTCTTCAAGCCTGCGCCCTGGTTGGGGCTCGTGAAGGAGGCAAGCAATCCATGTATTTCTCTCACATCGATATTTCTCTCTGTATTTCCCTCTCTCTAAAAATCAGTGGAAAAATATACTCAGGTGAGAATTAAAAATAAATAAATATCAATGATAAGAGAGAATCATTGATCTCCTGCCTCCTGAACACCTTCTACTAGGATTGAGCCTGCAACCGGGGCAAGACAGGAATCTAACCATGACCTCCTGGTTCATAAGTTGACGCTCAACCACTGAGCTACAAGGGTCGGAACCAATACTTTATTTTAAAATCAGTATTTAGAAACGTATCTCCAGTATAGTTGTTTTTGATTCAACATAAACCATGTTATATTAGCAAATGCTTTATCTTTTTGACAAAAGGTAACTAAATAGTGTCAATGAAATAAAAATTTAGGAAATGTGTGTGGCCAGGGCCAGTGTGGTTCAGTTGCTTGGAGCATCATCCATACAGTGTCACGGGTTCGATTCCCAGTAGGGGTACATACCTAAGTTTTGGGTTTGATCCCTGACCCCAGCTGGGGTGCATTCGGAAGGCAATTGGTCAATGTTTCTCTCTCTCTTTCTCTCTCTCTCCCTCCCTCTCTTCCCTTCTTCTAAAAATCAATGAAAATGTCCTCAGCTGAGGATTAAACAAAAGAAATGTGTGTGATATTTTAACTATAATTTTGATTTTAATATTTTCAAAAAGAAAAATAATGAGAATGCTTTGATTCTATATACAATAGAAAATTAAGAAGTATGGATCAAAATGTGTTTTCTTCCAAAAAATAGTATATCCTTCCAATTGAAGCTCACGTCAATAAACTGTTTTGAAAGGACCAAAATCTCTGATTTAACTACCTTTATGCCCAACCCTTTTAAAATGAGTTTTATTATTTTAATTTATATCATTTAATTGATACCCAAAAACAACTATAATTTATTGTAAAATTCAAAATATTAACTGGCTTATCTCTACAAACACAAACTAAGTATTTAAAATAACAGTAACATAATGGGCAAAATAAAAGCATGGTACCCCCAAAAAACTATAAACTAACATGTCCTGTTATTCCTTCTAAATGCTATTTTGAATATTATGACTAAAGAAATTTTACTATCAGAAAGGTCAAATAAGTAGCAAATGTATATATGAATTTTTGTATCATTTTATATAAAAGTATAGACAATATTAGAGATTTCAATAATTATTTTCCCTACAGAAGGAAAAGGTAGTATGTGTTTTTAAATTATGTCAGGCTTAATATAATACTCCATCACATATCACACTATATTATAAAAGAGATTATTCTGGGGAAAAAGAGATTATTTTGGTCATGGGGAAAAAAAGCCTTTAGCTGTCTTAACTATTAATTTAAAAAGAACTAGTACTAGAGCCAAGTTTTTCTATTATTGAGTTTTTACAGTAATAATAGAAGTTTATGAATATGAAGCTAATTTTAAAAAGGAACTAAAGCCCAGCCGGCGTGGCTCAGTGGTTGAGCATCAATCTATGAACCAGGAGGTCAAAGTTCGATTCCCAGTAAGGCCACATGCCTCGGTTGTGGGCTCTATCCCCAAGGAGGGTCATGCAGGAGGCAGCTGATCCATGATTCTCTCTCATCATTGATGTTTCTCTCTCTCTCTCTCTCTCTCCCTTCCTCTCTGAAATCAATAAAAATATATATTTTAAAAATAAATAAATAAAACTAAATATTTCTACTTCAAATGAATATGTCCCAAAGCCATTATTAATTTAAAAAGTATACTCTGCAAGTTACAAAATAGTATGCACAAAATAATTATAAATATGTAAACTGTGTGTGAACAATAAACATTCAAGTTAATTTGTAAAAGTATATGTAGAAGGCAATACTGTTATGTTTTCTTTTGTATTACCATTATAATTTTCATTCATCTCTAACATCTATGTGAGCAAATATTCCAATATTATTTTAAATGTACAAGATAAAATTTTTCTATGTAATTACAACTGTTATCAATAATCTTAGTATATAAAATAAGATACATTTCTAGTTATTCATAATAATATTACCTGTTTTCAATTGTTGCTTAGATACACATGGCTGATGACATGTAACTGTGTTCAGAGACAAATTTAAGAACTCTGTACTCAATTCTTCTTTACTGAGTGACTTCACACCACTTATTAGGCCTTTGTTTCTTAAATTTCTATCATCCCTAAGGTTGGTTATAGAGAAAAAAATATTTTATTTTTTACTTTTTTATAAGATAAATCACTCAGTTGGCAACTCAAAATACATAGGGTTAAATCAGAGGTTTGTAATTCTCAGCATATATATTAACAAGAGACCAATTTTTTTTAAGTAAAGAAAATAAAGAATTAACACACAATAGAATCACATCATATGAGCTTTAGAGAATAATTATTATGTATTGAGTGCTCAAAGTTAGCTAATCTAAATTCAAAATAATTCGCATATTAATAATTCTATTTCAGCCTTCAACAAACTCTGAGATGAAATGTTATAGATTTAAAAAAACCAAATAATTTAAAACCTAGAGATAGAAATCTGTGATGTTTCCTTTAACACCAAAAGAGAGCTAAAGAGAGCTAAAATAGTAATTGACAAAGCCCCATTACAAAAAAAATCTTAAGAGTCATTCATTTCCATAATCACTCCATTTCAGAGAATTTAGGCATGATCATGAAACTGTAAAAACTCTGTTTTGCAGTGATTAAAATTCAGACTAAAAAAGGAAATTAAAACTGTTCTTCTCAGTTCTTTCAGAGCCTTTTCGCTCTCTTCTGTTTTTGAATTTTTAAAGTTTATTTGAGCTAAACAGAGTATATGCCTGGAAGCAAGACCTCAACAGACTGCAATAAATGCTTCCCAGAGCCTTTAAAATGCATGATGAATGCAATCTTGGTTAGCATTATCGTAGTTTCATAACTCAGAGCTAAGTTATGAAAATATTAGTTGAGAATGGAGGAAAGCGAGGAAGAAGAGAGAAAGGGAAAAAACCTCTGAGATCACACTGTATACTAGGCACTAAGTCCTTCATATATATTATGTGATTAAATACAATAACCTCACGAGGCAGGTCTTCTTCTCTCTCTGTTTTACACAGAGGAAACTAAGTTAAGCAACCTTCCAAAGTCACAGAGCTGCTAAGTGGTAGATCCAGGACTCGAATCCAGGCACCAAGGACACAACTACAACATAAATGACTCCTTTCTCAGGTACCAATTAATTAACCTTCTGCCTCATAACCAAAAAATGTCAGAGTCTTATTTCTAAACTATTTCATTGGGATATTAAAATGGTATTTCCTTGCTTTTCAAAAGTTTTTTGAATATTATATATAAATTAAATTGAAATGAAACTTCATTTACTTGAGATTTCAATCTTTCATAGCAAAAATGTGAGATAGTACAGCATGGTGAATGTAGTTAATAATACTGTACTGCATATTCAAAAACTGCTAAGAGAATAGATCTTAAAAGTCCTCATCACAAGAAAAAATATCTTTTATAACTATGTTTGGTGATGGATGTGTTAATGTGGTGATCATTTAATAATATAAAAAATATCAAATCATTGTTGTACATCTGAAACTAATATGCTATGTGTCAATTATACCTCAATAAGAAAAATAAAAGAGGAATCTTGGTCCCCAGCATATGTCATCAGTTTGGCTCAAATAACCTTATAAAATTCAAAAAAAGAACATGAAATATAATTGAATATGCTTACTGGCAGACTTATAAAGTATACATTATTTTAATCGTTGGTATGATAGATTCAGTATGATTTTTAAAAATTCTTTGGTACAATCTGCTACTTTTTTTAAACATATTTTTATTGATTTCAGAGAGGAAGGGAGAGGGAGAGAGAGATAGAAACATTAATGATGAGACAGAACCACTGATTGGCTGCCTCCTGCAAGCCCCACATTGGTGATCGAGCCCATAACCTGGGCATGTGCCTTTGACCAGAATCAAACCCAGAACCCTTCAGTCCACAGGCTTACACTATCCACTAAGCCAGACAGGTTAGGGCCAATTTTTGCTACTTTTTTAAAAAAGAAGAAAATGACCACGATACTCACGTGCACAGAATAACAAGAGAACTAGGGAATAATTCCTGGTATTGAAGGCAGCATTTTAATACGCGATCATCATTGTTCTCATCACTGAATCCATCTGCAAATTTAGTAAAAGCAATTATCATTCAGCATACTAGAAATCTGGGTACTATATGTATAATCTGGACTGTACATATATACCAAAAACATATAAAACAAAAAAATTTTTGTAAATAAAAAGAAGATACGACATAGCAAAGTAATACCTTAAGAATTTTAGATCTAGAACTCAGGTAGCATATAGTTGTGAGTTTGAAAAAGTTTTTAGTTTTCTACTAAAATGTAATGGGATATACCTATAAATAAACTCAAAAAAATATGATCAGGGTTAGAAACCAAAAGCTATGAATTCTAGTCTCAATTCAGTCAACTAGAGATTATTAGTAAATTATGATTATATCATGCTTAAAATGATGTCAACTTAAAAGAGATCTGTAAAGATTATAAGCAACTATTCTACCAGAACAGAACCACTTTCATGGGTCTGCTTTTCCTTATTCTCTAAAGCAATAACATTTAGAGATGTACAGGAGAAGGCAGAGAACACAAAAATAATCTCTAACAAATGTTTAACAGAGGATGACAGGGTGTCCTCTGGCATTCTCCAAGCTTTAAAACAGGTGGTAAAAGCTTGGTTTTAATGGAAATATTGGAATGTGCAGAAATAGAACCAAAAACAGTGCTTCTCCTAGGTCCTTATCCTACCTGCCTCAGAACTCCCAGGGTGCCTGCCAATAATACAGATATAGCATGACCATACTCTCAGACCCACTTCTGGATAATAATTTTTGGAGCCTGGACCCAAAGACTGAGTTAAGCACTTGGGAAGTCCCTTACACACTAAAATTCAAAACATACTAGCCAATGAGCAATGTTACCAGATTATGTTTTGTTTCCCTCAAACTTTACCATATGATACTTAGTTCTCTGAACATTCAAATGAAAAAACTCATTCATTTCTGCAATAAATACTTATACAGGACTGAATTTGTGCCAGGTCACTGTGCTAAGTAATTGGATATGCAAAGACAAACTGTTTAGGAGCTCATAATCTTATCGTGAAGTCTAGACATAACTCAGCTGATCTCAGAACATGAGCCTGAAGGAGATTTAATTCAATTCTTTAATCAGACAATCACTGAGGCAGACAGACATATACTACAGCAGCCAATTTTCCTTCTTTTAGCTCACAGAGAAAATAACACAGTAATGCAAAGTCGGCAGCTCGAAATCATTAGATAAGTTTAAGTCACTGAATCCAACAGACAAAAGAAGGTTTAAAAGTTATAATGTACTGTTCTAAAGGTATCAAAGTTCAAGAATATCTATTCTATCACTTTTTCTAAAATACCTGGGGCTGGAAAACACACCTAAAACCACAAGAATATTCATGAAATATTTATTCAACAAGTTTTAATTTTATGCCATTAACATTTCTCAAAATATAGTATTCTTTCATATAGTATAGAATTAAATGTAACTTCAATTGTTAGGTTGTTTCAAATTTTTTGCTGTATAAATGATGCTGTGATGAACATTTTTATATAAGTCACTGTGAGCATCTTTGATTATTTTTTTAGGATTCTAGAAAGAGAATTATATTTTAGGCTTCTTGATATACACAGATAAATGCTCTCCTGAAAAGTTACTAATTCATAATTCCCAAAGCACTAAAGCAATGTAAGTGTTCCTAGCAGGTGTTGGAGGAAAGTAACTTTCTAAATTAAGAAGCAATAAAAAGAAATTTTAAAAAATGTTAAAGAAATTAACAACATTCAAAATAGCCAACAGACAGGAAGATATATGCAATGAACAAAGGGCTGACTAATTGTATTTCTTCCTTTTGTGAATTACCTATTACTAATCTTCATTCACTTGGGGAAAGGCATATTTAGTTTTTCTAATCAATCTGTATAAGCTTTTCATATGAGGATACAAGAATTATCACCTACTTGAGGCCATAAACCATTAAGTACTTTATATATTATCTGACATAGACAATTACACAAATAATCTATTATTATATCTACAACTTTATAACTAAAAGCAACTTAACAAAACTAAGGCCAAATAAGATTCAAACATTAAAGTGAAACATGGAGTTCAAGGAAGACATCCAGAAATTGAAACAACACAGAAGTTTAAGACAGCTACTATGATTTGTCCTCCTTAACCATCAAAAAGCACGGGCTGAAGAGGTCAAAGCATCAAAAAAGCACATGAAAATGGAAAAGTCAAAAGAAACGTAGTAAGCATCTAAAAATAGTAAGTGTGGCCAAAATATCTATTCTCAAATGAACTCTTCTAAACTAATTATCAAAGCTAATCTATTGAAGAAATTTCTATCTAGAACAAGTGCTTAATCTCTCTGTCTCATTTCCTCATCAGTAAAATGGGGCCAATATGACTATCTTCCATGGTACTATAAGGTTTGAATGAGATTTAGGTGTAAAGCGTTTGGAAAAGGGTCTGGAAAATAATGGACATAATTATCTATCTACACTAATAAAAGAGAAACATGGTAATTGGCGTACGACCGCTACCTTTCCCATTGGCTAATCCCCCTGTCACTCACAGATTAGGGCCGAGATATGCAAATTAACTGGCAGCCAAGATGGCGGCCGGCAGCCAGGCAGCTGATGCGAGCAGGGAGGCTTGCTTGCTTCAGTGACGGAGAACTCCAATGTTCCCCGCCTGACTTGCCGGCCTCTCAGCTGCAACTCTAAGCAACTATGTTGCGAATATAGAAGGTAAAAAAAATCCAGAAACCTGCTTTACTCAGCGGGGCTTCAGCCAGCCGGACCGCAACATTGTATCAAATACAGACGGTAAACAAAGGCCAGAAACCTGTTTTCAGCAGCCGAGGCCTCAGAGCTAAAGCTGGCCCAGAATAAAAAAAAAATAAATAAAAAAAGGAGCCTTTGGGAGCTTCAGTCCCAGCCTGAAAACAGCCCTCAGCCCCTCAGCCAGACTGGCCAGGCACCCCAGTGGGGACCCCGATCCTGAAGGGTGTGTGACCAGCTGCAAACAGCCATCATCCCCTCACCCAGGCTGGCCAGGCACCCCAGTGGGGACCCCAACCCTGAAAGGTATGTGACCAGCTGCAAACAGCCATCATCCCCTCATCCAGGCTGGCCAGGCACCCCAGTGGGGACCCCCACCCTGATCCAGGACACCCTTCAGAACAAACCAGCCAGCCCCACCCATGCACCAGGCCTCTATTCTATATAGTAAAAGGGTAATATACCTCCCAGCACCGGGCTCAGCGGAGCCGCGAGGCCTCCCAGCACTGGGATCAGCGTGACAGGGGGCAGCGTCCAAACCCCCTGATTGCCCTGCAGCTCTGTGTGTGACAGGGGGTGGGGCCCCAACCCCTCCGCCCCCCACGGGCCCCGCTCTGTGTGTGACAGGGTAGAGCCATAACCTCCCCATTGTCCCTGCCCTGAGTATGAGAGTGGCAGTGCCCCAACCACCTGATCAGCCCTGCTCTGTGGGTGTTAGAGGGCGGCGCCCCAACCCCCCGCGCCCTGCTCTGTGTGTGATGGGGTAGAGCCATAACCTCCCCATTGGCCCTGCCCTGAGTGTGACAGTGGTGCGCCCCAACCGCCTGATCTGCCCTGCTCTGTGGGTGTTAGAGGGCGGCGCCCCAACCCCCCGCGCCCTGCTCTGTGTGTGATGGGGTAGAGCCATAACCTCCCCATTGGCCCTGCCCTGAGTGTGACAGTGGTGCGCCCCAACCGCCTGATCTGCCCTGCTCTGTGGGTGATAGAGGGCGGCGCCCCAACCCCCACCCCCCAACGGGCCCTGCTCTGTGTGTGATGGGGTAGAGTCATAACCTCCCCATCTGCCCTGCCCTGAGTGTGACAGTGGTGGCGCCCCAACCCCCTGATCAGCCCTGCTCTGTGGGTGATAGAGGGCGGCGCCCCAACCCCCTGATCCGCCCTGCCCTGAGTGTGACAGGGGGCGGCGCCCCAACTCCCCTATCGGCCCTACTTTGTGAGTGACAGGGGGGAGCTCCCCAACCTCCTGATTGACCCTGCTCTGTGCATGACAGGGTATGGAGCTCCAACCCCCCTGATGGGCCCTGCTCTGTGCATGACAGGGGGTGGCGCCACAACCTCCCCATCGACCCTGCCTTGAGTGTGACAGGGGGCGGTGCCCCAACCCCCCAAATCGGCCCTACCCTGAGCGTGACTGAGGGTGGCATCGCAACCTCCCAATCTGCCCTGTTCTGTGCATGACAGGGGAAGGCGCCCCAACTCCCTAATCGGCCCTGCTCTGAGCCCGACCAGGGGCTGCACTCAGAGATTGGACCTGCCCTCTGCCACCCAGGAGCAGGCCTAAGCCAGCAGGTCGTTATCTCCCGAGGGGTCCCAAACTGTGAGAGGGCACAGGCAGGTCTGAGGGACCCCCCCTTCACCCGAGTGCACAAATTTTTGTGCACCAGGCCTCTAGTATTATTATATAATCAAATGTCATTTGTGTCAAAAAACTAAAAAAAAGACTGAGTAACAAAATTCCTTTATCTTATTAAGGACTGGGACCTTACTGAAATTATGGATTACATAAGGGGTTAATTTTGTTAATTGTGTGGTTGTTTAAAAAAGAATCTTTTCTGTTAGCAACACATACCTAAGTATTTATGGATAAAAATAATATGATATGATATTTGGGATTAACCTCAAACTATTACAGAAGTTCCAGGAATTAGGGGAGAAGAGAAAAAGGAAGTGAGAGAATAAACAAGAATGGCAAATGCTGATAATTACTGAAAATGAGTGATAAGTACAAAGGGATTCATTATATTATTTTCTCTATTTCTGCATTTGAAATTTTGCATAATAAAAAGAAGAAAAAGACCATCTAAGGTGTTCAATTTAATGTACTCAAACATTTTAATATTTTTTTAACTCTAATAAGTGATACTTACTTGAGATTTTCCTTTGAAGGCTCTTAAACAAATCACATGAAGTTCCTATTTAAAGTACATAAGTATTGTAGTTGGAATATACTAATAAATATTTATAAATGGAATGAATAAATAAATGGTGGAGGCCCCTTTTCTTCAAACATCTAAGACTAAACAGCTGTGCCAAAAGCCCTCTCAGCATTAATACCATAATTATATTTATATTAGAATGAATTCTTTCATATCTTGTGGTAAATACGGGTATGTAGACAATATAAGTCCATGATATTTATAATAATGTAAATCTTAATATATAAATAATTCTGAATTGGGAAGAAACAAATTTTTAAGAATTAAATAAATCTTGTAAATGGATGTATAAACTCTGCAGAGGCGACAGACAGTGTTCTTTACATACACATTCCTCTCCGCCCGCAAAAAAAAGTTCTATACAACATAAAGGCTCTAAGGCTAGAATGATTTAAAAATGAATTAAACTCAAGAGAAAACCTACAGATCTTTATTATAAAGACACCTCCCTATTACAGATTCTGACAAACTAGAGGAGACAATGCCTGCCTCTGCACTGTATTAACTGCATGTAGTGATGGATTAGCAACTTAGATCACTTATAGCTCTGATCACTCTATAATGATATTGTTCTTATTATATTTTTAACTTTAAATTTTATTTTTTAATTGATTTTAGAGAGAAACATCAATTTTTGTTGTTCCACTTATTTATGCTGTGCATTCATTGGTTGATTATTGTATGTGCCCTAACCGGGGATCAAACCCACAATCGTGGCATTATCGGGACAACACTCTAATCAAGTGAGTTACTCGGCCAAGGCAATAATAGTATTTTTTAAAAAAGAATCCAAAGTAGTATATTATATACAACTATGCACACAGAACCATACGTCACTATCTGTGAAATATAGACATAACCTAAGAAGGTCTAGGAGAAGCATAAAATTAAAAATCAAAGATCCCCAAACCAAGCCTAATAGAATACCCCAACCCATCACTATGTCCTGCCATTTTACATGGCAATGGTTATAAATTTTTTATAAGTTTTGCACCATTTCCCTCCAGTAATGAATCAAGCCCAACAAATCTTAATCAGGAAGTACACGAGAGAACAATACCTACAAAGTTTTTGAGATGCAAGTTGTATTGATTGACCCCATAGTTTTCTATCTTGACTTTTGAGACTGTCATTGATGAAACGAACTGCAGGTATAGCTTTGTGCTGGGCATATTTCAGTAGTTTTCCTGCCTTCATACGATCTAGCTCTTGTACAACTACCCAGGGAATTATTAACACAAGCCTGTCAAAGCCTAAAAAAATAAAAAAGATGTCTTAGAAGTCAAGAAATATTTAGTTACTAAATCACACATATATGAAAAATGGAAATAAAAAACAGTTGTGTCAAAAGAATGTTACAAAAGTAAATACTATTGGAAATTAAAGAAGAGTCCATAGCTAGGTAACCTTCGAAGGACCTCTTTTTTTTTTTTAAACTTAAACTGATTATGCATAATATATGCTTAATAGTATATCCAAAAGGAAATGTGCTAGGGGAAGGAGAATTACCCATATTACTGTTAACATAAAATATCAACTCAAATAAAGTCAGAATCAGTAAATATGTTTCATAAATACCTGGGATTTCTGTTGTCTTCAAAATTCTAACAAATTTGAGATGATTCATCAGAATATTTGTATCAATAACAATTAGAAGATGTTTGTCTGAAGCAGTACTTGCTAGAGAAAAAGACAAGTTAGGATTTCATGACACTTAAAATAGACTTCTTTAAAAACTAAAATTTTGATATCATAGAACTTTGATAGCATTAAGAGAAGCAGTCCTTCAGACAACAAAATCAAAAATATATTTATTCCAATTTTTAAGAGAACAGTAATAATTAAGTCTACCAGTAGAATATTATGAATTGCTTATGGATAAATTTATAGGGCCATTGTGAGAGAATCAGGTTAATATACATGAAAACAATAAATTGAAAAATTCAATGTTAATGTGATATATCATTACTATTTTTATATACAATTCAAAATAGAATACTAATAGATTTTGAATAATATCTATCATTATCTTCTCCCACTAGTAAGAATGATCAAAACTTTACTATATAAATAAGAAATCCAGGCATATAATAACTTCAAGCAATCTGCATTATTTCTGATCAGTGTTTTTACTTAGTTGTTAAAAGTTATGATTAATAGCAGAAATAAAAAACAACTTGACTTTGATTAGTGCCCCTTGGCAAAAGGAGAAACAGAAGATATATCTGCCTAATAATGTGAGAAATATAAAAACAAATGATGATAAGACAAATATTAGACCTATTCCTGTAGCTAAAAGAAATACACCGTTCTTTATAATTTCAAATGAGCACATTTTAACATTTTTCATCCAAATATTATCAAAATTGAATGTCGGCATATTCATTCTTAAGAAAGCACAGGAGACTATAAATATGGTCATCATATGGATATCGGATATACCAGCAGAGGAATGCACAGCATCTTCTACCAAGTCAATCTCCATGCTCGATAACTCTCCAGGAGGAGGGACCACAGGCAAATCCACAGTTTTCCCCACACGTGCAGCATGAAGCTCTTCTACTATCTGCATCTAAATTGTAAAAGACCCGCAGTAAAATATTTTCAATTATTTACTCTGCAGATTAATTAGAAAGCAATGAATTCTTAATTAATTCACTTAAGATGAGATGGTTTATGGGAAGAAAAACATTGACAAAAATATGGATGTAGCATGGTAAAAGAATACAGACTTATAAACATATACAGGGTTTTTAAAAAAGCTCTTCTCTTAATATTGCGGTAACCTTAGGCAAGCAAAGTATTTAACCACCTTGGGTCCCAGTTTGTTCATCTACAAAATAGGAATGTTAAATATCTATTTCTTTTTACTATTTTTGGGAGGATTAAATAAAATGCTACGAAGTTCCTCCCACAGAGTCTAGTACAGCCGTGGGCAAACTACGGCCCGCAGGCCAGGCCGGATCCGGCCCGTTTAAAATGAATAAAACTATTGAGAAAAAAGACCGTATCCTTTTATGTAATGATGTTTACTTTGAATTTATATTAGTTCACATAAACACTCCATCCATGTTTTTGTTCCGGCCCTCCGGGCCAGTTTAAGAACCCATTGTGGCCCTCAAGTCAAAAAGTTTGCCCACCCCTGGCCTAGTACATAGTAGACCCTCACATTAAGTTATTCTCATCCCCATTCTTACTATAAGTATTTTAGAAGACAAATGTATTTATATCTAGATGATGAGTGCTCTGCTTGAGATTTCTAAGAAAAACGAAAATCTAAATATAGCTTTAGAGCAAAGGGGAAAATCAAGGGTTACTTGCCCACAAGACAGAAAAATACAACTGACTGTCATAAATAAAAATCCATCACAATCAATATGGGTTTTAAAGTCTTCTTAAAAATAGGAAAATAAATTGTTCTATAAATCTAATTTCAATTCAGGACTAGGGAACACAAAATATGCAATAATTCTATGACGTTCAATCAGGAGATTCTAGCTGGGAAAATGATGCAGGAGGTAAAAATAATAAATATGACTGTACTCTTGCTTTCACTGAATAACATTTTCATCTTATTTCAGATTTTTTAAAAATGGTAAAAAAAATGTTAGCATCCAACTGCATTTTGGCAAGTCTAGGCATAAAGCATGCAAAAGCCTGATATAATTAAATCAAAATTTATGTAACTTGTGGGCAATGGGCTCTATGCTCTTTATTCAAAAACAGATTCAAGTTGATTAGAAACAAAAGCAAAAAGGTGATTAAGAAAATGTAAACACTTTTCCAAAAAGTTATTCATGACTTCATAAGAACTTACATACTGATTTAGGACAGATATTGGTGTTATTTTCATATTACCCGTATATACTTCATATAAAATCATTATTTTTTATTAAAATAGAAACTGTTTGACTTAATTTCATTAAAAACATTAGAAGTAGGTAAGTATATTATTAACCTCTTGATCTGTATCTGGAATACTTTCATATGACACTGAAGAACATTGTGCTTCAAAACTCTGAAATGAAAAGTAATTTTATTAGTTTAGAATGAAGCTTATGCCTACAGTGGGATTGTCTAACCTTGGCAACATTGACATTGGGGTCAGATAACCATGATGAGCTTCTACCTTAGACTTTTAAGTACTAAGTTTATAAAAGTAGTATATAAACCATAATTTCTAGAACATTAATTTGTAAAGCTGGAGATAGAGTGCAATCTGTGAAAGGTCTGTATCAAAGGACTATAAAATCTAGGCAACAAAAGGAGTATTTTCTCTTAGGAAAGCATACCAGGATTACTACTTCCAGAAAATACAATTATTTCCTTGTAAAGAACAATCATTATTTTAGGAAAATTATTATGTACTGAAAAATTTGTGAGGAAAACAAAACAACATAATACTAAGATGATTCTCTACTGTCAACCACATGCTGAAGACAGTATTTTCAAGATAAGAACAATGTTTACTTACTGCTTCTATGTCTAAATGACTTTAAGTCAGATAAAGCTGAAATCAAAGGAACAGTTTATAAAGAACTTTAATTCCAATAACTAGAAAGTAATCATGCAAAAATGTCTCCTCTACAACTTAATATTTATCTTTCTGGGTGTTCTATAGTACCTGGGGTTCAAGAAGAGTAAAAGAGACTGCCACAGAGTTTTTGTTTTTTCTTAATCCTCACCAGAGGATATGTTTTTTTAATTGAGTTTAGAGAGAGGAAGGGGGATATATAAAGAGAGAAACATCGATTGGTTGCCTCCTGAATGCACCCAACTGGGGATCGAACCCAAACCTTGGTATGTGCTGACTGGGAATCGAACCCCCAACCTTTTGGTGTACAGTACGACACTCCAACTAACTGAGCCATTCGGCCAGGGCCATAGTGCTTTTTATTATTATTATTTACTGATTTCAGAGAGGAAGGGAGATAGAAACATCAATGATTAAAGGGAATCATTGACTGGCTGCCTCCTGCACACCAGTTACTGGGGGGATCAAGCCCGCAACCTGGGCATATGCCCTTGGCCAGAATCGAACCTGGGAAACTTTGGTCCGCAGGCTGGTGCTCTATCCAATGAGCCAAAACGTAAAGGGTAATAGTGCTTTTTTTAAAGGACTATCTGTAATTGCGTGTTTCTACATTTTTACGCATTCCCTTCTATTATGGATCTTTGATATTTGCCAGGATATCTTCCTAAAGACGTGGAATTAAAGGGGTCAAATACAGGAACCAGCACATATCTTCCTGACTAAACTTGAACCAGTCCTCTATGATCATTAGTAGTAATGGGAAGAATATTACTATTTGCTAAAACCTACATTCTCTATTCTGTAGTACTTTACCTGGGTCTGGTGTTCACTAGAACTTGAATCATTACTTTCTTGATGCTCAAGATGACATTTTCCTTTCCACTCACAAACAGCCTGCTTACAAGTGAAATCTGAAAACAAATGTTTACTTTTTTGCTTCATCAAATTTAATGAAACCTGAAAGTTTTCGAGGCATCCTTTTTTCTTCTGCTTAGTTGTCGACTTGCTGGACTCTAAGAGGAAAATATTTTCTTCTACAGGCTTCTGGTGGGTATCGTGGGATTTTACTGGGATTTTGAAACTGACCTTCCTTCTTCTAGGATCTTGGGGTTCCTTAAATATCTTGTTGGAATTATAATCCTGAGAAAATTGGATTCTCTTGCACTTTTCCAAAACACACCTTTCAAAACTGTCTCTGTATTTATTGTGCCTTTCTTTCTTGAGATCTTTCATCTTCTGCCTGTGAGCAAGTAAATGAGGCCGTAGTTTTTCATTTGCCTGGCCTTCAGCTTTAGGTTTCACATCTTTGGCAATTTTAGGAATGCTAAGGTTTATAACTCCATGGTCAAGGTTACTCCTAACATTTATCAATTTAATGTCTTTATCTTTAAAATCTACACAATTACTTATATCTTTTTTAGTTCCATTTGAAGAAGGACTTTGTGAAATAATTTGATTATCATTTGAATATGATGCTTCTTGAAGTTTAATAGGTTCTTGGGATGACGAATTGATTTTTGGTCTCTTTCTTAGAGTGTCAGTGTCTACATTCAGTCTGTAAAGCAGCACAGAAACCTAGGTTACATTACAATTGTACACGATTATACATAATTTAAACTGTATCATTTTAGTTAGGAAATAACAGAACTAGCCTGACACATACTTCATAAAAAGTAGAAATTACTACATTAGGAATTAAATAAAAAGGATTACTCAACAACTGGTATTGGAATAATTGGTTTGCTATTTGGAGAACAACACAACAAATTTAAATCTTTATAAAATAACCTAAGAACATAAATTCCAAATAGATTAAACATTTAAGCGCAAAATAATTATTATCATAATTGCTATACTTCAGATCAAACCCTTAAAAACCACAGGGGAAAAATATTTATCTAATTTATTTTTTTTAGTCTGATTTTTTAGTAGAGAACTTCCTAAACTTAAAAGCCATGGGGAAAAATCACAAGGGAAAATAATAAATGTAAATGACTATTTACTTTCACATTTTAGCATATTAAAAATTAATAAAACTTAAAGGACTGGAAAATGGAATTTGATGTAATATATATACATATACAGATACACATGTGTATCAATATTTGTATATCTATATGTACATATGTAGATATATGTATATATGTATGTGTGTGTGTGTGTGTGTGTGTGTGTATATGGCAGCTTATTAGCCTTAGAAGATAAAAAGCTCAACAAAAAATATTAAGACTCTAGAATAGCCCATAAACAGAACAAGAATGAAAGAGAAAAAGGGAAAGGCTAATAAACATTTGGGAAAATAAATCTGACTTCCTAGCAATCACAGACATGCTAATTAGAACATACCATTTTCTTTTATCAAATTAGCAAAGATTTTAAAATAACATATATTAGCAAGGAGTTGAAAAATGGATCCTCTCTCATATATTGCTGGTAAAAATACAAAATGATTACAGTTCCAAAAAGGAATTTGAAAATATAATTAAAGATTCTAAAAATGTTCATATTCTTTGATTTCTCAGTAATTTTCATTTTAGAAATTATCATGGTAAAAAAAAGTAATAAACTAAAAAAAGAGATTCAATTCAGGATTACTTATAATAGCAAAGCATCAAGTACAAGATAAATGTTAAAATTTTAGAAATGACTAAGAAACATGTCAGTCTATCAAATATGTGATAAATGCACAGATATTTTTAAGGAGGCATTCAACTATTCAGCATTGCAAGGGCTGAAGCTAACTAAATAACAGATTTTGAGTAAATGTTGAAGCCGAGTTCAACTTCACTGAATTCTTTTTTATTTTAATTAGGTGCATATTTTTTGTTTCAGGTTCTGATATGCTGTGGGACTTGCCTTTATTAAATTAAAATTTTGTTCATCATGGATTTTTTGTATAAATTTAGATTTTTTTAAATCCTCATCCAAGGATATTTTTCCATTGATTTTTAGAGAGAGTGGAAGAAAGAGGGAAAGACAGAGAGAAACATTGATGTGAGAGAAACACATCAATTGGTTGCCGCTTGCATGCACCCTGAGCAGGACCCAGGACAGGGAGAAGCCTGCAACCGAGGTACATGCCCTTGACCAGAATGGAACCTGGGACCCTTCAGTTTGCAGGCCGATGCTCTATCCACTGAGCAAAACCAGTTGGGGCAGAACTTCAATGCATTCTTTAAAAATTTTATATTCTATTCTTAAAATGTTTTTCTTCTTCCTCACAAAGACTATGTGGACAAGTCTATGGGATAACCAAAGGCTAGAAAACGTGCCCTTAACTTAAGCAAAAGGTAACTAGAGGCCCAGTGCACGAAATTTGTGCGGGGGAGGGGGGGAAGAGGGGGTGTCCCTCAGCCCAGCCTGCACCCTCTCCAATCTGGGAACCCTTGAGGGATGTCCGACTGCCCGTTTAGGCCCGATCCCACCGGGATCGGGCCTAAACGGGCAGTCGGACATCCCTCTCACAATCCAGGACTGCTGACTCCCAACTGCTTGCCTGCCTGCCTGATTGCCCCTAACTGCTTTTCCTGCCAGCCTGATCACCCCAGAATCACTCCCCTGCCAGCTGATCAACGCCTAACTGCTCCCCTGCCAGCCCAATTGCCCCTAACTTCCCTCCCCTGCCGGCTTGGTCGCCCCTAACTGTCCTCCCCTGCAGGCCTGGTTACCCCCAACTGCCCTCCCCTGTTGGCCCAGTCACCCCTATCTGCCCTCCTTTGCCAGCCTGGTCGCCCCTAACTGCCCTCCCCTGTTGGCCTGATTGCTCCCTAACTGCCCTCCCCTGCAGGCCTGGTCACCCCCAACCTCCCTGCCCTGCTGGCCTGGTCACCCCTAACTGCCCTCCCCTGCAGACCTGGTCCCCCCCACCTGCCCTCCCCTGCTGGCCATCTTGTGTCCACATGGGGGAGGCCATCTTATGTGTTGGAGTGATGGTCAATTTGCAAACTACTCTTTTATTGGATAGGATAATTATCCAGCCCTAGCTGGTTTGGCTCAGTGGATAGAGCATCAGTCTGTGGACTGAAGGGTCCCGGTTTGATTCTAGTCAAGGGCACATGCCTGGGTTGTGGGCTCAATCCCCAATGGGGGGCGTGTGGGAGGCAGCCAATCAATGATTCTCTCTCATCATTGATGCTTTTCTCTCTCTCTCCCTCTCCCTTCCTCTCTGAAATCAATAAAAGTATTTTTTAAAAAGATAATTATCCAAATTTTATTAATCAGCCTCCTAACTTCTATTACTCTACGTAATGAAGGTATGCTATCTAATAAAAGAGAAACATGGTAATTGGCGTACGACCGCTACCCTTCCCATTGGCTAATCAGGGTGATATGCAAATTAACTGCCAGCCAAGATGGCGGCCGGCAGCCAGGCAGCTTAAACTGAACATGAGGCTTGCTTGCTTCAGTGACGGAGGAAACCAACGATCCTCGCCTGCCGCTGCAGGCCTCTGAGCGGGCAGTTTAAGAAACATTGTAACGAATATAGAAGCTAAACAAAACCTCAGAAACCAGCTTTCAGCCAGCTGGGATCTCAGAGCTGGAGTTGATACAGAGTTTCGATTATAGAACCGAAACAAACCAGATACCTGCTTTCAGCAGCAGAGGCCTAAGAGCTGGAGCCTCAGAGCTAAAGGTGGCCCAGACAGAATAAGAAAGAAAAAAAGGAGCAGTTGGGAGCTTCAGTCCCAGCCTGAAAACAGCCCTCAGCCTCTCACCCAGACTGGCCAGGCACCCCTGTGGGGACCACCACCCTGAAGGGTGTGTGACCAGCTGCAAACAGCCATCATCCCCTCACCCAGGCTGGCCAGGCAGCCCAGTGGGGACCCCCACCCTGATCCAGGACACCCTTCAGGGCAAACCAGCCAGCCCCACCCATGCACCAGGCCTCTATTCTATATAGTAAAAGGGTAATATGCCTCCCAGCACCGGGATCAGCATGACAGGGGGCAGCGCCCAAACCCCCTGATTGCTCTGTGGCTCTGTGTGTGACAGGGGGCGGGGCCACAACCTCCCTATCTGCCCTGCTCTGTTCGTGACAGGGGAAGGCGCCCCAACCCCCTGATCAGCCCTGCTCTGTGCCTGATAGGGGAGAGATCCCCAACCCCATGATTGCCCTGCAGCTCTGTGTGTGACAGGGTGCAGTGCCCCAACCCCCCCACCCCACGGGCCCTGCTCTGTGTGTGACGGGTTAGAGCCATAACCTCCCCATCAGCCCTGCCCCGAGTGTGAGAGTGGCGGCGCCCCAACCCCCTGATCGGCCCTGCTCTGTGGGTGATAGAGGGTGGCGCCCCAACCCCCTCCCCCCCACGGGCCCTGCTCTGTGTGTGATGGGGTAGAGCCATACCTCCCCATCGGCCCTGCCCTTAGTGTGACAGTGGCGGCGCCCCAACCCCCTGATTGGCCCTGCTCTGTGGGTGATAGAGGGTGGCACCCCAACCCCCCCCCCCCAACGGGCCCTGCTCTGTGTGTGATGGGGTAGAGCCATAACCTCCCCATCTGCCCTGCCCTGAGTGTGACAGTGGCGGTGCCCCAACCCCCTGATCTGCCCTGCTCTGTGTATGACAGGGGGCGGTGCCCCAACTCCCCTATCGGCCCTACTCTGTGAGTGACAGGGGGGAGCTCCCCAACCCCCTGATCGACCCTGCTCTGTGCGTGACGGGGGGAGCTCCCCAACCCCCTGATGGGCCCTGCTCTGTGCATGACAGGGGGCAGCGCCCCAACCTCCTGATTGGCCCCGCTCTGTGCATGACAGAGGGTGGCGCCGCAACCTCCCCATCGACCCTGCCTTGAGTGTGACAGGGGGGTGCCCCAATCCCCCAATAGGCCCTATCCTGAGAGTGACTGAGGGTGGCATCGCAACCTCCCAATCCGCCCTGCTCTGTGCATGACAGGGGGCGGCGCCCCAACTCCCCAATCAGCCCTGCTCTGAGCCCAACCAGGGGCTGCACCTAGGGATTAGGCCTGCGCTCTGCCACCCGGGAGCAGGCTAAGCCAGCAGGTCGTTATCTCCCAAGGGGTCCCAGACTGCGAGAGGGCACAGGCCGTGCTGAGGGCCCCCCCTCCCCCCCGAGTGCACAAATTTTTGTGCACCGGGCCTCTAGTGTATCTTATAAAGGTGTGAAAAATCAAATCACTTGAGATCAAAATCTACATTCTAATCTACATTCTATTTGAAAATGTCTTTTATATAGTGTAGAATTCTGATAGACTTTTTATTTCACTCCACTTTTCCTTGAACTTATATTAACAAAACTCAAAAAGTCATTATCTGTGATGCACCTAGAAATATTTGCATTCAAAACAGTACTAATCAGCCCTAATTGGTTTGGCTCAGTGGATAGAGCGTCGGCCTGCGGACTCAAGGGTCCCAGGTTCGATTCCGTCAAGGGCATGTACCTTGGCTGCGGGCACATCCCCAGTGGGGAGTGTGCAGGAGGCAGCTGATTGATGTTTTTCTCTCATTGATGTTTCTAACTCTCTATCCCTCTCCCTTCCTCTCTGTAAAAAATCAATAAAATATATTTTAAAAAAACAAAACAAAAAAACAGTACTAATCAAAGTAAGTAAAGGATTTTTCAAGTCTAAATATTTAGTCTCACAATTCTAGACCAAAAGAGTAAGGAGGGGGGAAGTTACCTTTTCAGTTCATGTCTTCTTTTTACATTACAGTTCACAACGTCTATACAATCTGATTTCTGGAGGAGAAAAAAAATCTATCATTAAAGAAATATAAGGTGTGCAGTGGCACTACAGTTACAGGGGAAAGAGACTGGGAGACAATTTTTTCCCATGACTATGTGGTAGTGAATTGGTTGACACAATAGTTTAATTAATCCTTCCAATAAACTTGTGAAATGGACATCTTTATCATCCCCATTTTACAGATAAAGTAGGCAAGGCTCAAAGAGAGCAAATTATCTTCTGCAATGTCACAGGGCAGGGCAGCAGCAGAGCCATGACTTGAAACCAGATCAGTCGACTCTCTCTTCTGCCACCCTGTCTATGTACTTTGATGAAACAGGGCTTGACACAAGAAAAATAAGAGAGAAACAGAATATAGTCCCTTTCCGAAAGAGCTTATATCAGGGGTCCTCAAACTACGGCCCGCAGGCCACATGCAAACACAAATATTGTATTTGTTCCCGTTTTGTTTTACTTCAAAATAAGATCTGTGCAGTGTGCATAGGAATTTGTTCATAGTTTTTTTTTAAACTAAAGTCCGGCCCTCCAACTGTCTGAGGGACAGTGAACTGGCCCCCTGTTTAAAAAGTTTGAGGACCCCTGGTTTATATAGTAAAACAATAAAGAGAAGTAGAAGAGAAGTACAAATAGCCTAATGTAAGGAAACAATTAAGCATCAAAGCAGAAAAGGAGACAATAAGTTGTAAAGTGTTTAAAACATCAACCACTGCCCTGACCGACCTGGCTCAGTGGATAGAGCGTCGGCCTGCAGACTGAAAGGTCCCAGGTTTGATTCTGGTCAAGGGCATGTACCTTGGTTGCAGGCACATCCCCACTAGGAGGTGTGCAGGAGGCAGCTGTTTCTCTCTCATCAATGTTTCTAACTCTCTATCCCTCTCCCTTCCTCTCTGTGAAAAATCAATAAAATATATATATGTATATTTTTAAAACATCAACCACCAAAAGTTAGAACATACCTGGAACAAAAGTGGGCAAAATATATGCTAAAGATTGAATATGCATTGAATAAAGATTAATGAGCAAAAGAAAAAGGCATTCTTGGTTAGGAGTACTAGGCATTCTAAAAAGCTAAAGACGATTAGAACAAATTCAGTAGGGACAAAATTAACCAGCCTAGCTAGAAGCAGAAGTTTTGAGGCAGAAGAAAAAAGGAAAATGAAGAGTTAGGGTGTGATCAAATTTAAGAGCATCCTGAAAGACAAACTAAAAAATGAGTGAAGGTTTTTAACACAGACAAAATATGATGAAATCAGTGTTTTAAAAAGGTTAATATAGTAACAGTAAGTTGAAATAGCAGTTTCATTATATGAAAACAATTTCTTAAAAACACAATTCTGCATTCATGGAACTTTCACTAATTTCTCGTATTACCCACAACTCTGTTGCTATCTTGACATAAACCTAACTTCAACTTGAATGAAGTAAGTACACTTCACCAATCACCCATGCACCAGCTTCACATGTTTCGTCTGCTATCACTACTTCCAATTATTTGTGTGAGGATGGAAAGAACTTTGAACTTGGCTTTGTCACTGGGCACAACAGGTCCTCGAATAACATTGTTTCCTTCATTGCTTTGTTATAACATTGATGAGATGCTGTAGGAACTTAACTGTATTTGTATCAATTAGCTTCATTTGTATCAATTGATTTCATTATAAATTGTTTCATTTAAAGTCCCAGAACCTACCAAGGACATTGAGAACTTGGCTACTTGCCTTGGCTACTTCAAAAGGAAATTGTAAAGATAAATACAACCATATATGGGAAAAGACTTAAAAAATGTCTAAATTTATATCCATGTAGTCTAATCCCAAACGATAGGATCTATCAGCACAAAGAAATAAGGAACTTGATAAATGGTTTTTGGTGAGTAGAAGGAAGAAAAAAAAATCAACCTGGTTTTCTTTCCATTGGCTATCAAAAAGTAAGTATAAACACACAGCAAAAAAAAAAAAAAAAAAAAAAAATAATGAAAAAATAGGGGTGAATTTATATTATAAGCCTAAGTGTACATTCAAACTTTAATATAAATAATTTTCCGAGTTATTTATAGTATTTAAACACTCACCAGTTTTCTCTTCTCTGATGAAATTGATCTTACAGAGCAAGATGAGCTAGTGGAACTTGTTGAGGTTTTTTCTTTCTTATCCTAAGAATGGCATTTGGAAAAAAGGAAAGAAAAGCACAAAATAAAGCGCATTATTTCATCACTATTACAAATCAACATTCTTTCTACATTAATAATAAATTTCAGAGGAGAACAATGTTCAAAGGCACACAAATAGTTAAGAGGAAGGGTAACCCAACTAGAAGGGAGACTCAACCAGAAACAGGAGAGCTAGGTGCTCTAAAACTAGCGATGAGGTAGGATACAAGTGTTACAGCAGAAGGCCATCTGACGGCGCAGGTAAGGGCACTGGGAGGTGTCTCAGCCATGGTGGAACCAGTCTTCTATAAATAAAACCCATATATCCAGTTCTTTGTCCCTGGGTACTGATTCAACAGATCCAAGACAAATATATTGTGAGTACCTACCATATGCAAAAGACGTAGACAGTGGGGACAGAGTAATGAAAAAACTATAAAAGTCCCTGCCCTCCTGGAGGTTAAAATCTAGAGCAGGAGTTTACAAATAACGTATTCAGTGTGTCACACTATGCTATGGAGGATGAGGGAGGAAGCAGAGAAAAGAATCGGGAAATATTGGGAGGCGGGGGCTGAGGGAGCTGCAATTTTGAAGAGTAAAGGCCTAAAGAAGGGATGGAACAAACCATGTGATTATGTAGGGTAAGTGTTTTCAGTTCACAGGGACGAGCAGCAGGGGCAAAGCCCTGAGGCAGGAATGCCGGCTTGCTGGAACACAGCAAGGAAGCTATGGGGTGGAGGAAACAAAGGGTTTGGAATGAAAGGGGGAAGAGATGGGACGAGTAGGTCACTTGGTTGGCCCAGCAAGGACTTTAGTTTTCACTCTGGATGAGGTGGAAAACCACTAGAAAGTACTGAGTAAAGGGGTGATATGCTCTGACTTCCATTTTAATAGGATAACTCTGGCTGATGTGTTGAGAACACAAGGAAGCAAAGGTAGAAGCCAGGAGATCAATTTAGGAATTGTTGGCCCTGGCCAGTGTTGCGAAGTGGTTGAAGTGTCTCACAGCACTGAAGGGTCTCGGGTTTGATTCCCGGTCAAGGGCACGTACCTGGGTTGCAGGTTCAATCCCCAGCCCTCTTTCTCTTCCCTTCCTCCCTTCCTTCCACTCTCTTTAAAAGTCAATGGGAAAAATAACCTCAATGCTGAGTAAATGCAGAAGGAAGATGTGGAAAATGGTCTAACGGAGAGTTATTTCTATGAAAAGGAGGATTTTGAGGACGCTCAGAATTGAAGTCAGGAATGCCAAGGCAAATTACTTACCTCTCTAAGCTTCAGTTTCTTCATTTATGTAACTAGGACAATAGCAGTACCTCCCTGATGGAGTTGTGAGGGATAAATATTAAACTGATAAGAAGATACTACACTTGATCTTAGCCAAAAGGCCAAGAAGCGATGTGAGGGATAAATAAAATAACAAAAGTTGAGAATGGGAAAAGCAAATGACTTCTGGGCCAGAAGGGCAGAACGATAGAGTTACATATGTCATTTTAAAATGGAGGAGTATGCCTTACATTACACAAAAATAAACTGTTAAAAGGGTGTCCTTGGGTTAGTAAATAAAAGAATTCTTACTTCATCAAAGTTGGGTAATGAGGTGGTATCTTTTCTCTGAGACGTCTCTCCTTTTTCACAAGTTTCTTTGGACATTTTGAAAAGCTAAAATAAACATTAAAAACACATTATGTGTATTTTAACACCACCACAAAAAATACATTAGAAATTATTCTCTTTCAGTTATTTAAAGACTGGAGTTTTACAAAATTATTTCCATTTGCTAACCTTTCTTAAGATAATAGGATTCTCTCACTGTTCCATTATGAGGATTCTCCCTCATAATGATCTATCCTCTCCTTCAACTTCATCTATCTCACTTTAGGAATGGCTCTCCAAACTATGCCCGTAGCCCTGACTTCTCTCTCGAGCATCTGATCATCATTTTCTACTGCCTGCAGGACTACTGGATTTTGTCCCACCTACACCTCAAAACCAATTAGTCCTAAGTCTTCATTTTCCTGACACACCCACTGTCACTCACTGAGTGAGACTTCAGGCAAATCACACACACTTTCTGAGTCCCAGTTTCATTATATGTAAAACAGAGATAACCTATCCCAGAGGGTTTTGAGGGACTTAAATGAAACAATGGATATTAAAATGCCTTGCACCAAGTAGAGCAGAGCAGGGCCTAAATGAATACTGGCTTACATGGTTGTCTTCCTACTACCCTGAGCTCCCTGAAGAGTATGCAGTATTAAAAGCGTAGGAGGTGCTCAGAAATGCTTGCTGAGGGAGAGAACACGTGATTGTTTTCTTCCTTAGAATATTTACTCTAATTCTGAGCCACTACCAACTCTGGCCCATTTCAGGCTCTGTCACTTTCCCTTACCAGTCCCACCTTTCCAGCCCTGCTCCAAATCAAGTCAATACTGTTCGTTTCTGAACCTCTGCCCCATCCCCCCCAAAAGCATTAAGACAAATACAGTCATTCCTTGTGATCATAAACACTTATCGTATACCGAAAGCATCCTGTGCTGGAACATAGAGGCCCCAAACTGGGAACATCACCAGGACTGTTGGGACAGGAAAATATAAAAGGGGGCTAGGATCAAAGCCCAAAGGAGCATTTATTGCCGGTAGTAACACATACTGAGACGACAGACCGAAAGGCTAGAAATCAAGCAACTGCAATTACTTCTGGTCCGTCATGATCACAGTAAGTGAAGTTCTACGAAAGAATGATCGATTATAAAAGCAAACTTTTAGAATGCTTTGATGAATATGAAGAGGAAAGCCTGGTTGGTGTAGCTCAGTGGTTGAGCGTTGACCTATGAATCAGGAGGTCACAGTTTGATTCCTGATCAGGGCACCTGCCCAGGTTTGATCCCCAATGGGAGGCAGACGACCAATGATTCTCTCATCATTGATGTTTCTATTTCTCCCTCTCCCTTCCTCTCTGAAAGCAATCGAAATATATTTAAAACAATAACAACAAAATAATGCTAAAATTTAAACCTCTTATCCTAAAGACAAATTGAAAAACAACACTGCAGATAGTGAACTATTAAAGGAAAAACACCTGTATATTTACCATGACAAGTGCTTTATACTTATACTAGAGGCCCAGTGCACAAAATTCGTGCAAAGATAGGGTCCCTAGGCCTGGCCAGCGATCAGGGTCAATCGGGGCCTTCCTTCATTCCACGCCGCCCCCCTGGTGGTCAGCACATGTCATAGCCAGTGATCAAACTCCCAGTCTCCCAGTGGAACTCCTGAGGGGACACTTTGCATATTAGCCTTTTATATATATGGATAAAATGTGAAATTCACATTGATTTTGTAAAAATCAAAATATAAACTAAATGAGAGAAGACCTCCTGTGCTAGTCAGCCTCCAGAATGGTCTCCTCTCACATAATAAATAGGGCTGATCTGTGTTTCCAGTAAGATATTGCTAAATGGCAGTATGTGGCTAGGTCACCTAAGACATTGTGGCTTCTGCCTTTCTCTGTCCTGAACTGTTCATTCTAGGGAAAGCCAGCCACCAGGTCATGAGCACATTCAAGGAGTCCATGGAGATGCCCACCTCTTCCCAAAAAACCACCAAGTGCCAGGAATGTGAGTGAGCCACCTTGGGAGCTGATCCTGAAGCCCGAATCAAGCCTTTACATGGCAACATCCCTGCCAGGTATCTTCACATCCTCATGACAAACCCCGGAGCTAGACACCCTAAAAGCCACCTGTGAATTTCTGACCTACTGAAACCGAGGTGTAAAAAAAATGTTTATCATTTTAAGCCACTAAACTTTGGGATAATTTAGGCAGCACGAGATTAGTAATACACTCACTTAATATAATTCTTCAAACTCGGAAGATTCCTTTTTAGGATGTCTCAAGATCAGCAACCGTGCTTACAAATTCTTTTTTTTTTTTTTTTGTATGCATGCATATAAGCATAACCAATGGACACAGGCACAAGGGGGGTAAGGGCATGTGGGAGGTGGAGGTGGCCGGGGAGAGGTCAATGGGGGAAAAAGGAAACATATGTAATACTTTAAACAATAAAGAATTAAAGAAAAACAAATCTTGCTAAAGCTCCCATAGAATGTACGCGCTAAAACCTAACCCTTGTCATCTTCTGTTTTCCAGCTGGTATGAAATGATTAGAGTGCCAGCGGTTCTCAACCTGTGGGTCGCGACCCCTTTGGCGGTCGAACGACCCTTTCACAGGGGTCGCCTAAGACCATCCTGCATATCAGATATTTACATTACGATTCATAACAAGAGCAACATGACAGTGATGAAGTAGCAACGAAAATACTTTTATGGTTGGGTCACAACATGAGGAACTGTATTGAAAGGGCCAGAAGGTTGAGAACCAACCACTGGAATCATGATTTGGAGTAGCCGGGCACACCGAATCAAGCTTTCCACTCGCCCTCCAGTCTTGCAACGATTCTTGGATAATGGACAAATAGAGTGAGCCACACCTCGTAAGTTTTAATGTGTCCTTACCCCGTTTTTTGTTTTTTTTTAATTGTCTTGCACCTGAGACTCAAAGCAGCTGCCCTCTCCTGTGGCCTGGAACGCTCGAGCCCGTCCTGGACAGAAGGGCCGAAAAACTTGTTTTTCCCCCCGTGCCTGCCCCGCGGGCTCAGTGCGGGCGGCTCAGGCTCCTGCAGGCCCCGAGTCCAAGGAAGACAAGTACCAAGTGGGGGAGGGGGCTCACTGGGATGTGCCCCAGGGAACCCGCATGGCACCCATCAACTGCCCGAAGCTCAACACACTCAGAGTTCTGGTTATTAAAAGCCTAGATACCAGCGTGAGGGGGGAGGGGGCGGGTGGCCCTAGTCACCGGACGCTTACAACCCCGGCGCAGCGCGGAAGAAACCGGGAATACGCAGGTTACAGCAAACGTAGAAACAAAACGAGAGTGATCGGGTCCCGGCGCGGGTGAGGGTGCGAAATGCGGAGCGGACACCAACTTGAAGCGGCCGGGCTGACAGGCGAACTCGCCAGCGGCTCCTAAACCGCGGGGACTAGAACCTACGCGGAGCCAAGGGCAGCCCCAGAGGCAGGGCCGGGCCAGTACCACACCCTTCACGGAGCCCGCTGGACCCCGGGTCCGCCCACCTATCGCCCGCCCCATCTTACATTCAGAGTGGCCCCCGGAGCCCCCAGGACGGCCGGCTGCCGCCAAGGTCCCGCACTAACCGGAGAAGCCTGCCCAGCAGAACGTCAACGAATCCCCCCCACCAGCTCCCCACCTTACCAGCGCCGGCGGCGGTGGCGACTCCAGAGGCCCCGCCAGGGGAAAGAGACCCCTGAACCCGAGGCCCGCCGGGAAATGTAGTTCTGCACTCGGCTCCAGATTACTACTCGGGAGCATTCACTCTCTCCTAGGACTTGGAACGCCAAGTTCCCCCCGTCGGACCGGTGCACGCTGGGTATTGTAGTCTTGGCTCGGTTGGGTGGTTGACGGCTGGAACCGGTACGCACAGTGGAAACAGAACTCTCTGACCTCATTGGTCGCCGTCCCCAGGTCGCTTCTGCGCAGTGAGTGGTGGCGTCGTAACGCCTCGGGGAAAGGGAAGCGGATAGAACCGTGAATCGCTGCCTCTGGCTTTTAATTCTTCTGCTGACAGGCGCTGCTCACTGGTTCTTCCTCTTTTGTCTATTGCACGCAGCCCGCCCTCCCCACTAGCTTTCCCACTCCTCGGATCCAGCCCTCGGGGCATTCCAGCCGGTTTTCTGACCCCGCCGGGAGCTCACTCCTGCTCCCCGCGCGGGTCTCGCACGGAGGCGGTAACTATGGAGAATATGGCGGAGGAGGAGGAGGAGGTGGCTCCAGCCCAGGTCCCGACCTCGGCCCCGGACTCGGCTCGGGTCCCAGCTCCGGCCCCGGACTCGGCTCCGACTCCAGCCCCAGCCCCTGCCCTGGCTCCGGCCCCGGCCCCGGCCCTGTCCCCGTCCCCAGCCTCTGCCCCTGACGAAGCTGAAAGCAGTAAGTGCAGGAGGCCCAGGTCTTTCTGCTGCAGGAGAAGCGAGAAAGTGCGTCTTGCGGGGGAGGCCCTTCTTCACTGGGGTGGCTTTCATGGGAAAGGAAGGGGTAGGGCGATGGGGAAGGAGGAGGGACCCGCGCTGCGCGGCAAACGGGCACCGAATGGAGAAGGCATGTCCACCAGCCTCGAGGACATTGCGATGAAGGTTATGTGGGGGCCAGGGGTGCTGCAAAATGAGCTTGAGGGCTTCTTCGTTAAAGGGGGTCTTTTTCTGGTGCAAAAATAGGAAGTTCCACCTGATCTGGTAGTTTCTCTGAAGCTTCCGTCACGGGGTCCTTTGAAAATGTAACATAGTAACCGAGGCAACCGGTGTTTACTGTAGCAGATCCTAGCTGTCAAGATTTAGAAACCATTGCTCTCAACTAGGTTTTATGTCCGGACATACACACACAAAATAAGATGAGTTTTTCTCATTTCATTTTCTACAGCAGTTTGCTTCCAAAAAGAATTTGAGGGTGACGAGTGGGTGAATAGTCTACTAAATTATGGATTTATGTCTTCCCTCGGACATAAATACCAATGGAGTTTTGTATTTCATTAGATCAGAAGTCAACTGTTGAAAAGTATAGCCCATATTATTGTTAGTGCTTCTGAATGTGCTTGCATGTTTTCTAAGTGGTGATTTATTGGGCCATTGAGGACAAAGGTAGGCCCTCCTCATCTTAAGGTCAGAGCTAGGTAGGTGCAAAATAAGGCCAGTTGTACAATGGTAGAGGGTAGAGGGTAGAGGGGGTTCGCTGAGTAGTCTCCCTCATCGGGTGTGGTGTAGCAGCTTTAGGGGAATGCATGCTTTCTCTAACTCCTCATCAAGAATATGTTAAGTACTTTGGGAAGATTTATTCATGTGTTTTAAAGTTTACAAGTATGTAATTCAAAGAATGCAATCTTTGAGAAACCTGGGACACATAGGTAACAACTGAGAAATTGGAAATGCATTCGAAATATATATTAATCGCATTTTAAAAATTATCTCTTGATGGTCTATTTCAGCCGTGGGCAAACTACGGCCGCGGGCCGGATCCGGCCAGTTTGAAATGAATAAAACTAAAAAAAAAAAAAAAAAAAAAAAGACCGTACCCTTTTATGTAATGATGTTTACTTTGAATTTATATTAGTTCACACAAACACTCCATCCATGCTTTTGTTCCGGCCCTCTGGTCCAGTTTAAGAACCCATTGTGGCCCTCGAGTCAAAAAGTTTGCCCACCCCTGGTAGTCCTTAGACGCCTGTCTTACATAGACAAGATGAAGATGGCACCTCTGAAATAGAACTGAAAATTGAGGAAGAAGTAACAGAAGAAGTTGTAAACAAAGCCTTCTAGCATCTGATTTAATAAGGGGTTTTTCTCTTGACTTCTGGATTATTAGTGTGTTCCAGAAAGGTTGAGTAGATTTAAGTGCAGATTGCCTGATATCTACTGTCTTGAGCCACAAAGTGATTTCAGAGGTGTAAGGCATATCATGAATCTTTATTTAGACAGGTCTTTGGGAGTTTTCTTCAGTAGTGGACCACAGGATTTTCCATTTTCTCTTCTAACTTACCAGGCCCCTTCCTTTTATTTTGTACTATTTAGTAGTTAGGATGATTTCAAAAAGCACACTTTTACATAGATATCTATATCTATATCTATATCTATATCTTGTTTCGTATATACAGACCTTTGAACCATGGAAGCCAAAAGCCTTTATGATAACAAATTTTTCTCATTTAAAAGTAAGGTAAAAAATTTGTATTTTAATAAATTTAAGAAGGAATGGCTAATAATACTGTATTAAGTTCCAAAATTATAGAATGTCCTGCTGCATCCAAAAAGACTAGTGATGTTTAAAAGTTATTTAACAAACGTCAGTGCCTGCTGTGTGCAAGTTACTGCACTAGGCACTTAGCCATTACGAAGATGAATAAGACCTAGCCCCTGCCTTCTTACTGCTTATTGATGGGGGAAGACAGACAAGGCCACGAATTAGACAAAGGAGCTGGGAGTGAAGCTCAGAGAGGAATTAGGCAGAACAGTAGCAGTGTCAAGAATAAAATTTAAAAGGCTGATGGTTCTAAATTGTATAACCTAATTATATATGACTATTAGAGAGCCTATGGCTTATCCCATCATCTCCGATCTCATTGGGGATCTGTCCCTAAAAGTTATCACCTCCTAGTCTTGTATATTCAGGCCCCCACTTTGTAATGGTTCTCTTTCAAAATTTAGAAGTATGTAATTTGAAGGATGTGTAATATTTGAGAAACCTGAAAATGTGTTTCTGGGCCTGGGTTTTGACTTTTTTCTTCTCTTTTTTCCTTAGGCTTTCTTCCTCGTGTTCATAGTTTCACCTAACATATGAATTTATTATTTATATCCATTCAGAATCCCTCCTGAACTCCGAAAACAAAACTGCCTACTGGACTTGACCACATGAATACCAGTAGTATATCAAACACACTATGTCAAGAACTAAATTCCCTTTTTTCCTTTCCTCTTCCTTTCTGCCAAAAGTATTTTCTTCTTCCTTTATTGGTTAATGGTACCATTATTCTCAACCATGTAAACTTGAAATCTTAGATTCATTCTTGAATTTACTCTTCAGTCTTACTTTACACCCACATCCCAATTTCTTTGCTTTTTTTTTTTCCTTTGGTTTTACCTTCTAGTCTCCTGTACCTATCTGTTTCTTACCTCAATTATTGATCCTTGGTACTATAGCCAGAGATACCCTCCTAAAACACAGTCAAATCATATTCACTTTCTCAAAAACCTGCAAAGACTTAGCATTGCCGAAAAAAGATCAAACCAACTTGCATAGAATTTATGCCTTTTACTATCTGTACTACATTGAGGCTGCATGTTTTTCTACCGACTCCATCTAGCCAGGTGTGGGATAGAAGTGGCTGTATTTTTTATACCACATTCCTTTGTTCATGAGATTACTTAAGTTCATAAGGCCAGCCACCAAATCTTACTGAATTCTGTTCATACCTTAATGCGCTTCTTCAGTAAAGACCTTCTCAGAGGCTCTTGTTGGAATTAATTGCCCCTTACTCAGTATCTCCACATTATATTCACCCCAAGTATTCTTTCATTCTGCCTTGTGTTATAGTTAGCATATCATTAGCATCAGTTAATCTCTCCTACCTGATTGAAAGTTCTGTGAAGATAGGAAACATGGCTTAAGTTTCTTCAGTGTTTTGTACAGAATAGAAACATTTTTAAAGAATTATATTGAATAAGTAAATTTTAAAGCTGTCAGGTTGCATAAATGTAGTTTTATCCTGTTTGCATTCTGAGGCACACTTGTCATTTATAAACTGAGTCCCAGCAGTATTCTCCATCTAGGTATTAGGGCATTATGCTATAGGAAATAAAATTGTCAAACTCTAGGTGAAGTAATTAATTAATAATGGAACGGGAATATAGATTGTTAAAGCTTAATTTTCTAATTTTTAAATTTTCTTTCAGAGAGACACATCTCAATTCAGAGGCAGCTTGCTGATCTAGAGAAGTTAGCTTTTGTAAATGAAGGGGATTTTGACTCTGCTAGTTCATTGAACTCAGATCATCTTGATGCAGGTATTTCCATGTTTGTCTCTGTGTGTGTGTGTTTTCTTAATTTCTAATGGTTTGTTATCTAGCGTGAAAAATTTGCTAGAAATAGACTTGTATATTCTGTTGAACTAGAGGAGTAGTAAATATTTTTATGCAGGAAACTGATAGTCATCTCTATGCAAAGGTTCTGTGGAATGAGTTACTTCATAACTCAGGGAAATTACAGTCTCATCCTATATAATCCTATATAATAAAAGCATAGTATGCAAATTGTCCCCTGGATCAGAAGTTCCTCTGGGAGTTCAACCAGGGGGCGGGGCCAGCCAGGGAAAGGGAGAGAGTACCCGGCAAGCAGCTAGCAGCTGCTAGGGATCCTACCAGTGCATGAAGGTATGTGTATTCTATGTGTATTTCTATTGCATTCGGCTAGGAGTAACAAAAAAAAACATTGCCTTAAAAAAAAACATTGCCTTAAAAAATATGGAGGCTTATCTTCTCTCATGTAAAATAAGTACCAAGATAAGCAATCTAGGGCTGGTACAAGAGTCCACAGTACTGTCCATGCCCTAAGCTCCTCTCTTTCTGATTTGCCATCCTTAGTGCTTGGATTCCATCCTTAAGATCACCTCATGGTTTTTTGAAGTAGGCCCAATATTTAAAAAAATAGTGTCTATACTTGCAGTGTGCTATACGTGAAAGGTATTTGTTGGATTAAAATTTATTAAGTGGGTTATTGATTGTTTCTGTATATTTTTATTGCTTTAAGTCTGAACTTTAATTCAGGTTTTAATTCTTTGGTACACTATCAATGTTTTTATTTGAGATACATTTCTAATTAAATAAGACTTTTATTTTGATGATCCAAAATCTTTTCAAGGACATACTAATAAAGAAGGAAGACCTCACAAATTCAGTAGTAGGATACAGTGCTTCTAATCATGGCCTCCAGTCTCAGAATACCAATCATATTAAATTCCTCCTACTACTTTGAGTTTCTTCTTCCATTTTTCTAACTCCACATGTTAACTGTTTTTGTTGCTGCCAGAGTAGAAGAATGCCACAGCAGCTACTTACTCTCTCTACCCAGCTCCTGGCCCTCTGGGAGGGTGACAGCCTCTGCCTTTTCCCCTGGGCAAAGTACAGAGTGACTCTGCCAGGCACTTTGGCCGGAAGGATACATAGATTATCATTCTTCATCCGTTTTGTTCTCAGTAGCAGTAAGGATAGCAGCTAGTCACAGAGAGGGGAGTTTTAGGGTAAAAATCACCCTGTGCTAAAACAATTTTTGTTAACTACCCGCTGAGACAGGGGTGATGTCTTACTGAAGTTAAGGAAGACATTATGTAAGAAGTGGGGTGGGACTGAGGTGCTCGGTTACTTTTTTTGTAACTGAATTGAAGCATCAATTGGTAGTATATTCTGTGCCTTATCGGTTCTTTTTTCTTTATCAGGAAATAAACAAGCTTGTCCATTATGTCCTAAGGAAAAATTTAGAGCTTGTAATAGCCATAAGCTTCGTCGGCACCTTCAAAATTTACATTGGAAAGTGTCAGTTGAATTTGAAGGTTAGTATTTTTGTGCTTACTAAAAAGTGATGTAAATGAAATTCAGGATTTGATACCAGTTTGGGAATTTTATAGTGAATTTAATCAAATGTTTTAAGTTTAAAAATTTGAGAGATTCAAACCCTTCTTTTAATGTGTTTATTAGTAAAAGATCATGTTGCTCTCTAGGCAATAGCAATATATAACACAAGTAGTTTTGTTTGGCAAACATTTATGAAGCATCTGTTCTGTACTATGTACTCTGCATGGCCCTGGGGGATCCACATTTTGGACAGTGTCATAAATGAAGAGTCTGTGTAGTGCAAATTAGCATAAGGCAGAGAAGATGAAGCCTAAGAAAAAATCAAGTGGCAGAGAATAGATGACAAAATTCAGTTCTAAGGAAGCTAAGTGGCTAATCCAAGATAACACAGAGTCTTGGCAGAACCAGAATTCACACTCGGATCACCCATATTTGTTTTTATACTGTACCATATATAACAAGCAAACTAAGGCTATCTCATTAAGTAAATTAATAAATGATATTACAAATACAAAAATAATATGTTATTCTTATTAAATTTGCCAATAATTTTGTGAAAATTGAATATTTAATGAACCGTGGTATGACAACCATCCATCCTTCATTCTAGGTTACAGAATGTGCATCTGCCACTTACCTTGTCGACCAGTGAAACCAAATATTATTGGAGAACAGGTAATCAGATGTTAGATTTATTTTGAAATTTAGCCCTCTTTAAAGAATGTGCAGTTTTTACTTGCTTTAATACTAAAATGTTTATATTCAGCAATGAGGTTAACTTTAAGATTTTGTATCTGAATGTTTTCAGATCATCATATTGGGAAAAATATAAAATACATGAAAAAAAGGGTTGCTGTATTGAAATTTTTATAGTTTTAATTTCAGTCCGATATATTGCTGTCTTGTGTTCAAAAGGAAAATTATTTACTAATTTTAGAATGGAGAATTAAATAGAAAGTAATTTTTTTCTTTTAAAATAAATCTTGATTATAGAAAAAGAACCTTCAGTTTCTGTGATTTAATAAATGCGTTGATTCATTCTTACCATCCTTCCTATGTGCTTCCATTAATCTGCCAAAGGACAGAATAAGAAACTTCCTGAAATCTTTGATAACTTTTTTTAAAAGTACATATGTTCATTTTTAGAATAGATTTGACCTTTGGGGAATAAAAATTATAAAGTATTTTTGGTGATTCTATCCTGAGTACATATTAGCTTATTATTATTATTAATTTTTCTAGAGAAAAAATAACATTTCTTTTTGTTGTGTTTTTTTTATTATTATTCTTATTGTTGAAAGTATTACAAAAAATCATTTCTTAAGCAGTAGTCAGGACAATGCTTGTCCATGAACCTTATCCAAGATATTTTGAATATGATAACCACAGTACCATAGGAATCTTTTGCAATGTTCTTGAATATTCTCAACTTGCTATGTGATTCCAAGTAAATAGGAGGTAGACACAGCAAAAGTAGGAGTGCCATTGGAGTAGTTTTTTGGTCCTCAGCTATGTGAGGAATTATAAAGTGAGAATTCTTTGCTTGGAAAAATAGATGTTTCATTAATTTTCAGAAATCTTGAAAGCTGGTTACTAAATGTGGTCATCATTAAAAATTAAATTAGCTCTAGGCGGTTTGGCTCAGTGGATAGAGCATCAGCCTGCGGGCTGAAGGGTCTAGGGCTCGATTCTGGTTAAGGGCACGATCCCCAGTAGAGGACGTGCAGGAGGCAGCTGATTAATGATTCTCTCTCATCATTGATGTTTCTATCTCTCCCTCTCCCTTCCTCTCTGAAGTCAATAAAAACATATGTAAAAAAATTAAATTATATGAACTTAAAAGTGAATAAGTTGTATTAAAAACAAAGGTGATGAATACTCAAAGCTCACTACTTCCTAATTATTTTATTGCATATTTCTATTATCTATGCTCTTACAGTTATGTATATAATATCTACATGGTGGCAATGCTGTCTTTTCCCAAATACATGTTCAGTGATGTCACATTGGTAACTTGAAATTTGTCACAATTGTAGCTTGAAATTAAAGAATATATTTTCTTGATATTGTAGAGTATTTATACTACAGAAAGCTGAAAACTCTACGAATCAGAACTTTATTTTCCTGGTGAGACAGTTAAACATCTACCAGCACACTGCTACTAATATTATACCATCTGTAAGTGCTGCTTATAGAAAAGAGGATACAGTTATTTGTTGATTAGAATGAATGGGAAAATCTTAGAAATTAAAGTTGTAGTCTATTATAAAATTAAATTAAAAAGTATATGTCACATGGCAAAATTAATACTGTCTTCTATACCATTAAACCCAAGACGCATACGTAAATTTACAACCTTGAATCAAGTTCTATTTCATTGTCTTAGTAACTTATTTATGTATTAAATTAAATACTCTGTTTGCTAGATATCCAGTAAAATGGGCGCCCATTATCATTGTATCATTTGTTCAGCAACAATCACCAGAAGGACTGATATGCTAGGACATGTTAGGCGCCATGTGAATAAAGGAGAGACTAAATCCAGGTATATTGCTGGTAAGTTGAGCAATCTTATTAACATGTTAGTAAGTAAATCCTTAAACAATGGTCCAATTATTCTTTTTAGACATTGATGAGATAATGATAGTGACTTAACTAAGTCACTGAGCTGACTACTACACCCTTACTTCAGATTTCCTTTTTCTGTGAGCCTCCCAACAATGTTTTTCTGTCCTCAGTTACCATATATTTCACAAGTGGGTAGAAAAAGCAACCGATGCTCAAGTAAATACAGGTATCTTAATGAAAGATTATAGGACTGTATTACTAATGATGGTTCCTGCACCAGTAATTGTGTTATACTTATCAAAACACACTAGAAAAAGTATGTAAAATGACATAACGACCGCTTATTATCCTGAGTGGTATCAAGTTATTAGTAGTTATTACTGAGGCAGCCCTTCTCAAGAATTAAGCCCTCATTGCCCTTAGGCTGTGGTCGGCAAACTGCGGCTCGTGAGCCACATTCGGCTCTTTGGCCCCTTGAGTGTGGCTCTTCCTAAGCCTTAGGAGTACCCTAATTAAGTTAATAACAAAGTACCTACCTATATAGTTTAAGTTTAAAAAATTTGGCTCTCAAAAGAAATTTCAATCGTTGTACTGTTGATATTTGGCTCTGTTGACTGAGTTTGCCGACCACTGTCCTAAGGCACCCACTGTATGTAAAGAAGTAATGTCTATACATCTAGAATGGTATTATGTACCTTTCTTTTAAGAATTGAAAAAAGCCACTAAAATAATTTTCCGTAGCGCTTAATTTTCTCACTGACTCTGGTTTGAGAAAGGCTGACCTTGTGAGGTACATGATGCCACTTTGGTGGATAGAGAAGATGTCTAACAACGCTGGGAGAGGGTGCTGTTACTTGGCATTGTAAAAAGAAAAGTATGGTTGCTATTTAGTTAACATTCTGATTGTAATATAATCAAGAAATCCAAATATAGTCTGTTATTTTCCCCCACACATATTATATGTGTCTCATTTCTTAAATATGCAAAACATACTTAAATACATCAGCTTTTCATTTGGGTTTATAGCTAAATTATTCAAATGTATAGCAAATGTAGGAATTTTTCCCTTTACTTTATATCTGTTTTAATGTAATTTGTGATTTAAATCATAATTATGGGAAAGTGTTCTGAAATCTAGCATGTTCAGGAAATACAATGATTCTTTCTCATGCTGGCTAATGAATGTAATCATATAAAGATACCACTTTTCTAACAATTATCTCACAATAACATCTTTAGCAGCCAACCCATGTAAATGTAATATAGTATTTGATGAGGAATAAAGGTATTTTAGGATTCAATGCTATCTTAGGTTGATTGTTCTTTCTTTTGCTTTTTTTTGTTTGTTTTTAGGTTGATTGCTCTTAACTAGGTATCATTATTGATAGAGTAGGCAGTTACAATTTTGAATTGATAAATTTTAATTCAGTAAATACTTTTTTCCAGAGACAGTGCTGAGTAGATCAGTTTTTAACACAATTAATTACATTAACACATTATTATAAAGGAAAGTTACTTTTTAAGTGTATATTGTTTTAGATATTTAATAATATTTTGTATTTAACTTGAAATCTTTTTTTTATCTTAGCTTCTGCTGCTAAACCACCTACTGAAATTTTGAAAGAGGTAGACACAGATGTACAAGTTTGTCCTAATTATTCTGTACCACAGAAAACAGATTCCTATTTTAATCCCAAAATGAAACTAAATCGGTAAGCTAAATTGTGAAAAGGATATGGGATGTTTCAAATCGTTACAAACATACCCTCTCTTAATCTTTATGTTCCAGTGCAGCGATTTTCATCTAGTATGCCGCAAGAGGCACACTGATGTGCCACAAGAATTTTAAAAATATGCAGTACCTATTTAGTCAGGGACACTGACCTCTTTTCCCTTAGATTGTCAAATAAAAAAATGACAACAGCCTTCACAATAATAGCCATCCAGTGTGAATGAATCAAAATGACACTTTTATTTTTGTCCGATCAGCAAGATACTTTTTGGTTGCCTACAGAATTTTAATGAATAATATATGTGTGCCATGAGATGAAAACAGTTGAAAATGGCTGGTCTAATGTGTTGAAACTTAAAACTAGGTACAGAATGAAAATCATCTATCTTAGCATTTCTCAGAATGATTATTTTCTCTCTTTTTTTTTTTTTTTTTTTTGCCAGACCAATTTCTTTCTCCGAGAGTAAAGTAGACCTAACTTTATAGAATTAATGAACAATGCTTTTGTGGGAAAATTTTGTTTATAAAACTTTTATTTATAAAATTTGCTTATAAAATGATTTTTCATAGTGAATGTTTACTAATAGAACCCAATTGATTCATAGTTTAATTTCACAAGCTTCTAGTTCTCATACTATTAAGTAGGGAATATGCTATTAGGCCTTTGTTTTTTTCCAAATAGGAATGCCAACACTATTATTAAATAAAATAAAAGCTATAATGGGGAAGCCATGGCAGAGTAAAGTCATTTCAGATTATTATACTCTCTTTTAGGCAGCTAATATTCTGTACTTTGGCTGCTCTGGCTGAGGAGCGAAAACCTTTGGAATGTCTGGATGCCTTTGGAGCCACTGGTCAGTAATGAAGCTGTTTTGGAATTCAGCTTAATTAGATTTGTACACTATCTTTTCTTAGAAAATGTATGTGATTATCATAGACTATTTTGATATAAAAAATTGAAGATTGCCCTAGCAGTGGATAGAGTGTCCGCGTGTGGACCGAAGGGTCCCAGGTTTGATTCCGGGCGATGGCACGTATCTCAGTTTGATTACAGGCTCCACCTCGGCCTGAGCCCTGGTCTCTGTCACATCGATATTTCTGTCTTTCCCTCTCTCTTCCACTCTCTTTAAAAATCAATGGAAAAATATCCTCGGGTAAAGATTGAAAAATGATAATAAAATAATAAAAAATTGAAGATCCAAGATAAAAATTTTTTTATTGTGGAAAAATTTCTAATATATAAAAAAGTGGAGGATATAATAAATGAATTCCTTTGTATCCATCACTCACTTCACAAATTATCAACTCACACTCAGTCTTGTAACTATCCTATGCACTTATCTCAGACCTCATGTCCCCATCCTCCATCCCATTTTGAAACAAATCATAAATATCTCATTTCATCTGTAAACATTTGTTAGATCTGTAAAAGATAAGGACTTTTAAAAAATACAGCCATACTTTTATCACACCTTAAAAAATTAAGAATTCTTTAAATGTTTAGATATACCCAACTATCTCATTTTTTTTTTTATCAAATCAGAATCCAGACGAAGACTTTATTTCAGTTAATATGTCTCCTAATCATCAATCTATATACCTATTGTGTATGTGTCTGAGATAATTACTTGAGTGGCAATCCTTGTCTTGTTCCTGATCTTAGGGGAAAAACTTTGAACTTTTCACCATAAGTATGTTAACTGTGGGCTTATACATGGCCTTTGAGGTACATTCCCTTTATCCTTGCTTTTTGAGAATTTTATCATAAATCAGTGTTGAATTTTGTCAAATGCCTTTTCTGCATCTATTAACATACTCATATGATTTTTATCCTTCATCTGTTAATGTGAATCATATTGCCTGAATTTTGGATGTTGAACCAGCCTTGTATCACTGGAATAAATCCCACTTGATCATGGTGTTTGATCCTTTTAATGTATTGTTGAATTTAGTTGGCTAATATTTTGTTGAGAATTTTTACAATATGTTCATCAGGAATATTGGCCTGTAATTTTCTTTTCTTGTGGCATACTGTACCTGATTTTGGTATGGGGGTATTGCTGGCCTCATAAAATTATTGATAGGCATTTGCTTATTGCCATTTTGTTGTCTTCCAGTTGTTTTTGTAGTTCCTCTTTGTTCCTTTCATCATCTCTTGTTCTCTTCCTTTGTGGTTTGATGACTTTGCTTAGTGGCATGTTTATATTCCTTTTTCTTTATCTTTCGTGTATTTACTATAAGTTTTTGCTTTGTGGTTACCATAAAGCTTTATCTGTAACAACCTGTTTTAAGTTAATAGCAACTTAAGTTTGATCCCATTATAAAATGCAACATGATTACTGTCCCCAATCCACTTTTTGTTTTTGATCTCACATCATATATATATATATCCCTTAACTAATTATTATAAACCTAGTTATTTTTACTACCTTTGTCTTTTAACCTTCATACTAGCTTTATAAGTAATTAGTTTCCTTTACTACATAATTACTTTTCCAGTGAGATTTAATCTTTCATGTGTGTTCTTGTTCCTAATTAGATATTTTATTTGAACTGGGATCATAGAAAAGTTTTGTAAGAAATACTAATGAAAATCTGTAAAACTTTTTTTGTTTGATAACTTTTCTTCAGAGGCTTTGTAGTGAGAAAGTAGAAAAAGAATTACTTATGAAAATACTAAGATTTTGAAACTATTTATAGAATTATATTCTATATTATTGTTATACAACTTTTTTTTTTGTTACAATTTAAAAACATATTTTCTTTCCCATTTCTCCTAAGGGATAATGGGATTACAATGGGCAAAACATCTTGGAAATGCAGTCAAGGTTACCATTAATGACTTGAATGAAAACTCTGTGACCTTGATTCAGGAAAACTGCCATTTAAACAAATTGAAAGTGGTGGTGGACAGTAAAGAAAAAGAAGAGGGTGATGACATTCTTGAAGAAGGAGAAGGAAAGCTTGGTAATATTAAGGTGACCAAAATGGATGCCAATGTACTGATGCATTTGAGATCTTTTGATTTCATGTAAGTGAAAAAATTTGCTGTGTCACTTTCTAAACTGGTCTGGAATTTTTTTTGGGGGGGGGGGGGTAATAAAAATTAAGACAGTTTGTTGTTGCTTTTTGTTTATTTCAGTAAATAGAGTTTTGTTTTTAGCATTGGCCTAAGGAATGCAATAAGAACATTTTCCAGCACCTGAAATAAAATGCCTGGGCATGACAATTTTCCTTTAATCCTGACTTATTTTTATTTACCTAACATAGCATAAGGTCAATGTTATTACTTTTAAAACAGAATTATGTATTTAAAATAGATTTGTAAAGTACTTATGAACACATGGAATTTTATTGTTAGAAATAATGACAATCATATAATTTTTATTACCAGTATGATTTTAAATATGTCTATATTCTTTCTGATTTTAGACACCTAGACCCTTTTGGAACATCCGTGAACTATCTAGATTCTGCATTCAGAAATATAAGAAACCTTGGCATAGTATCAGTGACTTCTACAGATATCAGTTCTTTATATGCCAAGGCACAGCATGTTGCCCGGCGACACTATGGCTGTAACATTGTCCGAACTGAATATTACAAGGAACTCGCAGCCAGAATTGTTGTAGCGGCAGTGGCAAGGTACAGAATTGCCAACAGTGTAACACCTAATGTTTGGGCATATGTTAAAAACAGATTCAAGAAGTGCTTCGCTCATTTTATAAATATGCACAAAATGCAAATCCTGTATTTCATACCTATAATCTTCCTTGGTTTTGTGATCTTATGTTGTATCTTTTAAAATTTGATTTGAAAGCTTGTGCTTAAAATAGTCAGTTTACTCTCCAATTAAAAATATTATGAAAGCAATTAATGTAGTAAGAAAGATAAAAATGAAAGTTAATTTTAAGTCAGTTATTTCAACAATGTAGGGTAGATGAGAGGATAGCATAATGAAAAGGGAAGGCAAAGATTGTTTTTAGATTGAGAAACATTGTTTTATGTTCATCTAATCTTTATTTAAACAAATAATTTGCAAAATGATGGCTTATAACCTGATTCTGCAGAATAATCTTGCCTACAAAAAAAGCTCTTTCTCATCTAGATTTCTAAACATTTGAAGGAATATTTTTTTGAGCACCTCTCTTGTTCAGAATCTCTTATGCTATATAAATAGACATTGCAAGTATATATAATGGATAATCAGCCAGCTCACTTACTGGCCTCAAAACTAATTTCACAGCATTTAGATTGAAATTCCTACCTCAGCATAAATAGATGTTGTGTTATTCCTAATTAATTGAAAACTCTGATGTTCAGTTTATACATGCCCATGACCTACTTAAAAATGTTTACACTAACAAATTCTAATTAATATATATGAGCCAAGTTTAGTGTGTAACTGCAGAGAGAAAACTAAGTACATAAATACTGCATCAAGTAGAATTTAATCCAGAAGTGTGTAAAATTAATAGTAGCGAGGACTGCCTATTCACTTTTCCCTGAATATTTAGCAGCTGGCTTACTACCCTGCATATAGTTAGTATTCAGTAAACATTGTTTAAAAGAAGCTTTTATAGAAAAAACAGGTAAAAAGGCAGAAAGGTGGTGATGATGACAACAAAGAAAGTGACATTGAAAACCAGAGCCTGTAGTCCTATTGAGAGGCTGTCATAAAGAAAATGTCTAGTTACTGAAGACTCCGGCAAGCATCCTTTATTTCCTGTGTTTCATTTTGTGTAAGAGTTATAGAAATTATCTTTTAAAAGTATGCTGCCAAGACTTGAATTTTTCTTATTTTCCCTTCACCTACCCATAGTTTACTGTCCAGGTTAGTATTGTAAATATAATGTCAAAGAAAAATGATAAGCACCCAAAATAACTTAATTTTTTTTTTTTTCCAGAGCTGCAGCTCGATGTAACAAAGGCATAGAAGTACTATTTGCAGTGGCTCTGGAACATTTTGTCTTGGTCGTTGTGAGAGTTTTGAGGGGGCCTACTTCTGCAGATGAAACAGCCAAGAAGATACAGTATCTGATACATTGTCAGTGGTGTGAAGAGAGAATTTTTCAGAAGGATGGTAATATGGTAGAAGGTAATTCAAGTTTCTTTTGACTGTATACTGTGTCTAATTTATTTTTTTAAAAATCTTTATTGTTGAAAGTATTACCTATTTTTCCTTTTCCCCCTAATTGACACAATAAATTGTGTCTAATTTATGTATAAGCCTCCAATAAATAAGCCTTTATCACATCCCTAATTATACATATTGTCCTTTGGTTTTAAAGATGACAGTGCTAACTTTATTTCCTATCCTGGACTTCCTTTCATCAACAGAAAAGGCATTTGTGTGAGTTTATTTACTGGTGCTATACAATTTATACTCTCCAGCTCTGCCCTCCTCTATTGAAACATCTAGAAATAACTTAGTTTCCACTGTCACTAATTTTAGGAACATAAGTTAGGATAACCTCTCTGTTTCTGGCTGAATATAAAAGCCATCAGTTATAAAATTCATTCAATAAATATTTACTGAGACTCTACTATATGCCAGGCCTGGGAACCAAGGAAAATAATTTGGCTTTTGCCCTTATAAAGGTGTTTCTATTTTTGCTTTTCCAGGATATAGAAACAGTTGCCCTAGGAAAAACAGTGACAGAGCCTTTAAGTAAATCTAAAATAAGATCTCACACTGTGTATTATGCCATTTAATTGCACTGAATAACATTGATATCAGATAGCAAGAAGCTAAAGACCAGTATCCCTACCACCACAGCCTTGGATTCTGGGTATCTCTAAGACTGATTGATCCGATCCAGCCATTTCAAACAAGTGCATGATCCACCTAGGAACAGCCTGGGCGAAATCTGTTGCAGAGAGTCTGATTTAAAATGACCATTCTGGACCTTAAGTGAACTGGAAAAGTTCATACTAGAATATTGCCCCATCTTGGAAACTACCTCCCCAATTTCCTTGTGATTCTATCAGGCCTTATTGCTCTTTACATTGAATTAGATTCTTCTAGCTTACATTTTGGGGCTGATTATGAATCAGGTCTAGGGAACAGGGTAATTATTTTCTTCCCAATTGCAGAAGAGTTAATATGAGAAATGTCTTTATTTTGATGGGATAGCAGTTATATGGATATATATATATTTGTCAAAGTTCATTAATCTTTCCACATAAAATATATACATTTTACTGCATGTAATTTTACCACAATCACTGATTTTAAAATACAGATATCTTGTGGACTTTGTAAGACCTTCTCCTATTTAATTTCATGTACTAACTAAAAGATCTCTAATCTGTTTGACATGGATTTCTATCATCTGTTTTAAGCTTTAATCCTCTGATCTGTATAATTGAGATTTTATAAAAATACTTAGCACAATATCTGGCACATAGTAGATTCTCAGTATATAGTAGCTGCAAATTATTATGAGTATAACAATTACTACTATGTATCTGTCATCTCTGCTTTGATTTCTTTGAATCTTTTCACAGAAAACCCGTATAGACAGCTGCCCTGTAACTGTCATGGAAGCATGCCTGGAAAGACAGCAATAGAACTTGGACCTCTATGGTATGTGTGCCCAAGCATGATAATATATTCAGAATTGATTTATATATTGATTTTGTTTGTTGACTTTTGATGATGTAAAAGACAAGCAAATTTTGATCAAATCTTTTTAAAGTCTAAGCAAATAATTATGACTTCTCCCCCTATGAGCCTGAGGTGTTTTCTGTTTTCAGATTTTTCTATAACATTATTCCCCCAAGTTTGTGACAGTGCTCAGAGGCAGTGGAATTAGAGAGAAGCCTGGCTGTTCTGCAAACTATAATTCATTTCTGAATAGTAAGAATTAGGCTTTTTTATTTTTATTTGATAATTATAGAACTCTAGGGTGTGGTTAAAAAGTGATCACAGTAACTTTTTAAAGAAGAGCCAACTAATATAAAAAGTCTTTAAGGAATTTAATTTAAAAAGGGCAAATGCAAGTAAATGCCTTTTGTTTTGGGTAAAGTTGTTTAGATGGGACGCAATTGCAAATTTTTAATGTATGCATGCTTTTGTACACAGCAATTCCTAACAACATTGTGACAAGAATCATTGCAGATATCTACTTCATTAATTTACAAGGTCAAGGTTTAGCCACCTACTAAACTTAAACATTAACACAAATGGTAAATGTTTGTGCTGATGCCCTTTTTTAATCTTTTTTCATGTCTAGTTAACTTTTTTGTTATTTTTTACTTTTTTATTTAATTTATTGGAGACATTGGTTAATAAATTATATAGGTTTCAGGTGTACAATCCTACATAATAAAAGCCTAATATGCTAAGTGTCCGGTCGGCTGGTCGGCAGTTCAACCAACCAAGACCTAATAAGCTTATGATAAGCTAAGGCTGCTCAACCGCTTGCTATGACATGCATTGACCACCAGGGTGCAGACAGTTGACCGGTTGACCAGTTGCTATGACGTGCACTGACCACCAGGGGCAGACGCTCTGACTGGGAGGTTCGCTTGCTGCTGAGGTCTGGCTGATTGGGACTGAGCGAGATGGGCCAGACACGCTCTGGAGCCCTCCCACAGTCCTTCCCTGGCTGGCCAACCTCCCGTGTCCCTCCCCGGCCCAATCGTGCACCAGTGGGGTCCCTCGGCCTGGTCTGCATCCTCTCGCAATCTGGGACCCCTCGGGGGGTGTCGAAGAGCTGGTTTCAGCCCAATCCCACAGGCCAGGCCTAGGGACCCCACTGGTGCACGAATCTGTGCGCTGGGCCTCCAGTTATATATCATCTGTATGTTGTATTGTGTGTTCACCACCCCATCTTTATCCTATGTTAATACCCTTAGATTAAGAATGATCTAGCTAGTCTTACGTTCTGGTACTCTCTTTCCTATGTCATCTGCTACATGTTGATCCTACTCACTGACCTCAGAACTGGGGAAACGAATTATTAACAGCTGCTGCATCCAGAAGGAAGATCTAGCCCAAGTCCTTCATTTTACAGATGAGAAAATTAAAACAAAGTGCTTTTAAGTGCTGGCTAAAATTGACCTCCAAAATTTGGCAGCTCAGGCAGGGCAAGAACTTGGGTTGTCTCACTCCCAGGATTGAGTTCCCATGCCTTATGGTTTCCTCACTCAAAGCCATAGTCCTATCTTTACTCTCATCCAGAATCTCTTCCTCTTTCCCCACTTCTTTGAAGTCTCTCCTTAATGCTTCAACCCAAATTACTTCTAAATTCCTTTTTAGTAAATCTTACATTGATCGCTCATTTAACACTTAAAATCATATAGCTTTCCACATGTATTTGCTACCCCTGGTAATAATAGCTACCATTCATTAAGGATATACTTTGTTCTAGAGATTTTATGCATGTATTTACTGTTACAGGAATATGCATTAAAACTTCTGCATTATATTACATCCCTGTCTAGATTTATAGGCTTAACATTGTATTTTATACTTTGGTGTATATTCCACACCTATATGTAACACAGAGTTATACACATTATGAGGATTGATTTAACTGTGAATGAAATTTCCTTGACTAACACTAGTTTGGAGAACTAACATGATAAAAAGGAATGGAGAAATAGAAAATAAACAATTTTAAGTTAAATCATAAATTCTTTTTAATTTCAGTATTTAATCAATCATATAATTAATTATATATCTTATTATTTAAGATAAACATTTCTCTCAAACCCAATTCTCTGTATTTTCTTGGGATTTTTTGTTTCTTTTAGGTCAAGCTCCCTCTTCAATACTGGATTTCTCAAAAGAATGCTATTTGAATCTCTTCACCATGGTTTAGATGACATTCAGCCCCTAATAAAGACATTAATCTTTGAGTCAGAGTGTACTCCTCAAAGTCAGTTTTCAGTTCATTCACCTTCAAATCTCACCAAGCAAGGTAACCAATTTAACACTAGTTTACTAGCTTACAAATTACCAAAATACTCTATCTTTTTAAACTTTATTTGATGTTATAATCAAAAGGAGTATAAGTAGTGTGCTTTTAAATCCCTTCTGAGTCTGATCATAACCTGCTTAATTTTTATTTTTAATTGCATAGTTTTCTTCAGGTTTATATTCAGAACCTGGAATAGTGATTTTATTAAGATAAAAGTATGTATTTTTTAAATTTTAGTACATTAAAAGTACTGTCTATTGTGATTTTATTACACTTATCTGCTTTCTAAAAAGAGAAACCCTAGGGAATTCTGAGAGGTGTAGCCATTGAGACAACAGAAACTTAAGATATACACTTATCACTCATTAAAACTACGGTTTTTTTCCGTTTTCTCTTTAGTATAAATAGGCTTTTGTCGTTTTTATCTGGCCATTGTCCTGAGGGTGGGCCGATTAGACATCCTAGCATTTCTCATAAGTCATTAGAAGCAGCAGTTGTTGTAGAGGATTGAAAATGTAATTCTTGCCCTGTTTTGCCATAGAATCTATATATTCAGAAAAGCGGTGTGGATATAATTTAGAAATAAGCTTTTATTTAAACTTTGAATTGTTACTTGATAACGTCCGTAAAATATTTTGATTCCCATTTGTTTTTATTTTAGAAGAATGTGGTATATCTATTAAAACTACAGATGATACCACAACAGATAATTACATTGCACAAGGTATGTATGTATATGTGTGTATGTGTATGTACATGTGTATGTATCAGTGCAAAAATCAGACAGCAAAAGAGTAGGAAGAGATTTCTTTGGTTGCCTATTTCACAGTGCATTTTTTTTTTTTATTATACTGACAACCTAATTACAGTAAAACTTGTTTATCTGGCATTTACACAGTTCAAAATTTCTATGAACATGTACTGCACTCATAGTTCTAATATATAATGCATCCCTTTGAGAGAACTGTAATATCTTGAAAGAATGATGTGAACCAAAATAAGATCAAATTCTGTTTGATAGAATTGATTACATTTTATTATTCTTATTCTTTTAAACTTTTTCATCACCATATGATGCGTAACAATTCCACTGATTACCCAGAAGGTCTATTCTCTAGTCATAAGAATGTATTGTATGGCCTTTCTTATAATTTGGGATGTGTGCACACTTAATTTCTTTTTCAGGGGTAAGAAAAAGGCAGTATGGTATACAGTAATGAGCATTAGATTTAAGAGCATCATTCTGCTTTGTGTTGTTTGTTGTATAACCTCGGACAGGTTATTCATTGAAGACCTATTTATCAAATATTGGCATTCGGTAGAGAGTACAAGTATAAAAACAGAAGGGCGTTATCCCCAGGATAATGTAATATAATCTGGCGGGGGGGGGGGGGGGGGCGGGGCGGCGGATTTACACACAGAAAAGACCTACACACATGAAACAATCAAAGAAGATAGAACTTAAACTCTGAGTAGTATTGATAGTAGTGAAGTCTGTGAGGTGATTGGCCCAGAATTCAAATAGCTTTCTTCAGATGAAAATAGAATTGAGGCTTGACATTCAAGAAGGTAGAAAGTAAGTTCTGACTCAGCAAATAGTTAAATACTAAAATTACATCAGTTAAGGATAGTGGAAATGAAAATATCATATTCTTGCAATGAGTTCTCTTAAGAATTAAGACTGGATAGGTTGAAATGGTGTGTGTCAGAGGATTTAGACTTGAGATAGCATAGAGTTATAAAAGTATTAGGTTTGTAATTTTTAAGAGAATGCTAACTTTGTGTGTGTGTATTTGTGTGTTTCAGGAAAAAGAAAATGTACTGAAACAATCACAAATTTAGCCAAGAAACAAAAGGCTGATTCCAGTACCGAACATCCTCCCTTTTATTACAACATCCACAGACACAGCATTAAAGGGATGAATATGCCAAAGTAAGATAGCCAGTCAATGGCAACGTGTATATTTTATAATTTAATGACACAATGGTTTAAATAAAATTATAACCTCATTTTTTTTCCCCTTTTCTTGCTGCAGGTTAAAAAAGTTTCTGTGCTATCTTTCTCAAGCAGGCTTTAGAGTAAGCCGAACTCATTTTGACCCAATGGGTGTTCGTACAGATGCACCTCTGATGCAGTTTAAATCTATCCTTTTAAAGTACAGCACCCCCACCTACACTGGAGGACAGTCAGAGGGCCATGTCCAATCTACATCAGAAGATACAGTAGCTGACAGGGTTGAAATGTCAGTGAATGACAAAGCAGAAGCAAGCAATTGCAGAAGATGGTAAAAGTAGAGAAGTGTTTATTCCCATACATCTTTATAGATCATCTGTCTAATACTTCTCCATACCAACTGTAGTTCTTTTTTTATTCTTTCAATTCAGTGGTGTAAAAATAAAAGTGCTGTTTTCATTTTAAAAGTAGCAGTTTCTAACTTAACTGGTTTGGGAGTTAGGCTTTCCAAGTTTTTCTTAAAGAAAACTTAGAATTGTAAGGAAAACATTTCATATGAAGCCAAGATTGACTGAGATCACCTACTATTTAATAACTTAGAAAATTCTCACATGCAAAGTATTTGGAATTTTATGTATGTCACGTAAGTTACATCTCTGCTTAAATTGATGCTGAATAGGAAGAACAGTATCCTTTCAGGTCACTAATATATTTCACAATTACGAAGTTAAAATACATTCCTGATTTTAAGAATTCACATCTCTCCCACATTAATCTTTTAATTTTTAGTTTTTGAGAAATTAAATACTTGCCTGAGCTAGAAATCCATTTTTTTCTAAGTTTCAGGTCTAGATGACTACACTTGAGAGTAATAGTTTGCCAAAGTAAATTGAGGTGACTGTTCCAATTATAATTGTTCACAAGCACTGAAATTCTCAAGAGATTTTGTTATAAACAAATTGGGTGATCTCAAGTGCCTCAGTTAATGCATGTAAATATTCATTTGCTTGGTTGTGCTACCTCAGATGTAAAACTTGCCCACTTACAAAGTGAGGATTTTTTGTTTTGGGGGTAGATTTTTTGGGGGGGTTTGAATTGGGGGGGGGGGGGGTTGTTTGGTTTGTGTGTATATGCTCATTTTTTGTATAAAGTAGACCAGGCTAACATAATTATGAAAATTAGTTGAAACAAAAATCTTGTTTCCATTAATAAATACTGTTCTTCATTTGAATGAGTTTCGATGAAAGGATTTAGTATAAAGTTTGGATTTTTGTCTCAAGGATCTAATCCATATTTATCCTGAAGTCTTTGTTAAAGGAAGTAACTTTTTTATAAGCATGAAGCGTGGGGATGAAGGGGGAGAAATAACTGAAGGTTTTTAATACACTGCACTCCAGTGACATACACAAAAATCCAGGGAAAATCTTTATTACAGCATAGTCCTGGAGGATTTTTTCCCCTTCAATTAATGGAATCATACATTTTGGTAAAATAATGAAATATGTGAAGTGCATTTGTTTCTATTATGACCATAATAAAACTATAATTCTTGCCAATTACAATTAAACTCACAGATGAGCACAAAAAGAAATGGTATTACTTTGTTTGTATAAAGATATAAATAACTAAAAATAAAAATTACTACAAATCCAAAGGCAAATCAGTACTTGGCCCATCTGACTTAGTGTATGTTGTTGAATATCAGTTTAAAATTTTGCTAAATGCTTAACATTTTTGATGAAGTTGAATTTTACGAGAGCTTAATCTGATATAAAATATGCAAATAACTTATTTAAAATACATGTTTTTCTATATTAACTTCACTACTTGGTAGGAAGTAGTTTGGAACTACATCAATCTAAAGAGGAAATCCTTTTAAATTCCATCTAATTCTACATTAGCACCTTGTTTGCATAACAATTTGGAACATAAAGGCAGCTGTATCACTCCTTTAAAATATGGTAAACACAAGAAACTGGTTCTTACAGTGTGTTGGCTCTGCTAGTTGCTTATCTTAATACTCTAACCATAGACTCAGGAAATGGGAGAAGTAACCTGAAGGGTTTGGGTGCCACTGTGGTGGATTTTGGTTAAAACTTCATTAATCACCAGAGAATATTTTGCAGAAATGAGACTAAGACCAGGAGTTCAATAATTTCAAAAAGTCTAGGGAGTTCTTTCCTTGGTGTAAAAATAACTGCTCTGGTAAATGGCCACAGGTTACTTTGGAGAAGGCTAAGAATATACATAATACAAACTTACAGCAGGGTCCTTTCTCAAAAGGCTCTGGAAATGTGAATTAAATCAGGCCTGGGAAATGGATAAGGGATCTTAATCTCTATAGTAGCTGTAGTGACCTGCAGTTTTCAGTTAGATAAATCAAATGGGACCACTTTGGTCCTTTGGATCATATGACCAATTAGCCAAGGCCAAAAAGTCCTGTCAGACTATATTACAGCTTTTTAGAGTGCTACTTCTCTTCTCACCAGAGCATTTCTCAATGATGATAGTCGCTCCAATCACATAAATCCTCTCCAACATTTCCCCTTCTAAGTCTTTGATTTCCTTTCTCTATGATGTATCGGAATTTTTGGCACCTCATCGCCCGTTTAGATGAAGCACTGCTGAGTCAAAATTTCAACCAAGTAAACAGAACCACTCCCAGCTATTCAAACTGATGTACTCTCTCGTGTAAGTGTACCCATACTGATAATTTGACCCAATTTTAAGATTGTTTCTTACTTCAAGATCTAACATACGCGGAATCTATTTCCACAGGTATTCTCCATAAATCATCAGTATACAGCAGTGATTCCCAAAGTGGGCGCTACCGCCCCCTGGTGGGCGCTGCAGCGATCCAGGGGGGCGGTGATGGCCACAGGTGCATTTAACTTTTTTTGTATTACCTTTCTATTCTGAGTTCAATAAATAGTTTCATAATTTCAAACTTCAATGTTTCTAATTTACACCTTCCTTTACTATATTTTACGAAAAAGGTAGAAACATTAATACATATATCTTTGTTTAATTGCTATTAAAGTTTAAAAAAATTTAATTTCCAGGGGGCGCTGAGTAATATTTTTTCTGGAAAGGGGGCGGTAGGCCAAATAGGTTTGGGAACCACTGGTATACAGGATAAAAAAAAAAGCATTCTTTCAGGAGGCACTTTGTACTTGTCCCCAGAACATGTTGGGATCTGAAGATGAGGGATTGTAGGGATAAAACAGATGGGATGCTTTTTGCAAGGTAACTAACTCCTTGAAGGGGTCATCCACCAAAACAGGAAACATCCATTTTAAGTGAGGTTCATTGGAGTAAAGGATTTAGGATACAGATTCATCCATATCTTTACAAAATTCTTCAGTTCTCAGAATGCCACACTCCAGATGAAATACCTTAATATCTTTAACTTTTGAGAATTTGCTTCATGTAGAATTCTTGGTTCACTGCCTTTTCCTTTCAACACCTTCATTACCTCCTGGCCTGCATGACTTCTCATGAGAATCCAGTTGTTAATCTTATCAAAGATCCCTTGTAATGCAATGGGTCACTTTTCTCTTGCTATTTCCAAGAGTTTCTCTGTTATTTAGCCTTTGTTGAACTTCTTAGATGTAGATTTTTACCAAATTTTGAAATTTGAATTATTTCTTCAAATGCATAAAGTGCCCCTTTACTTCCTCTCCTTCTGGGACTCCCATTATACATTTTAGTACACTTGATGGTGTCCCACAGGTCTCTCCCTTGTTCCTTTCTTCCTGTGTTCAAAGTTCAAATCTATTAGCTCCTCTGTTGGATTTATTTCACTTATTGTATATTTCCAACCCAGTATTTTTATTTAGTTCTCTTAGTATAATGTCTATTGTTATTCTCTACTTGGTGAAAGACTGTTCTCAAATTAGTTATTTTAAAATGGCTTTAGTTCTTTGGACATATTTTTAAAAGCTGATTTAAACATTTTGTTTCATTAAGTCCAACACCTAGGCTTTCTCACACTTTCCTGTTTCTTTACATGACATGCAAATTTTTGTTGGAAACTAGATATTTGAAATATGACTGGGCAATGTTGGATAAAAGAATCCCTTCACATCCCTGGGATTTGTCAAGTTTGCTCTTTAGTAATCTACCTGGACTAATTCTGCAAAGTGAGCATTCTTTGCTGTATATGAGCACTACATTCTGCTTTGTTAGCTTAAAGGTCAGCTAAAGGTTGGACGGAAAATTCATTAGGTGCCCTGAAACAGTTACTCTCCCAGCCTTCATGAAGTGCTCTGAGAATGTTTTCAAATATGCCCTCAACACTCCAACATGAAGCTTACACTGTGCCTTCACCTTCACTTCCTGCTTGAAGAGCCTCAAGTTCTGCTATAGCTTCGATGGGTGCCTCCTTTTGTCCTTGGGTGTGCATGCAACCTTGCACATGCCTGTCGCCCTCTAGAGTCCCAAGAATATCTTGGAGCCTTTCCAAACCTTTACAGGTATGTCATCCCTCGGCTTTTCCTTTCTGTTTCTGTCAGCCTCTTTTTAGCACTGCCTCAAGGCAGCTGCCACATTAAATAATTGCAGCTGTTTCTGAAGATGGGGCTGTTTGCAGAGAGTGAGGGGTATCAGGTCAAATAAAGAGTAGCTCTGAGAATAGAGCTTTTCAGTGAGGCACCAAACAGGTCCAATCTAACTGGCTTAAGGGGGAGCTTCAACCCACTTCTCAGGCTACAAAACTGCTGGCTTTCACAGCTACTATAGTTACAAGGCTATTCATTTTCAGGTCTACCCTGGAACTGAGAAAATGGGTATAGGGCAATTTAAAATGCTACAAAACTTGATAGTTTTTACTGAATAAATTAAGTTGATTTTGACAACTTTTATAGTTCTCATGCTTTTATGGAAGAGCAGGTTTTCATAGTTAATTAATTACATTAATTCAGAAGCACTTCAAGGAAGCCATTTTTATAGTTACAACAATTGCACACTAATATTCTTTTCTTATACTGTTTCTAGTATTTTAAAAAGCCAAGTATTTCTAAATAGAAACGTGATGGGGATTTTTAAAATGACTCCTTTTCACCCTAGCCGGGGTTTTATTTGCATGTTTTTTTTAATCCTCACCCAAGGGTATTTTTCCATTGATTTTTAGAGAGAGTGCAAGAGGCAGGGCAAGACAGAAATATTGATGTGAGAGAAATACATTGATTGGTTGCCTCCTGCATGAGGACCCTAGCTGGTTTTTCTCAATGGTTAGAGCATCAGCCTGTGGACTAAAGGGTCCCCAGGTTCGATTCCAGTCAAGGGTATGTATCTCGGTTGCAGGCTCAATCCCCAGAGTGCGTGTGGGAGGCAACCAATCCATGTCTCTCTCACACCGATGTTTCCTCTTGTCTTTCCCCTTCCCTTCCACTCGCTAAAAATCAACGGAAAAATGGCCTCTGGTGAGGATTTAAAAAAAAAAATTCCTTTTCTCATCTGGCATTTTAATTATTTTGTATTTAGTTATCCAAGTCAGAATCCTAAGCTTCAGTTTTCTCAAATATACAAGGGAAATACTATCTTCCTCATAGGGTTCAGAGGATTAAAATATGTAAAACTATTACAAAGCTATAGTAATGAAAACAGTATGGTACTGACACCATTGTAATAGCCTGGTTATTGTTAACAGGAAAGAAATAAAGAGAAGACTAGATAATACAGACATGCCATTTATACAGCTTAGCTAGAAAGCTGTAATTTAACACTCTCCAAGTCTATTCCCTGCTGACCATGGAGGAAGGGACTGGACAAAGGCAGTTTAGATGCATGCCCAATAAGGTCTGAATGATTTGAAAGATGCTTACCTGTCAGTCACACCTAGGAACAAGTCAGAGGCCAGAATGGGGCACACAACCTGAGTATTTAAACTCCTAGACAAAGGAAGTTCACTCTCTTGAGACTCCTGTTGCATGGTATGCACTCCCCTGCATTCGCCCACGAGGCCCAGGGCCATGTGGACTTCACACAATGGACTTCACACAATGGACTTCACACAATGGACTTAAGGACTAGCCTAATGCTGTATAGAACCAGTTCCACCATGGAACAGAAGTTCTGGACACTGGCCTTCCTTTGTGTTCTGCTTGACCCCTACCTATACCTTTTTCAGGCCTGGGTTAAAGAGGCATACGACTTTGCAACCAGAGAAATTTAAGTCCACACCAATAAGAATCTTAGAAAATTCATCTTCTCAAAATGTCGCAAGAGCCAACCCATACCCACAAGCAACAGGAAAATCTGGCCCACTTATTTCTCCAACAACAGTACTAGCAAAAGGAGAGTCATATAGTCCAATGGAATACAGAGCCCAGAAGTAAACCCTCACATACAGTCAATTAACTTTTGAGTAGACTGCCAAAGCAATTCAATGGAGCAAGGGCAGTCTTTTCAACAAATGCAAACAAAATTGAATCCTTACCTTTCACCATATACAAAACTCAAAATGGATAAAAATCTAAATGTAAGAGCTAAAACTATAAAACTCTTGGAAGAAAACATAGGAAAATCTTCATGACATTGGATTTGGCGATGTCTTCTTGGATATGACACCAAAAGCACAGGCAACAATAACAAAGGCAAATTGAATTTCACCAAAATTTAAAACTTTTGTCCATCAATGGACACTATCAAGAAAGTGTAAAGACAACCCACAGATAAGAAGCTAGATGCAAATCATGTATCAGATCATTAATATTCAAAATATATAAAGAACTACAAAACAAAATAATTAAAAATGGGCAAAAGACTTGGATAAATACTGCTCCATAGAAGATATACAAATTGCCAATAAGCACATGAAAAGATGCTTAGCATCAAAAGCCAGAAGAGAAAGGCAAATCAAAACCACAATAAGATAACACTTTATGCCCATTAGTGTAGCTATCAAAGACAAAAACAAGTGGTGAGGATGTGGAGCTATTGGAATCCTTGCTGTACTTTGCTGGTGGAAATGTAAAATACTATGGCCACTCTGTAAAAGTTTCGGATTCCTAAAAGTAAACACAGAATTATCATACAATCCAGCAACTTCACTCCTATATACTCCAAAGATTTGAAAGCAGAGACCTGAAAAGATACACACACAAAATATTCATAGCAGCATTATTCACAACAGCAAAAAATGTCCATCAACGTAGGTGTCCATCAACAGATGAACAAAATGTTTATATACATAAAATGGAATATTATTCAGCCAAAAAAAGGAATGAAATTTTGATACATGTTACAACATGGATGATACTTCAAAACATAATATATGAAATAAAACAGAAACAAAGAACAAATATTTTATGATTCCATTTACATAAGGTGACTAAAATAGTCAAATTCAAAGAGAGAAAGTAGAACAGAGGTTACCAGGGGCTAGAGTGGGGGGATGAAATAGGAGTTAATGTTGAATGGATACAGAGTTTGTTTGGGATGATAAAAAAAAAGTTCAGGAAATAGTGGTGATGGTTACATGATACTGTGAATGTACTTAATGCCACTAAACTGTATATTTAAAAAATTAAAATGGTAAATTTGGTTATATGTATTTTACCATAGTAAATTTTTAAATGATAATGTATCCAAAGGCCTCACCACATTTGATGAACCTTTTGTTCCTCAACACAGATGGTGGTTACAGAATTTATTTAGATAATACTTTATAAAATCTCAGCTGGTAGTAATGATAAACAGTACCTACCCCCAAAACACAAACACACACACACACACACACACACATACAACACTGCACTCACTACTCTATCAAATACCTATAATATCTATCAAATATCTATAACTATATTTTGCAAAAGACTACAGATCTGAATGAATTCACTAATGATGCAGAATTTACATCCACCCCCAAACTGGCAAATATAAACACATACATTTTCTAAGCACAAAGCTTATATTCACAAATAACTTTTTGCTTAAAGACAAAATTTCAATTAATAATCACAATGAGAATTTAGTTATTTAATGCAACCACTAATCTAATGTCACCAATAAAATCTAAACAGTTATATCACAAAACCAGGGTTATATTGAGTGGGCATGCACTGATAGTCTATACAATGTAACATTACAACAGAAAAAGTAATTGAATACAAAAGTTCCCGTGACTTTTCATGGTTTTCAAATTTCATGGCACAGTTTACCAAAAAAACTATAAAAACATATTTTAAGTATTTTCAGTAAAATGGTAAAAAATTGAATAAGCCTTTACGTTTTAATATTGGATTGAAGATTTAAAACCTCAAGCTGGCCCCAAAATGTCAAAAATGACAGATAAATAGTTCCAAGATCTAGATAAGACTTTAGTTATGGTTCTGTCTCCCCCCTGGTAAAAACCCTGTAGGGTCCATTTCTCAATGCAAACATGTCTTTGTAAATACTGTGATAATACAAACTTGGAAACATACCTGATAGCAGAACAGGGATGAAAAATAACACATAATCCCATCTTATTTCTGACCTGCCATCATAAAGCCTTCTGGGTCCAAACGCTGAACACTGTCCCTCAATATAAAACTAAATTAAGAAGACAATGACTTTTACTCTCCTGGCTGACATCCTTCTACAGAATTATCTTTTACTACATATCAAGGCAGGTCTAAGCTCTGTTAACTTGCTTCTTTAGAGTGTAATTAGCAAAGCACCAAATTTATAAACTGATATATGGCAACCCAAAATACTAAAAACATTTTTCAAACAGAAGCAAACATTTTTCCCCATATCATTAGTTCATATGCCATGTTATTAACTTACATAGCTACCAACACAGAAAAAATTGGGGAAGCTTTGAACATATCTTGTACTTTTCATCGAGGCTAAAGTGCAAAATATCTCCATATCTCTGATATTTTAATAGGAAAATCATCAAACATACATAATAAAGGAACTGCACTGACAGAACTAATACAAAAAGAAAGACCTCTTTAAATATATACCTGGAGATTACATAAGACCAATATAATATTTCTTTCTTCAGTGAAATCTGTAAATGAACCAAGTTCTCACTGAACTTGAGATTTTGTTTGATTCTTTCCCAGGATCAGAAATTCCAAAATTAGAGTAGGAGAGAAATAGAAAAAAAAATAACATTGCATGACAATGAACACTAAGTTCATAAAGAACCTTTCTGTAAAAAAAAAAAAGAGAGACAGAGATTACGGAAGATAAGACCATGAAAATAATAATCCTATGAGAACTGATTTTTGAACACAGTAAATTTGAGCTTTGGTCTTCATGAAATACTATAGCTTATATAGAAAACTATAAACATACAAGACTCCAGGGGGAAAAAAAGTCAAAATACATATTATTTCACATTCTGTAAGGCCTAAACTTTTGAGGGGAGGGAAAAAGATGGCCAACTGAATCTTAAGAATACAGAACCATGCCCTGGCCAGGTGGCTTAACTGGTTGGCGCATCATCCCATACACCAAAAGGTTGCAGGTTCAATTCCCAGTCAGGGCACATACCTAGGTTGCAGCTTCGACCCTAGTCAGGGCACATACAAGAGGCAACCATTGATGTTTCTCACATTGATGTTTCTCTCCCTTCTTCTCTTTATAGAAATCAATAAAACATATTCTCAGGTGAGATTAAAAAAAAAAGAATCCAAAATTATGAAAATTCCTGGGTCAAAGAGTGCTCCAAATGAAACCATACTTTGTAAAGACATACTACTTAGATATATTTTTAAAAGGAAAGAAAGGTTCTGAATAACTGTAGTCCCTTCCAAAAAGGAAATCTTAAATTAAGGGGAAAAGATCCTAAGAGTATAAACGAGGCTGGCTCAGGAAGGAAGTTGAACAACATATCCAAGATACTGTCCATAAAAGTAATGATGATACATCTTTAATAATAAAGAAATAGGCTATAAAAAAAGTTCATTATCCAGATTGGTTTTAGTAAAAGCTCATTTGTGCTCCTTTGTGGGTGCATAATAAAGTTCCATGGGTTTGTTCACTTTCCAGTATTTCTCACTGACCAATTCCAAAGAAAAAGAGCCATTTAATACCTAAAACAATAAGAGAGAAAGAATTATGAAAACTGCTCAAAGCATAGTATTCCATCTCATTATTAAAAGTCCACCTTTAAAAAAAAAAAGCTTAGGATAAACTTGTCACTTATACTATTCATAAAACATATCAAAAAGTTAACTACCCTGTTCTCTATCTCTCGGGGTGTCAGGATCCTGTCCTGTGCCATTTTATTAGGCCCCACCCCACCACTGGCCACGCTCAGATGGTTAATTCACTCCCAGTTTCAATGGCCTATTATTTTAAACTGGAGGCCCAGTGCATGAAATTCGTGCAAGGGGCTCGGCCCCCACCACAGCCTCTGCCTCGGCCCCTGCCGCTGCAGCTTCCTCTGGAAGGTTGTCTGGTCTAATTAGCATATTATATTTTTATTATTATAGAATACTCACAGTGAACTGCCCACTGGCTGTTGCTATATAAATGGTATACTGCTTCTCACTGGCTGTATCAAGGTTCATCTGGTTTGATTCTCCTTTGCTTCGAAGTTCTTCTAAAGCTAACCTCACAGCCAGATACTTGGATAAGTGATCAACAGTGGCATTACCAGAAGTCTTTATGTATCTGGAAAAATAGATCATTAGAAATTTCATTTCTAAATTAATAATGAAAATGTAATTAGATTATAGGACTAAAACATTTCTATAAAATGTAAATGTCTCTATTACTGATAAAATAGTATCAGAAATTTAATCATCTATTATTTAAAAATTCCTTATTGAAAGTAGACTATCTACCAGGTCACAAAAGCATCCATAAAAATGTGATATAAAATGATAAAAATCCAACAAATATACACAGTACTGAGGAAAAAGAACAAACATCTCAACCCAATGATCAAAGTCCTGCTGTCGACAGCAGCAAGAATATGACCAATTGCTTATTGTTTAAAAATTCATCAATTTTCTGGTGTTTAAGACTGAGCATAAAAGTGCTAATCTTGGGTTTTTTTTTAAAGTATGGTATACTCATCACTTACTCACTGAGCAAATATTTGATGTTTATCTGCACTCAATGGCAGGCAGAAAGCTGAGGTACAGTGCCATCCTCACCAGCAAGAATTCTGGTGTTTATTGGCACCCCAGTATCACTGTTAAGAAATTTAAGTGACCCTTTTTTCTCCCTCCTCTAGGAAGGAGAATCAGGTCATTCCTTTCGGATATCCAAGTGTGGATGGGAAGCATGGAGGAAAAAAACAACAACCTAGGCATCAAGAATATCCAAATGAACCCTGACAGTCAACTGGATGGCAAATATTGCCCTTCTTTCTTATGCAAAATTGCCTTTAACTCCCAATTAAATTTCCTGAATTCAGATAATCTAAAACTAACCCACACACTTACCTTGTCTGTGCACTGTCATCTTTTTCCATCAGTGTGGGATGAGGCCTGAACACTAACTCAATTTCACTAGCACCATCCATTACTGGATCAATTGCCACTGTTGCATTATTGTTATCAAGCTCAAGCCCAGAATCATCTGATGTTTTGGTCCGTTTGTTACTGGGCCCTGCTTCCTGATTGCTGTGTGTGGATGCATTACTGCAGTGAGAACTGTCACCATTGTCTTCTGCTCCACTGCCATTTTCAATCTGTTGTTTCTTGCCTCGCTGTAGTCTAGTTAAGAAACAAAAAGGCGTTGCAGAAAATGTACTTAGGCATTTTTAATGAACCCCTTTGAAGCATGTTTACAGAACTTTAGAATTCTAGAAAATTCTAGAAAAGCCCAGTAGGGGGCGTGCAGGAGGCAGCCAACAGATGTTTCTCTTTCATCAATGTTTCTATCTTTCCCTAGTCCCTCTCCCTTTCCCCTCTCTCTCTCTAAAAAAAAAGAGAGAGAGAGAGAAATTATTTTTTTTTAAAAAGAATTGTGTAACTTTAAATACACTCAAAATTTAGTACTTTATAACTATATATGATGAAAGGTGGGTGGGAACTAGAAATATTGGGGGAGGGACACTTTGTGAAATATATTATTGTCTAAACAATATGCTGTATACCTGAAACTAATAATGAAATAATAGTGAATATAAACAGTGATTTAAATTTTTTTAAAAATTATAATACTTTATTTTGCTTTACTAAATACAATTTTAGGTGAGTTTAATGGAGTTTAACCTCTAAGCCAGTGGTTAAAAGTTGCTCTTTTTTTTTTATAAAAAAATTTTTTTTATTGATTTCAGAATAAGGGAGGAAGAGATAGAAACATCAATGATGAGCGAGAATCATCCACTGGCTGCCTCCTACATGCCCCCTTAGTGGGGATTGAGCCAGCAACCAAGGCATGTGCCCTGACTGGGACTCCAACGGTTACCTCCTAGTTCATGGGTCAAGGCTCAACCACTAAGCAACACTAGCCAGACTAAAGGTTGTACTTTAAAACCACTCCTGAAACTTTAAATAGTGATGCCTGAGTCCAATCAAAGATTCTGATTTAGTTGGTCTAAGGTGTTACCTGAAGCCCTAGGATTTAAAAACTTTCCAAGTGACTCTGAAGTTCAGCCAAGGTGAGAACTAGACATGGATGGGACTCTACCGGCATCTCCTACTTTGGAAAATGATGAGGCCTGAATATATTAGATGTCAGAGAGAAAAAGAGAATGGGAGTGAGAAGGTGCCCAAATTATGTAGGGTTTTAGAAGCCAAGGTCTTTTAACCTGAGTATTAATAGAAGTTATTAGAGACCTCAAAGCAAAGGAGAATCATGATTTGACTTTCAATTTAACAGAATCACTCTGGCTGCTGTGCTGAGAATAGATTATGTGGGGGTAAGCGCGGAAAGTATAAAGACCACTCATGAGGATTTTTCAGTTCTTCAAATGAAAGATAATGGTGGCCTAGATAGCAAGTGGAATGATGGAGCTGCCATCAACTGAAATGAGCAAGAATGAAGAAAAATAGGGGGTAAGGACAAAAAAGTTCAGTACATGTCTATACATGGTAAGTTTCAGATAAGAAATAGCTAATAAAATACAAAGGGAACCAGGAAAATATGGTCTCCTGAAAGCCGGGAGAAGAAAATTATTCAGAGAAATTAATTTGTAAAATGCTACTAAAGTAAGATGGGGTCTGAGAATCAGCAATTAGATTTCACAATGTTGACACCACTGGTAACTTTTGATAACAGTAATACAAGGAATTAAAGTCTGACTGGAGGGTTCAAAAGGAAATGGAAGAAGTAGAGATAGTGAGCACAGACAACTCTTTTAAGAAGTATTGCTATAAAAAGAAGAGAAATAGAACAGTAGGTAAGTGGAGGGAGAAGTGGGTATAAAAGAGAATTCAAAAGTTCTAGTGTTTTAAATGGAAACCCAGGCATATAAGATACCTGGAGGCATATACCACACTTGCATGAAAATGTAATCTTGCAGAACTACTATTTATTACTTTTTGTATTTTGTCTTTTTCAAAATGAAGGCTGTTAATAAATTCAATATTTAATAAAGTATTCAGGAAAATGGCCACCTTCTTCCCCATATACCTGTTCATGGCCTGTATCTTCAGTCCTTCCTCAATGCTGTGACTGAGTGCTTGCTGATTATTGTGCTTATTAATTCTGGCTAATACTCTCTCTTGATGAGCTTCGTACTCATCACGACTTGGATAAATTTTGCTGATGAGTGCATCAAAGTTCGGGTCTGGCCTTAGTGATCGTTTGGAAACTAGCTTTTTCCGACATGTAGGACATTCTTTATTGCTAAATAAAAAGAAAGGAAAAACAATGTAAACAATGCCAGTACCTTTAGGCTAAAGACAAAAATATCTAGCTTCTGGAATAGTTACATTATCTTAATTCTAATATCTTTAAGAAGTCATAGAAATTTAAACTGATTAACTTAAACTTTATTAAAAATCTGACTAATCTTGGGTAAGCAAGATTTTTGAAAACCTCAGATACTCTATACTACTGTCAAAGGAAAAATTTGATTATCACCAATGATAATTTATAGCCACTTTTAGAAATAGAAATCAACTCTTTTCCTAATATTAATTTCCCCTTTCTCATTCCCATGACATACAAGCAAAAAATAATCACCTATGTTAATTTATGTTATCAATTCTTTTATTAAAACAATTCATAAGGATACCATTTTGTATACTTAAATAGAAAAACCATGGCTTCATAATTTCCTCAAAACAAATAGGAATCCTATAAAGCTTCTGAAAATGTATAAAATGAATTGTTTCAAAACAAAGATACTCCAATGATTCAAACCTAGAGTTTAGAAAATTTCCAATTCTCAAATGAATACTTCTAGAGTATGTACTTCTCAAAATCCATAGAGCACTGTCTTGGTACAGCTGAAGTACCTAGTATAACTCATTTCAACATACCCACTTCTGAGGGCTGTGATAATGCAGTCTGCACAAAAACGGTGCAAACACTCCTTTGTAGTCATGGTGTTCTTCAACATATCCAAACAAATTGGGCACATTAATTCACTGTGTAGACTTCGAGGTGAAACCACAATTTCCAAGCCATCCGTTATTGCCTCCTGTAAAAGAGGGAACTTAAAATTTAAACGCTACCTATATTTTTATTGTGGATAAGTTCAAATACACAAAAGTATTAAGAATGACAAAAATGAACATCTACATACCTATCACCCAGCCACTACCACTGTCAGCTCACAGCCAATCTTGTTTCGGCTATAACGTCCCCCAATTCCTTTCACTGCCTCCACCAATGCGTTATATATAAATGCTTTTATTTTAATGCTAAAGATAATATATTAATGTATCTAAAAGACAACTAGGAGTAAATTATCCTGGTGTAATAAAAAAAAAGCATTGAATTAGGAATCAGATACCTAGGTTTTAGTTCTAGCCATATTAACCAGTTATGTGGTTCTAAATAACTATTTGACATCATTCTTTACCCTGCAAAATGAGCAAGTTTCTTCCGTCTTCAGAATTACACCATTTTGATAATATAGTTCCCCCCTTTTTTTATCAGTGGCTTCACTTTCTGAGGTTTCAGTTACCTATGGTCAACCACAGTCCGAAATTTTAAATGGAATATTCCAAAAATAAACAACTCAGAGGTTTTAAATTGTGCACTGTTCTGAGTAATGTGATGAAACCTTATGCTGTCCTGCTCCATCCCACTTGGGAGGTGAATCAGCCCTTTGCCCAGCATATCCCCACTGTATACACAAGCTACCCTTACATTGGCGACAGGAGCCTTCTCAGTTATCAGATCAACTGTCTAGGTATCTTGAGCTGTGTTCAAGTAACCTTTATTTTACTTCCTAATGGCCCCAAAGCACAAGAGTAGCGTAGCGATGCTGGCAATTTAGATATGACAGAGAGAAGCCATAAAGTGCTTTCTTTAAATAAAAAGGTGAAAGTTCTCAATAAGGATACTAAGATCTATAGTAAGAAGGAATCTTCTAGCCATGAAATTGGCTAAGTTATAAACTAAACTTTACCCTAGGTATGTCTGTATAGGAAAATAGATGGAATTTAGTGTTTAGTACCATCTGTGGTTTCAGGCATGCACTAGGTGTATGAGAATGTAATCCCGTGGATAAGAGGGGACTACTGTAAGTTATACATTTCATGCCATCTATTAAAAAGATTTTAAGATTCTAATACAAATATTCTCTAACTGATACACAATTTAACTATTTCGTTTTAAAATCACTTTTTTGGAACTTAAAAAGTCTTGATCCACAAAAGCAATTTTACACAAAGTGGTCAGGTTCTCAGGCTAACTGATATAAACCAAAGTATATCTGAAGTATTTTTATTTGTCATGTCTAAAAAATGTGATAAAATGCATTTGGAGTTCCAATGTACACATCTCCCAGCTGCAGAGAGACTAGTGACTCCTACTTCTTCCTACCACTATCCACTCTTCCTACAAGGTGGCATTGAGAACAAATTACCTAGCTCAAAAGCCACCAATATGGCCCAGATGGAATAAGAAAAGAGATTCAGTAACTACTGGAAAGGAAGACGCAAGTAAAAATAAGGAGCTTCCCATGTTAGTGACACTCCCTTGTTTCCACTGCCTCTCCATAGTACCTGCTTTCTCTAAAGGGTCCAAGACTGATGACCCCACAAGGAAAGACAGAAATAACAGGTACTGTCCATAAAGAACGCAAGTAAAATATATTTACATTTACAATAACTATCACTATTATCAAGTGTCTGCATGTTTCAGCCTCGCTACATAAAGCACTTTCTATATTTTATTTTACTTAGTTTTAATACATACACAAACTTCTGATTTAGGAATTATAACCTCTAATGAGGAAATAATCAAAGAGAATGATGATGACTCAGCTAGTAAGTCTGTCCTGTTTAGAAAGAACTTGCCTAACAAAATCCCAACCCTGTTCTCCAGGCCTGTACCTGTGCAGGCAGAGCAGCACTGTGGGGGTAAGACGGGGGGAATCTCACAACCAGACGGGTATCACTAAAACTTTCACCAGACTCAAATGGGTGTTCAATACTGCTCAGTAATTGGTTTCTCTAACAAACTCATTTTTCCTTTCACTACAATATTGTAGTGAAAGGAAAAATGAGTTTGTTAGAGAAACCAATTACTGAGCAGTATTGAACACCTTTTCTTCTATCTACAGACCTTCTCCACCTAAACATTCAATACATTACCTTACCTCAAATTTCATAATCATCTTCTTTCCTATAAGGAGGAAGTATACCTCCTCCTACTGAAAATACATTCCTTCCTATGTTATTAAGTGTATCACTCATTTGACTATTCTATCTGCTCTCAGATTTTAGCTAACTTTCCTCCACTAAATCAGCCCAGAGTAGTATCTCCATAGAGTTGCTGCACAGAGAAATGTGCATGATGCACCTTAGAGCTGACAAGGTGGAGAGGTGGGGAGGAGAGGGGAATGTTGAACAAGGGAAGTGGAAGGAGTAATTTAAAACTTCCCAATGCTATGTCCCCCTCCAGTGTTTGCTCCATTTCTCTGCTCCACTGCAGAGCCAAACTTTTCTGAAGAATTGCCTATGCATTTTCACTTTTTCCCCCTTCGACATAGCAGCACAATCTATCAAGTGAATCTCTTGAAAAAAATCACCAAGTACATATTGCCAAATCTAATGTACACTTTTGTAATGCTCATCTTATTCATCTTCTGAATACTGTTGAAAACAATAACTGAATCCTCCTCCTTAAAACACTTCCTCATAGATTTTATCCCCTCTCTCTCGCTCTTCCTTGCTTTTCCCTGTCTCCTTTGCTGGCTCCTTGTCCATTACTTAATCTCTAAATGTTGAAGCTCCTCTGGATGAAGATCCAGGCCCTCTCCTCCTCTTTCTAGACGATCTTATCTATTCACCATGCTGTAAATGTGCTGCCAATCTCTAAAACTTAACTTTTAGTCCAGTTCTCTAGTTAGCATCACTGCCTGTCTTATAGGCATCACCAACTTAAAATGAGATCAGTTGTAAGTACGCTTATCTCCTTCAACCCTGCTTCCACTCCCAGTCTTCCCCATGTTTACCTTCTGAAAATAGTCTTCCCTACTTCCCCCAGCTATTATTTATTACAGCACTGAGGACTTTTCCTTTACCCAATCTCTCAAGGTATAATTCTATGGATGTTTATCTGTTTAATGTCTATAAATTCTAAGAGCTGGTGCTACATGTTTTATTCACCATTTCACCTAGTGCCTAGCTTAGGATCTGTAGAATATGCACTCAAATTATTTGTTGAATGAATGAATGAAGTGTCAACCAAATATACACAAGTCAGTACTACTTGTATATCAATTTATTATTACTGTTATATTCTTTCAAGTTTTCATTTTCTAAAAATGTATCCCAATTTACATATGTATCATATTTCCCATTATCTTAGTCTACATTACCTGAGGTGTTCGTTGTAATTCATATAAACTGAGTTCCCATGTTTTGCTTAATGGTTGAGTTCCATTTGTCTGCACAGCCTGAGACATTGCTAGGGATAAAAAAGAAAGAAAAAACAATTTTAGTATCTGAAAGGGAAATAAATCTCAAAAGTGATTTTTAGGAATTGTAAATCCTGAGGATAATAAAAATAAAAATTATACACTGGCTCCTCAAAAATTAAAAAAAAAAAGCTCAAGAATCTCTCCATTTATAATACAAACTACTAGAAAGCAAGAGAGACTAACCAATCTCTGAATGCCCAAAATAAACACACAGAAAGTACTTAATTATTACTGAAGGTATACAAAACAGTCTTAACCAAAACAATACTTTTTAAAAAAGTCATGGTCATGGAACTTAGAACTAAATCAGGAAAATTTGAGACACTACAGCATGGCCTCTAGTCCAACTTTTATCAAAGATACAAAAGCTGCTTTCTAGCACTTTAAGCCACTGATCACTCTGTTCTTAAGCTCTGCCCTCAAGAAAAACTGGTTAACCAGAACCTAACCTGCCAGGGTATTATCCAGAACCTCACTGACTTGGTGAAGGAAAATGCACAACTCTTGCGCATTCTAGCCATCCTATCCCCACCTATTGGGGAGACAGGGAGGGAAAAAACTAAGAACCAAAAATTGACAGCATTATTTGTAATATCAAAAAAAAGTCTATGCATGCCTGTCAATAAGAATATGGCTAATAAGAATATGTCAATAAGAATATGTAATATATAATATATATATTACAGAATACTATATAAGCTGTATGTCTGACATGGAGTTCAACAGATGTACACAACAAACATTAAATTTTTTTAAAAAGCTAGTTATAGAGCAAAATGTTTATCATGCCTGTTTTAGAAATTAAAACAGAATCCAAACACCTAAAGATGCTTGTGATTCTGAGTTCTGTTCACCATCTGTCAGCCACATCTGTCATTCTTCTCTTTATCAGTCTTGCTCATTTTCATTTTACAACCTTCACTAGCTCATCCTTCTATCTGTAACAGAAGGCTCTTTTCCCCAAAGATTTTCCCATAGCTAGCTCCTTCATGAAGTCTAACAAAATTCTTACTTTGCCATTCTTTCATGTCTTCCTTCCCCCCGCTCCCCTTACCCTCCCACTATGGCACTTTTATCTTATTCTCCACAATATCCCCATTACCTTGCACTGTGCCTGGCACACAACAGCTATTTAAAACAATACTTTTTTTTAAAGTCATGGTCATGGAACTTAGAACTAAATCAGGAAAATTTGAGACTCTACAGCATGGCCTCTAGTCCAACTTTTGTCAAAGATACAAAAGCTGCTTTCTAGCACTTTAAGTCACTGGTCACTCTGTTCTTAAGCTCTGCCCTCAGGAAAAACTGGTTAACCAGAACCTAACGTGCCAGGGTATTTATTGCTGAACACCTCAACAACGGTTATGATGGAAAGAAAGGAGCTCAAGTTAGACAATCATAACAGTGTTTGACCTGTTCATGACTAAAAAAGTGTCACTTCAAATTATCATGGGAAAGGGAAGACAAAAGGAAGATTTATCAGTTTCTATGCATAGAGAAAGTATTTTTGTGTTTCTGTATGGTTAGGGCCCGAAGCAAAACAACAACAGACACAGAAAAACACTTGTCCTTCAGAAAAGTCTTAAAACACAAAGGTAACTGAATAGGTAAGAGATTTATCTTTCTAGACATATGCTTTTATATTTCAGGAGGGATGAGAGTATGGAGACATTCCAGGGGCCTTAAAGTTTAAGACCTCTCTGATATCCACCCCGCCCAGAAAAGTTCATTTACATGCTAAAGATTGTATCCTCCTTTTCAACTAAGGAGAATTTGTTTCCATTAGGGAGCAAGGATTTCTCTCCCTTTCTCAGGAGGTGAGGTAACAACTACACAAGCTCCCAGATTCATATTTTTAGGTTCTTCGCCTACCAAATGAACATCTAGCTCAGAGGTCCTCAAACTTTTTAAACAGGGGGCCAGTTCACTGTCCCTCAGACATTCCACATATGCGCACTGCGGGCCTGGGACGAGTCGTAGTTTGAGGACCCCTGATAGCTCTTACGGCATAGCTTTCGGGGTAACGGGGGTGGGGTGGGGAGAAGAACTCAGGCACAGGGGAACTGATGCAGTTATTGCTGTAATAATAATCTATCCATCCTTGTCCCTGAAATTTTGTGTCTACTTCCAGGATAATATGAATAAATATAGCTTTTAAATATTTATCATTCTACCATGCAGAATTTGGTTCCTAAAACTACCCTATAATTTAGGCTTTAAGAAGACTAACAATTTTTTTTGAAAATGAATACTGTATAGAAATTATATTCAGGACAAAAGTACACTAAGTTCCCACATACCTTCTTTGAAGGGATTAAGATAATATATATAGGCCAGGAAGACTGTTCTCTGATCATCAAGAATATTGGGGTAAAGTGTAGAGAACCCTATATGGCCTTTATCCTTTGGTCAGACTAGGCAAACTAGGGAGCAATGATAAATTCTGAGTAAGCAATTCAACTGCCATCATAGCATTGCCTGCAGTATCACCTCATGAAAACCACTTGCAGCAGTTTGTAATCTAAAGTGACAACCATAAGACAGACACTAATTTCTGTAAGCATCTAAAGACAAAGTGTTCTTTACTGAAAGTTGTCATTGTACTAAACAACTGGAATATTCAACTAAATTATTTTTGCTAACCTAATAGCTTCTTTATCTAAAAATATAATCAACTCCTAACTGGCTTGTATTTTTTTCCACATCATGGAACACAGAGCAGAAACATTTCAAAGGTGAATTACAGAGCTTCATTATCCAGTCTTAATTAAGTTTTTGAGTACTGGTAACAGACTTAATGTTTTTTTAACCTCTATATAATTAAGTTATTGTTACAGGAAGAATAAATGTTCTAAGATTTTTTTAAAGTACCACTTAAAATGCAGACCTAGATAATCTAGATCATCTGTGCCCTCTTATAATATTTCTCATCACTCATCACTATTTCATTCTTCTGCACTACTCCTGCAACCCCTGTTCCACAACGCAGATACTTTCTTAATGGCCCAATACAGTCTTTCCCCAAAGCTTCAGATACACCTATCAAGGTCTAATATTAGGCAGCATCAGTTATATCAGCAGCAGCCTTGTTTTCCTTCTGTCCCTGTCTACCCATATTAGAAGCTAACAGACCCACAATGACAACCAATTGAGTAGGAAACATTTATTGAGAGCTACTATGTGATAGGAAATGAGACCCTCCAAGAGTTTATTGGCTAGTGGGCCCTGAACCATGTTTTCCATACAATTTGTAAATGCTACAAAAGCACAAAGTAGTAGTCACATGGAGGAGAAGTCAGAAAAGGGCTTCCTAGAGAAAGAAACTCCTCCCTTGGAAGAGGAGAGTTTAAGGTTAACTGTAAGTTAACCAACTAAGGAAAGGCAAGCAGTCCAGAAGGACCAACATAATAAGCAAAGGCACAACTCAATATGGGGTGTTTATGAAACTCCAAGTAGTTCACTACTAAATGAGTGAAATGTGAGAAGCTGAAATAAGTGAAGCCATTTAAAAATGGAGCCAGAGAAGCCATTCCAGAGGAAGTACTTTGTATACCTTGGGCTTTGAACCTTTGGAATATTTGAACTGGGCAAAATAAGCTTTGGACTGGGCAAAACCAACATTGTATTACAAACAACCATTTGCAAAGCCAACAGAAAAGCAGACATTCTGAGCACAAAAACTAATGATTATGGATTCTTTTTGAAGACAGAATCAGTTACCAGCCATGTATAGCTAAAATATTAACTCAGTTTGTTGGCACCAATAGAAATTTTTTTCTTCTATTCATGTAATTATTCCCTCCTTTTCTAATAAAAACCCCTTGTGCTCACCCTGTAATTAGGACATTTTTTAGGTCTCTGCCTGAATCAGTATTTCCAGAATTGCAATTCTTTTGACCCCAAATAAACACTTGTTGCCTCTCATTTTTGGTTTTTTATTTTTAGCTTAACAGAAAAGAGGGAGGTTGGAAGTAAAACAGAGGCTGAAGAATTAAACGGTGGACCAGATTAGGGAGGCCTACTATGCCTTGCAAAGATGTTGAGAAAAATCCACAGTGGAATGACAAAAAATCAGATTTACATTTGAAACACACAAATCAATTTCAGCAGCAGTGGAGGATGGACCTGTGGAAGCAAAATTTAGTTAAAGAACTGTGCAATAATCCAAATGAAAAAATGCCTACATTTTTATAATAAGTATGAATTAGAAGGGGCAGAGCTGAAAAACTCTTGGGAAGTAAAATACATGGGATACAATAAAAGAGAAAAAAAGGAGAATAAAACCACAAGCTGCCATCTAGTAATCAGTACTAAAAAAGGAGAAGAAGAAGAAGAAGAAGAAGAAGAAGAAGAAGAAGAAGAAGAAGAAGAAGAAGAAGAAATAATCTAAAGTGAGATAGCAAAATATATTTTTAAAAATTTCTATATATTTTTAAACAGGAAATGATATGCATGTTCTAGAAAGGGATGAGAAGCTAACTTCAGTTTTGGGCTTGCTGCATCTGGGGTATATGCAGGTGACCCAGAAGCATAAACACACCTGAAGCATGAAAGGTTCTGATGGGAAATTTCAGCTTATAGCAATCAAAACTGTAAGAGAAAAGAACATGCAGTGTGAAAAGAAAATGTAGAATAAGGATTAAAGGAAACTGGGCTTGCTAATTAAACCACAGGTTATAGGAAGAGTACTATATTCAAAATTATCCCACCATATATCAGTGTTATGGATTATTTGCATTTAGCTCAAAAACAACTCACCGGCAATGCTACTGGACAGAAAAAAAATCTACCGGTGCATGGATGGAACTGGAGAGCATTATGCTAAGTGAAATAAGCCAGAAAGATAAGTATCACATGATCTCACTCATATCCTATCTATCTAATAAAAGGGTGATAGGCAAATTAACATCACTCCGTCACAAAGATGGCGGCACCCATAGCCACAAGATGGTGGCGCCCAGTCCTCTCAGCCCCACCGGAGTCCCCA